ATTGAAGTAGACCAACAGTAAGGCCTACCCCCTTATTACTGGACGGTAAACACTAAACAGTATTATGCGTGTTTACGGTGTGTTCGGTGTATTGCAGAGTTTTTAACCGTATCAAATTACTGTATATAATAGCACATCAAGGTGTCGTATACAACACGTGTACTTGTAACGGACAATAACGCATATTTGAAGTATATTGTATTTGTCAATGAACTCTCCTTTTATCCGTAATGTTTTTACGATTTTCAATCAATTTATCAAAGAGATCGTCTTATAAAATACCTGTTATTTTGCTCTGTTATACAATTTTACATGTACAAATGACTTGTACTCAATTTAGCTTTTTACGTGAGGTATGTGCCCAAATGTTGTTTTCAACACTTTTATTTTTTATGAACGAAATTCGAACAAAGTTCCCAACTGTAGAATGTACAATTACATCTAAATAACAACCTTTCGAATAATAATTTTGCTAACGCGCGTCGAACAATGAAATTCAAGATAATATATGGTAATAATAATTTAACGACAATTGTATAAATTTTAATCAATCACTATTACAAATACACGTATATGTTGGTAATTGGTACATAGTAAAAACATGAAACTTGAAGAAAACTATTTTAAATTGCATTTTTACACGCTTCCTTGATAAATAGGGTTTCCTTTTTACCACGGTAGATAGATTATCTTATGGCCTTTATGACCGGGTTACTTGCCAGGTTACGACATTTTTAGTTTGCACCATTTAATTGTCTGCTATGCCAAGAGGGGGATGGCAGCCTCTCCTATACATGTGCCCTGATCAGTGAGAGAGAGGTCGCCTGTAACCGGATTTAAACCGAACACGAACGAAGTTGATTACCAAAGATTCTTACAGCCTCAAGGCATTCAACTTAAAGATACATTAAAATTATAGTTTGATAGTTGAAACTTTCATAAAATTCTCTTCGACTTAATCAAATCCCGGTACTAAATTGTTTATACTGCAGAATATGATTAATATAGAGATTTTAACGCCTTGTAATTTGTATTTAAGTTTTTAAGCCATTATTGTCCATTTGTCGCCACGAGGAGACCGCCACATGATTCCGACAAATCTTAGTTTGTATACTGTAGAAAAAGCGAAAACAAATTTCTCAAGTTTTATTATAAGATAATAGACATTGAAAACAAAAGTTAATAGGTGGACTAGTGGTCGAGTCTCGGTACGGCATCATTAAAATTCGACACGGCCGCTCTGTTTTTCGGGTAAGAAACTTTCACCTCGAAGGAGACAATGTTGGGATTTAATGGTCTGTTATATTTTCAAAAAAAGTTAATATTTACTGATGAATTAATAATTTACTACTGTTAGTAGAACGCCTTTGATTTGACTACCTTAGACACACCCATAAAGTTTTTACTTGTTTCCTAAAAATTCGACATTCATGACCCAGGTGTATGCCCTGGTCTCTAATGACAGATTAAATTATTAAAAGCAGGAGCACAGTGTCATTGCGTTAGCTTGGCTATTAGCCAAGTACTCTGTACTTTGTATAAAATAAGTAACTTCCCTCATTATTTTCACTAAACCGTTAAATTAAATCAAGAACATAATTAAATAATATCGTTTAAGACATTTATAATCGTTTGAGACGTTTAAAATAGCAGGGAAACCGGAAAACCCGTGACTTATCCGCAAGTAACAAAGATATTTGTTACTTTTTTGGTTTTATATTATTTAATGTGTAATACAATTTTCATGGTAAAAGTAGAATAGATTATACTAATAATACTTTAAAACATTTTTTTTTATGTAAAGACATTAATTAAATTGTAACATAACTAATGTAAACCGCATTAAGTAATATAAATAACAACTTGTAGTTATATAGCAATAATATTTGATAAAAAGTTGTTAACGTTAGATTAATCATAAATATAATTTTTTGATAAAAATACATTTCCAACGTTAAAAAATCGGAGATAATGTTTTTCGTACAAGGAGAAATAGGTGCCAGATCGGTGATGTGTATTAATTCATTAGCTTACACACATAGTTTCGTTCTAAATATTAATTTACAACAAAGTGTACTTCTATAAAAAAATTTAAAAAATCATCGGGTTATCTGGCTGTGTAAAATAAAATAAATCATAACTGGACAACATAGCAACTCTTTTAGCCGCCACTTTAATCATTTTATAATACAAAATTAAGAACTTGAAGAAGAAACTGTCTTTTTTTTGCGATTGATTCAATTTCTTTCAAAAGAACACTCGACGGATTATCCACTCAAGTTCTCGAAAGACGCGACCATACGACGGTTGTAAATAATATTATTACTGCATGTTGACTTTTTTCATAATCTTTTTTAAAAAAAATATTGTATTCGCTCTAAATAGAGTAATTGAATTCAACCCCAAGTCAGTCTGCCTAGAAAACGAAAACAAATTCGAATACAGTAAAAAAAAGTGAACAAATCGACAAGCCAATTTTTTTTTATAGCTAACGCAATGTCTCAGTAATACATATAGACAAATAGAGATTTTCATCTATCAATACATTATCCGATTACTATATAAGCTATATTGTACTCATCGAATACAGTTATTGTTTAATGGAAAAATATATAGATAGGATTTCGCGGGGGTAGTACGGGTTTTCTCATCGGACTAATTTCACTCCGAGAGCTTTGGGATTGCTCGTGCAACTGATCCAAAGTATATAGTGCTTGTCGGAAACACAGCATGTTTACCCTTCTTTTCGCGGTGCCAGTCGCCATAAACCGAAAGGAAGAATTGCCGCATTGTAATAATAGGTAAATATCAACGGAACTTGTCACGCGATCCTGTTTCTGCCCAGACGATATGACAAGATAGTAAAATTTTTGTATAATCACCTCGTCCACTTTTAACCACAGTTAGGTACTGACTTTGCTGAAAGTCACACCGTATAAACCGTTCGCTTGGCGCTTTAATTGTTTGCCCACAACTTTTATAGTATGCATCGCTTTGGGCATAATTCTATTTATAAAATATACGAATACGAATTTATTCATACTTCACTCATTTGTATTCACAAAAAATGTGAATATTCACAGGTTTTTGTAAGTGTAAGTATAAAAAAATGTACATTAAAATCTGTGAATACAAATGTCGTAAGTATGCGAAAATTCACAACTTATTTTGTACGTTTTTTTGTGAACCTATTCGCGTTTTTTGTGAATATTTACAATTTTTCCTGTGAATTTATTTGTATTTACAAGAAAATTTGTGAATACAATTGTATTAGTACTCACGCATGTCAATACAAATAAGTGTAGTATGAATAAATTCGTGTTCGTATTTATAAAATATACAATTATGCCCAACTCTGTGTCGCTTGTGTACTTAACATCAGAAACGATGGGGGGAGGGGGACGGGGCGACTCAATTTATCGTCTATTATATTATATAAAATTAAAATGTTCTATGTACTGAGTGATTGGTTAACTATGAACCAGTCAATAACTTAGTAGATGTTAGGCCTTTTTTAATTATTTTTTTTTATAATTTTATAGTTATTAGTTAGGACACATTTAATATATTTTTTAAAATTATAACTCCGTCCCTTATATGTTAAAGTCTTATAAACTTGAGTTTTTTAAATAGTAACGTATATATTTTATTAACATTTTAAATTAAGAATAATTTGCTGAATATTTTGACTGATCGATAACCAGTTTTGGATAATTAGTTTCAAAGTTATTAAAGTTTAAAATTTAGGACGGTAGGAAGGGAGGAGAGTAGATATGTTTTTATCTGCGCGCATTACTCAACCGCCCTTCCTCCCCCGTCATAACTTTTAAAATTGAATAATTTGAAAACTAATTATCCAAAACTGGTTATCGACCAGTCAAAATGTTCAGCAAATTTTTCTTAATTTAATAATTTATAAAAATATATACGTTACTATTTAAAAAACTCAAGTTTATAAGATTTTAACATATAAGGGACGGAGTTATAATTTAAAAAAATTATTAAATTTGTCCCAGCTAATAACTATAAAATTATAAAAAAAAAAAATAATTAAAAAAGATCTAATATCTCTTAAGTTATTGACTGGTTCATAGTTAACCAATCACCCAGTACACGTATGTAACTATCAATAACAAATAAAAATAAAATCAATCAATTTTTAAAGGCTCGTACAATAAAATACAGTTGCAGCGGCTTAAGCGAATAAAGTACTCTGACTAAATGGGTTGGACAATGCACGAGCATGCGGACATTCTCATACTCGAGCCTGTGTGTGTGTGGGGGGGTATTTTGCTGTATAAATCGATAAAATATATTATCTCGACATATGCGGGGTTATCTGCCTTTGCGGTTACCGCGTAAAATATACAGAACTACGACGACTTCCCTAGACTTACTTAATCCGGAATATCGTTTCAACTGTCTGATATTTGATTATGTTATTGTATAGTATTTCCATACATGCATATTTTGGCGCTACCTTCACGTAGAGTACAAGTTAAACGAACTCAAATTGTATAATAGAAGCAGCAGTGTGAAATAATAATGATAGGGACCGCCCAAATTCCATGGGATTGTAAAAAACCCGTTTTTGAATGATTAAAAAAAAAAAAAACGTTACTATTTTGTTTGGCTTAATACTACCGTCCGGAGATAATACGGTATAATACGGTGGCGCTTTGCGTCGGTGCTTAAAAAAATGTAATATTTTCCGCATGACCTACTTTATAAATATTGTATTTTCTCTCTTTCTCGTTACAACAAACTCGCGGTAGGATTACTGTTTTTTTTTTACACTATGATACACTTGCTGAGTTGGCAAAAAAGTAACTCACGATGCAGATAAAAAAATCGTTTTCACGTTTTACAATAATAACTATTGCAGAGGGGGTGTACTCTCCTCAAACCCACTGTAATCATTCACGGGCTCGTCCTTGATTATTGTTTTTAATTGTACACTTATACACTTTATTATAAAATATATTTTAATGGATTTACAGGATGACGATCGCGGGTGCGACCAGAACCGTAAGCCAAGTCTATCCCGTGTAAATAACGATTTAACAGACGACGAAGCGTCGACAGCATCCGCACTGGTAAGAGCACACTAATCATATTATATTTTTAAACTTGTAAGTATAGCTAAGTGCCCATATTTGCCGTCGCAAGAGTTCTAACAAATCTATTCTGATGTTCCATAGGTTAAAATATTTCCCCCAACATTTTCAAATGTTATATCCAAAGTTTTTTTGTCATTTAACTCATTTTGTTGTATGTAATACTACCGGCGTAGATGATGTCAAGTGTAGATTCTTGAATTTAAAACTCATTAATGATAGGCGTTAATATTTTCAATGATTGACTTATTGCTGTAGCTATATTGCCTATAATCTATGGCTGCGGTTGACCGTGGCTTGCCGTAGGGGTTTAAATGTTAAAGAATTAGAAACGTACTTGAAATTTTACACCTCTACTGCGCAGTTTTATTTTTTCACAACGTCATCATACCTATGTAGTAAAGATTACAATATTAAGAATAAGCTCGGCGCCACTGTCTTGCACTAACTTTTAGGTGTACTGTAAATATTGACAATATAATATTGCACTGTGATTCGATATTTTAGTTTTAATATTACACTCATCATTGTTCAAAGTACAATTTACGTGATGAAAAATTCGAATTATTCTGACCCCGAGCAGTATTTTTTGTACAAAAACCTTACAGAAAATAATAATACTTTAGAAGCGTTTGCACTCGCTGCGGTGTCTCCAGGCGTTTCGTTTTTCAATATTATTAATTTTCGGTGGACGACCAGCAAACACACGTGACTAGTGTCACTAAAGATTCGGATGTTAAATAACGATATTATATTAAATGCGTTATTTGTAACGTGTAAAAGTTGTTTTGAAGAAAAACTTGTGTTTTTATAATACTTAAAAGGCTGCATTGAGGTAAAAACTTGTATTACTAAACTTGTGATGGAGTGTCTTATTCTCAATCTGTTGATTATGATTTTGCAATAAGATTTTTAATTTGTAATTAAATAAATAATTTGTAATTGGCTCGACCACAGGTAAAATTATTTAAAAGTCATTTCATCGCTTTCAGTTATAAAAAAAACCTGCAGACTTGTGACCTACCCGACCCCACTGTACTGGCTTTTTTAAAATAGTTATTACACAAAGTGGCAAAACATTGTATAGCTGAATGCCTTCATTATTAAGCTCAATGATTTTAGAGATGGAAGCTAATACTTAACGATAAATTTTACTGAACAACTTGAAAAAAGGGAAATATCAGATTTTAATGAAAAAGTAAATGATGTAATTTTTACTTATAAGTATATCCTTTGACTTATTATGTGTGTATTTAAGTAATATTAGGACGAAACAAAAAAAGTGCGACTTGTGTTGTTTGGTTAAAAGCCTTAGGTAATCTAAGTAAGGTCAATTTATGTCACAGTTTTATTTTAATTATGTAATTTATAGTAACTAAAAACACGCTAATGGAAAGTTTTTGAAGAGTTAACGGGGCTAAAAAAAATATTTGAATATGATTGTAGTTTAACAAAGAGAAATCTCAAGAATAATTTTAATTAACAGAATTTTACCCTTATTAAATATTATCCTTATTAACAAATGCGTAAGCAACCTATGAGTAGGTATACTATATCGAGATTTATAAATTTTAAGTAATAGTAATAGGTAAATATTTTCATGTATACTAACCACACTTGTGTAAAATATTTATATTACACTGGATCCGTATATTATACGAACTATAATATAGGTTTCATCATTCAAAATAGAAGATCCAAACACGAACGAAAAAAATTTTCTCTAGCCTTTCATAATACACGTCAAATTCTGCATAGTATAGGTATATAATAGTTATAAAATAAGGCCAAGTCAAGAGGTATCTCGTGTGTTTATGTACGTCGACTTCACTTTTTCCACTTAGGTTTTCTCATTACTACAATGTATGCTTTCATTTCACGAATGCTTCATATCTCTCATTGTCTGTCCATTTCAAATACTTTTTAATAAGTGTTACAATTTTAGAAAAATATCGATAAGAATTTCGATGCATATTAATTTACATAAAAGCCGAGCTTGTAGGCAAGAAATAGTGACGGTATTTAAAAGAATAAATAACATGCCGGTGTCAGCATGACCTATTGACCTACTGATGAGTACTCTATCTTAAGGACGCTCTCACGCTAATGAACCTAATAAAGTCATGTTGGTTCAAACATGTCACAAACATTATTTTCAGCAAACATATTTACATAGGCTCATAATGAAATTAGGTAAAATGTAAATTGAAAAGATTTTACAATTCACTAAAAAAGATTAACGTGGATTCTAATAACTGTGTAATAATAACCTACCAATATAAAAAATTAATATGTTGATATTATTAATTGTTTTAGGAGGATCAACTGGTCAGAGTGTTGGAAAAGAATACCGAGCTAACCATCCAGAACACAGATCTCCATAAACAAGTTTTGCAACTCCAACATGTTAGTGTGCATATTATATAATAAGTGTAACATCGTTTAAAATACATACATATGGTTAAGTTCAAAAAAAATATATTCAATACATTATAGGAATAACGCATTAAAAATTAAAATTACTATAATATATGAATTACAATGTTTATGCAGGCCGCAAGAGCTTTACATCAGGTCTGTAAACAAATTTCTCGGCACACACGTACTTATCCACTTAAAGTCACACGTTGATTTCGTAACCAACCTATTAGTACAATTTGAATCTAAACCAATTTTGTACCTAACCAAACAATCCCAATATTAACACCTAAATAGTTGAGTAATTGTCCGTGTATTAGAAATTCTGAAACAAAAATTGTTTAGTTTTGTGTCTATCAAACAGCCTAAATATAATATTATTTTGATTGCATTTTTCTGTGAACGGTTAGTTGGAACAGAAGTATTCTCAAAAACTCAATTAGCATGTTTAGTAACATTTTGATTCTATTAACATTGTACCGGTAAACGTTTGATGCTATTTCAGTGTTATAGCGCTATCGAGTAGGGTTGTGAGTACTGAGTACCAATATATCTGTTTGATCTTTGGCTGAAAGTTCAGTGTTTATGTTCGGATAACGATATCTACTCGATGTTACTCGATATATTAAATTTATTAATTGGTTTAAATTTCTGCACAGGTGAAAAAAGGTTCCGGGCTGAGTTTGGCATCAGCCCGGGCAAATGCAGAACACGAAATCGATGAAATCCTCAAAGTAAACGTGACGACTCGTCTAGCTAACAACGTATTTGTTAACATTGTGTTTTTATTTCTTATAGCTTATGCAAGATGCGACCGACAAAAAGAGATCGTTGGAAAAAGAACACAAAGAGTGTTTGGTTAATCTCCAAGACAAACAGAGAGAACTCCAAGCCAAACCGTCGAATGTTAGCTATGCAGAGAAAACTAGACTGTGTGAACATATCGAATCGCTACAAGTATAGAATATTCATTAACAGTTCACATTTTATTAAAACCTTACCCGCAGTTATTACATACTGCTTACGTTACTTTGTTCGATTTCAGTCAAAGATTCGAGAACTGGAAAAGAAAATGGAATTGGAAAATGTACAACAAGAAGAGTTACAGTTAGAATTGGAACATCTGAAAAAGTCTACATTGCGAACGTCGTACAAAAGTACAGACTTGTCGTTGAATTCGCCTGCGGAGTCAACAACGTCTAGCAGCGACATAAGTAAGTAATGTAAAACAAATAATGATAAAGTAAACTTGGTCCTTGAAAATATAAACTCTCGTTTTTTTCTTAGTACAATGTATTCTTGAAACAATTGTACGTAAGAAATGTATTTTCCTTGATTACATAATATATTAATTTATTTACGTTAAATTACTTTTGTTTTATAGAATATAGTTCACTTAATCATTCATCTTTACCAGCATCACTAGAGCACCCATATTCTACTGAAAAACTAAGACAGCATAGAATACAGTCAGCAGGTAACATTTTTAAAAATATGAGTAATTATAGCATGCATTACTTATATTACTACATACAAGTAATCACTTCTTGATAATACCAATATTGTTACTAATGTTACTTAAAAGTTTAAAGGTTTGCAAGGCACTATTAAAGGTTTTTACATAGGTATTACATATTATATTTTAACAGCTTGAATACGAGTCCGCAACACCGCGGGATACATTTTTATGTATCCAAAGTGGCTAGTAAACATATCAAGTTTCTGGCTAATATTTTAGTGTTTTCATAATATCTAGCCCAAACCAATTCATAGAGAATTTGGTCTCTTAAATTATTGAATTTATTATTCATTTCTATTTTGAACTTGTGAATACAACATAAATGCCCCTACCCCCATTCCTACCCTCAACCCCAACCCTCATCTCTTAACCCCTAACTCTCACCCCCTATCTCCTTTTCTTACCTCTTATCTCTCTTATCTTATCAGACGAATCAGCTGTTATTTTTCGTTATGATAACTGGCGTCGGTTTTTTCGTTATGATAAGCGGTGTCGGTGTCGATTTTCCGTATGTGTGCCATAGCAAAGACATAAAAATATCAAAAAAAATGATTTATTCATCAAAAGGATGATTACGCGCATTAGATACTGTAAAGAACTGTTGAAGAACATAATCTTAAATTAGTGGATATTATTGCGATTATCTTAACTAATTATCAAATAATAGTTTTTTTTTTAATATCTCACCGATATTGAGTATCGGCTGTTGTCTAATAATTTTTTTTTTTTCAAAATCGATAAGGAGATGTATTAGAAACAATCAGTATAAACAGCAGGGCTGCGCTAGCGGGTAGGACATCGACCTTGCCTTCGGAAATCGACCGGATAATGGCGAAAATCGATCAAGACAATCGGGTGCTGGCTGAACTCGACAAGACCAGATCGACAATAGGTAAGAGCAATATATACGGTCAATATTTTAATCGTGTATGTCATATGTACATAATATAAACAATAAACATGGATATTTTATAAAAACACAAAATGACAAACAAAAAACAGTTGCCGGGGGTCCTGGGCAAACTGCACCGCATCATAAAGTCAAAATAAAAAGTGATAAAACGGATTCAAACACGGAACCGCTTCGGTCGTGCTTGAAAAAACGCAGTAAGTCAAGGACGCAAAATAAAATTATAAACATTTATACGCCAAAACATTAGCCTCGTATAGATAGCTTAGTCGATTAGATGTTCAGATCGAATATTTCGTTAAAATTATTAAAAAAAAAAAAAAATTCCTTTAGAAAATCTTGTTGTTTACAAATACGGACCATTTTAACCAATTAACGATCAAACAAATACATTAGTTTTTTGATTATTAGCACCAACGCTTGTTTTTATTTTATAATCAATTATACATAAATATCCAAGTGACCTACTTAACACATAATCATATTTAGATTATAAATGAAATACTATATTATAATCATTGTCGCACATCAATAGCTAGAGAAAATAGTATATTTTAATCTGTATTTTGTGTATGCATCGCGTGCATTGTAATGATTAAACTTATTATTATTATTATTACATATTTTAACTATAAATACAACTATAAAATTTGTATTTTTGTCTACACAATTTTGCAAAATAATATATAATACCTACGTGGTTCACGTGCTTTTTTATAGTCTTGTTATTGAGACAATCTTATATTCTACACACTGTCACGTCATAGAAGTTAGATTCTGTCAGATAATGCATTTGCCATTTGTTCTTATGAACTTAAATAAGTTATTTTCATATTTACGGTTTTTTGATACGAATCTTGCATGAGGAAAATATTAAATGTGTCGAAAAATAACTAAAATAATTTAAGAGGCCTCACGACTATTACAATAATATTAACAATGCATATAATGCATACCGCTTATTATTTGCAGTGTTATAGGTTTATGCTGGATCTGAGGTCTATAGAGGCCTATATACTTAGTGATAGTTTTTTTAAATGCTTAATATTGCTAATAAATGTTAACTACGGCATAGCTATTATGTATGTGCCTATGCAAATAAATAATAACAGTATAGTTTCTAACAAACAACTAAGTAAAAAGTAATAGTAAAAATTTAACAGTAAAATTTAAAAAACAAATTTAATTAGTTGTACAATTCATATTGTATATTTATTTGTATAGAAGATGCGGTTATATTCTTCGGAATAACTTCAACAGATGTATACAAATGACAATAATTGTAAAAATAAAATAATTGAATAAGCTGAAAACCAAAATATTTTTTTAAAAAAAATGTGAAATTCAAAGGATAATAATGTTACAAACTTTCTAAATTAGTGTCCCAAACACATCCTTCTGTGTGAACACATAGGGAAAATTGATAGAACCATTTTATTTAATGGTCATTTCAATATTCAACTTTTTAGTTTTCTAATATGTTCACCATGAATTGGGGTTTCGGATATTTTTATCTAGATTCTACCAAAATATATAGGTCAATACAATATAATATATCAATACATTGAACGAACAATATTATATCACCTTTTAGAGAAGTGAGGCCCCTTAAGTGGTTCACGTTTGTTAAAAACTGTTTCGCTAGTTTTTAGCAATTTAGTATATTTATTCATTTTACCAAAACATTTTTGTAAATAATTCTTTGTTTCTGTTATTAAGCTCCGTTGAAATAGAAAACAAATTTTACCTTACAGGTTTACCGACTGCCGGTAACATACTAACGTCAGTACCGAGTGCGATGCAAATACAAGAGGCGAATTACGCTTTGAATTCTGCACCGCAATCCATGAATTATCCGTACACTGAGGTATGCTCAATTGCTTGTAAATCCCTTAAATTGTAACACGACCTTTTTACTATGTCAAGCTTTATCGTATGGCCCCTGGTCATCTTACACAGACATATCAACCCCTATCCATCGGCACGTCGGTACTACCATCCGTGGGACCACTGACCACCACGACTCCGGCACTTGAAACGACCTTATTAGCCACAGGGCAGCCAGCCAGATTACCACCTAGAGGACGAATAATGCCCGCTCTGCCCAGTATAATAAACGCTCATCCGGATCTCGATTGTGAGTGTTTTCTCGTTTGAAATGAAAATTAATAACGCAGATTAAATGGTTTTAGCTTCGATGCGGAGCTGAGAAGGTATTGTTTTTACAATGATGTGTTTTTATTTTTTGTGTCTGGACCTGAACTCTATAGATGAGAAATCATACCTGGAAGGTGCTTTGTCAGGCCAAAAATTTAAAAAAATCACCCCTTCCCGATCAAAATCGAGAAAAACACCTAAAAAATGTACAAATTTTTCAACTTAAAATTACGATGCTCTATAACTTTTTAAAAAAATAGTCGAAAATGTTCCAAATTTATATGAATTGTTTTTCAAACATAGTACTATCGATAAACATTAACAAACCAAAAAAATATCATAAACCCTTTCCCTTAGAAGTGATAGAATTTTTTTATTTATTTCACTTTTTTAAGCAAATTTTAGAGATTTAGATCTGAAAATTAGACCGAAGGTAGATCTAAAATGGAACTATAACATATACAATTTTCTCAAAAATCTGTAGTGAAATTTTTTTTTTTATTAAGGAAAAACCCCAAAAATAGGGTACATTTACACTTTGGCCGTAGTCAGTTTCTAGGTTGCTATGTGCGGTGAATCAACAGTCAACATGTAATGAAAATATTTGTATTATATTGTTAATTACGATACCTATATGAGTAACTATGACAGTACATGTTTATAGACAGACGATCAACCCTTATCGTATCCACCCTGCACAAGACTAAATATTAAATTTTACGTACATTATTGCTGGTCCCGCGATATCTTCTAAACCGCTATAACTGGTTTGAACATACTATCCACAGATTCGCATCGAAGCGTTTATTTAAAAGTGATTTTATCACTTTCAGTTATAATAAAATCTGTAGACCTGTGACCTCTCCGTCCCCACTATGCCCCGACCCCACTGTACTGGCTTTTTTTTTTTTTTGCAGATCAAAATAACGTCATAAACGATGCACTTGTTTTAAATATAGACGCTAGTAAACGTCTGGGCGAAAGGAGAATGCCCGATATGCTGGACATTCCCGGTAAAGGACAGTGTTATGTGTACTGTGCTAGGTAATGTAACGTGAAAACAATTGAAATTTATATTTCTATAAATTGTAACCATATAACATTATTATATTATTTTCAGATATTCGTACGATCCGTTCTATTGTTCCCCGAATGAAAACTTCGAAGAAGAGCTTCCGATCACGGCAGGAGATTACATTTTGGTTTGGGGAAATAGAGACGAAGTAGGAACACTAACTCAGATCGTTCGAGAATTGTAAAATATAACAACCAGTTGAATTGTTGTTTACAGGATGGATTTTTCGATGGCGAACTTTTAGACGGTAGACGTGGATTAGTGCCTTCCAACTACGTACAACAGCTATACGGTAGAGAACTAGAGGAATTCTATCAATCAATGGTGGTCAGGCTGAGAGAATGTGACGACAGCGCCACCACCACAGTGCCGCAAAACATAGAAGACATGCTTCCAGGTCGGACAGACGGTGAAGCCAATTGATAGTATTCCATTGGAATAACCGAATTGTCACGTTAAGTAAACAACCAACTTGCATATTTATTTATGTTTTAGACGAGCAAATGAAGAGACTTGCTCAACAAGAATACAACAACATGTTTGACGATTATCAAGAAGACGATAACGTGGACGATGATGGTGAGAATATTTATTTAATATATACACTAATAATTAGGTAATTCAGTTGATCACCTTTCAGATTATTTTCCTAATTTGTTTTAAAATCAATACAGAAAAATCGATTTAGATATCAATTTTCTTTTAATTACTGTCGATAGCAGTATTGCAACTTGAAATAGAAATATTCAATGAATAAATCAAATATATTACATTATCATTACATTTCATTTATAATTTAAATTTATGTAAACCGAGATAACTATATTAGATACGCGTATAAAAAAGCACCTAAAAGATTAAGTTTCATTAATCTAAATATCTAAATTTAAAATCATCTAAACCAAGTATTATAGTAGGATAATAATTATCGCAGTAGGGTGAAATGAATACAAAATATTGTGTATTTATTTTGAATTGCTTACAGAAGTTATACAATTTTTATGTAATATATTTTGCTGCTATTAGTATCTTAAAATACTACAGTTGAAGTTTAAAAATTGTTCATAAATATCTCATACATTTTAAATTTATTTTTAATTGTATTTTGGCAGCAAAAGATATTTGTTTTAATATTTAATTTTGACTTTTAGTAAGTGTACACTGTACAAGCTAGAGCCATTATCAACTAGAGGTGTATTTTTTTCCGTTTCAACGTTTATAATATCATTTTTAGAATATTATCGTATAGTTTTTGATCTACTATTATTCTTACATCTACCGTAATTAAAACAAATAATATAATAATAATAAGAAGCTGGTTGTTTTTCTAAAATTATAGTACATATGTTAGGTCACAAGAATTCGCTAAAAATACATTACTTATAGTAGAATTATTAAAAACTAAAACTAAAACCGTAAAGTAAAAATACAATATGAAAGAGTTTTTTTTAACTTCAAATAAAAGTAGAGTAATTTGAGATAATATAGTTTTACAAAATCGTTGCAGGAAAATTGTTTGTACCTAGTGATATATTTTATAAACATATTTTTTTTCTTATTTTTTACTCACATTGTATTGGCGGCTGAATATTCTAGACTAGTGCATGTAGAGCTAGCGTAGAGTAATAGCGTCTTGTTTGGGGGGAATTGTTTTTTCCGGGGCGTCGTCACTGTTAGACATGTTCTTCTCGCTGCTAGTACCGGCCCCGAAGCAGCTGACGTTGGAAAGACAGCTGAACAAAAGCGTGCTGATCGGATGGAACGCGCCCTCGCAAGAAGAAGGATGTCTGCCCGAATCGTACCACGTGTACGTGGACGGCAATCTCAAAACGACCATCAAAGCTACCGAAAGAACCCGTGCTCTGGTAGAAGGAGTCGACTCTAATAAGGTACCCGTAAATAGAAAAAAATAAAAATGTAATACACCTACCAAAGGCGCCCAAATTTCGTGTACAGCACCGTTTATCTGTGTATTTTAAAAATTCAATGCGCCTACCCAATAAATAATGCATAATTAACAATTATGTTATTAAAACGAGGGGACATTAAAGCCCTAATTTATATTGCGCAATGGCCCCCAGATGATAGTTACGGTTAATAAAGTGTATCCCTACTGCCCACGCACTTTGGGGTTTAACATCCACGTGGGCGGTCGTCACTCGGGTCGGCCGCCGACCTAGGTCGTGTTATCTACGTGGTGACTTTCCGTTTGACAAAATTACAATATACAGGGTGTTCTAGCATGAAAGGTAAGTAATAAGTGATTAGACATTTGGGGAACATCTGGATAAGTAAAAACTTGAAGGTTTCGACAAATAAGTAAAAAAATAATGACCTAAAAAAATATTCCACGTTATTCAGTGCAAAATACTCACCTTAAAAGAGGGGTCACATCGTTTTCAGTCACTAATTCTTCTCTTATCACTTATTTTATCATTTATTTCTTACCTCTAGTCATAGATATATATATATATATAATAAACTAGATTGCTAACTGTACATGCCACCAATAAAGAAAATTGAAGCAGCCACTTTTCGCCATCTTGGTGGGAATTAGAACCTTATCACGCGAGAATAATATGTGTTTATAACAATCACATATATATATATATATATATAATATTGATATAATAATATATACAGATATATATTATATGCATTGATAACACACATATATCCCACCAGAATGGCGGACCGTCGGTTTCAATTCTTATCGCTAGTTAGCAATCTAGTTTATTATATATATATCTGTGCCTCTAGTCTCTAATCATTTATCTCTTATCATTTGTTTCTTATCTCTTATATCTAATTATTTATCTCTAATCTCTTATCATTTATCTCTATATAGAAAGGGACTGAAAATGGTGTGACCCCTCTTTTAAGGTGATCTTTTTCCACTGAATAACGGGCATATTTTTTTTTTTTAGTCATTATTTTTTTACTTAACTGTCGATATTTTAAATTTTAGACTTATCGAAAAAATGAAAACGGGGGGCTTATTTAGGGGTTCCCCAGATGTCTAATCACCTGTTACATACCTTTCATACTGGAACACCCTGTTTAATTTTATTATTCTATTGAAGTTTCATTATTTTTGAAAGTTTTTTACTCCACCACCACCACCACCACCACCGAGTACGTCTAAATAGACTTAACAGCTTTACACATATACTTTTACTTTTGTGTATAGAAACCTGTAACATCCTCGCGACACATACTGTATATAGTTTTTACCCAGAAGTGCGACTGACTATCTTCTTTTGCGATTGTGGTGTTGCAGCCTCATAGGATTAGCGTGAGATCTGTGACAGCCAACAGGAGGACGTCCAGAGACGCGGCTTGCACAATGGTAATCGGCAAGGAAAAAGAACTACCTCTTCGGCCGTCCCACGTGAAAGCGAGTCAGGTGACTTCCACATCGGCCGTAATATCCTGGCTGCCGAGCAACAGCAACTTTCAACATGTCGTTTGTGTGAACAATGTTGAGTTGAGAACTGTCAAGCCCGGTGTATACAAACACACGATAACAGGTATAGATCCGCATAGATCCATGTACATTGTAATTTGTAGATCCACTTTAAAGATTTTACCTGTTTCGAGGAAATATCCATTTTTTTTTTATTATAATATATCCATTGAATGTTTTTGTATTATAATTATTATTCATCAGGGTGCACCTAAAAGTATTGTCTTAGACCTAAATTACGTCAGCATGTTTATAAAATATACAATTATAACATAACATACAAGAATGAAAAACGTCGGATATTTTAAAGAAAGTTTTTTCTTATCTCAAGAACAAGTCAATCACTTGGCTAAGCACTCGACCGTCCTGAAATGAACGTGCAATATTTTTGCATCTCATTTACTTATACAAGTGATGACATTTTAATTTGGGTATCAAAAAACTATCTACCTATCGACAAAAAGTTAACGACACTACTTAGAAGTAATATTAAATAATAATTAGTCACAAGTAAGGTTTTCGTGTAGGTTCAAATCCAGATTAAGTGTTGGCCTTAGTTAAAACTGTTAATATCTTTGTTATCCTTAGCTTTTGTGACATTTTCGGGGCGTCATTTTAGTTGCTAAATAATGAATTAAATATAAGTGTTAAGGGGGCGAATTTTCATTGACACCTGGTCTTAGCATTGATACAAAGCTGAAAGTTTTTGGTTTTATAATTATGTGTTTTACGCATAGTATATCTTATCAAAGCTTTATTTGTAGAATGAAAAAAAACCAGGATAGACACAATATTAGTATAATTATTTTGTGACATTAACTGTAAACTATTATTACCTGTCTAATAGTTTTTTTCTAAATTAGACCAGATGGTTAATTACCTATTAAAAATCTTAAAATAGTACTTGTATTACTGCGGCATTTGGAAACTAAAAGATACATTTATGTTATTCCTATTCCTATGCTCTTTATCATTTGAAATTTCGGCTTCTCAACTTTAAATTACAATACTTCTTACTACTCGCATAAAAAAAAATAAAGAAGCACAATATTGTTATAGATTGAATACCTTGAATGGCGCCCTTGGATACAAATTTGTTTAGTTCTCATGTTTCTCATTTAAAATCCAAATTTTAGATTATTGCATGTTTATGGATTACAATGTTATTACTATTTACTTTTATTTTTAAAAATGGGTTATTATTACATTTTTATTTAAAAGTAAAAATGTTTAACTTGAATTAACTTGAAACACAAGACAATTATATAAGGTTTAATCTAACAATACACTATTGGTTTTTGAAGTAGGTATCCTTTATAAAAAAAAATTGCATTAAATAATTTAAAATTTACACTATACGTGTCTCTAACGCGAAACTAAAAAAATAACCATAAATTAAAAATGAATGTTTGTTTTTCATAAAAAAAATGTTCAACTCCTATTATAGGACTCTGTTACCATTTTACAATTACTTTGAAAATACTATTTTTATCTAATAATTTACACCTACATATAATTTTACTATTTTTATATATTTTAATAGAGTTTAAAATACAAGTTGAATTGTTAAAAACATATTATTTTGGTTGTTGGGTTGTGTTTAGGTTTGGTGCCTAATACTCTGTACAGGGTAACAGTTAGTGCTAAGACGTTGCGTGCTCCATCGTTTGATCAAAAAAGGACAACTGCTTCTATGGAAAAATTTTCGACGCACATAAATTTTAAAACACTTCCTAAAGGTAAATCATTTTCGTTCAAATACAGGCTTTACTTATTACGACTCATTTAACGCTCGGTCATGAAATTTCAAATCACTGCTAATGTATTGTCTATTAATACTTAATCTTATGTTTATTTTTTATCATGGAATACATTTTGTTGGCTTTGCAACACTAACAAAGAATTGACCAATTCGTCGCAAATGTCATATTTATTTATATATTTTCAGAACGTAATTCTATATTTCAACGATTGTTATTATTATAGGTCTAATATTATAATAAATATTGTGTTAAATAAACCGTTTTAATTGTTTGCTTTATTTTTTGTATTGTGCTTGCATGTGTTGCATACAGGCTGCAAAGGTAGATTATAATGTTTAATTTTATTATACTATGTTAGAAAAACACATTTTTTACATAAAAAGCAGATACGTTTACAAAAAAAAAATAGTGAAATAGGTGGCTTAAGAGACGTATAAAATAGATAATAATTTATATTATAAACGGTAAAAATTGTAATAATTTTGTTTACCAATATGTATATTTTTATCATTTAAAATGTTTACACGAGTTATGTAGTACGTCTGCGGGATTTAAATGTATTATTTCAAAACTAAAATTTCGTAGCGGATCTGCTTTAACATAATTTATTTATTGTGAATAAAATTTAAAGAAAAACTTGTAAAACTCCGAACCGTATTTTGTTGCTTTGTTAACACGAAGACAGGTTTACATTTGTAAAAACAATATGCGAGTACACATTTTATTTACTCAAACAAACCTAATGTGAAAATACACAGGTAATCGATAGAATTGTGTACAACTAACTGACGTTTGTTACAAGTTTTTCTTTAAATCATTTTTTTCTGTTTTTTTTGTGCATCTATTCTACTTTAAATGAACACTGCCAATTATGTAGGATTACCTGACCCGCCTTCGGAAATACAAGTGGAATCAGGCCCTCAGGATGGTACTCTCTTGGTCACTTGGCTACCAGTGACCACGGCCCTCAGCGATCCAACCAACAGGGGTTATATCACCGGTTACGCTGTGTATGCAGATGGAAAGAAAGTGTCGGATATCGATAGCCCTACAGGTTAGTGAACGCAATCACAATAATGATTTTGTTATTTTTTATATTGTTATAAAAATGATGGTTTGTTGAAATGTTTTAGGTGATCACGCCTTGATAGATATTACACAATTGCTCAGCCTGAACCCTAGACAAGTGACTGTTCGCACAAAATCTAGAGATAACCAATCGCCAGACAGTGTTCCGGTATTAATACCCGGAGCGAAAAATAAGCCTCCGCATCACCACCATCATCATCACAAGGTTAACATTAATTAGTATAGCAAGTTAATTGGACTTATGGCATCATGAGAGTTTTACAGACTTGTATAACCCATTTATGTACCTAAAACTGTCAATTTATTGTAATTTTTTTTTTTTTTTAACAGGAAGAGGACAAACGTATGAAGTATGGTTCGGCAGTTCCGAGTCATATGAGACCACAGCGGAACGCTTACGGTCAAGTGATTGTCGACACCGAAGCGGAAAATCTCAGTGACAAAGAAATATTCCCAGGGCAAATAAGCATACCGTCGATAGGTTGGTAATCATTTCAGCTCGATTATCTATTACGTTAATATTTATTGTTTTTCATTCGAATATTAAACTTTAAACAGAAGTAACAAAGGAGTTTACCGGAGAGGGAAATTACAGCGAGGAAGAGTTCATGGAGAACGGCCGCGGAAATAGACGAGCACCTTCCGCTCATCCGCACAGGCCTGCTGCACCTACACCACGGTCTAAACCTGTACATCACGTTCGCCATCATTATGATGAAAGGTATAACAGCTTAATGGCCGGTTTCAAAGAAAAAAAACCGTTTAATGTACGTCAAAATGCTCGGTTTGAACATTTATAGTTGATCTTTTTTGTAGCAGGGAACCCGCATACTATCAAAACGAAAAACAGATAGAGCCTAGGATAAAACACGGTGGTGTCGGTGGAGTTGGTGGTGGTGGCGTTGCAGGTGGTGGTGGAGTTGTTGATCAAAGACCGTACAGAGGACGAATTTCAGACCCTAGACACGGTACGTACCAGAAAACAGCGAGAGACAAACGCACCAGATGGATGGTGGCCATCTATGACTACGATCCAGCAACTATGTCTCCTAATCCGGATGTTTGCGAAGAAGAGTTGCCGTTCAAAGAAGGAGAACACATAAAGGTATATTTGTTTGTTTTGCTAATCCAATAATCAATTATATGGGTCAGGTAAAGCATTGCGAAATATCTGTTTTAGATATACGGCGACAAAGATCCCGACGGATTTTATTGGGGAGAGTGCAGAGGAAGGTTTGGTTATGTTCCTCACAATATGGTCATGGAGATTAGTGATATGCAAAAGGTAAAATCCGATTTCGAAAATAAGTAAAATTGCTTACATTTTCACCTTAACGTATACAATGTCAAGACTATTGTGGGCTTATTTAACAATGTCAGTTATTACATTATTACAACTGACACTGTTGCTGGCAAGAACCTAATAAACTAAAAGCTGATATTTTGTGTGTTTGGTTCAGAAAATGAAACGTAGTGTTTTTTTCTAAAGAGTATCGATGAATATGTTTTTAGATATTACAAAGTGTGTAAAATGAATATTATCGAAATTTCAAATACAATTTCAATTAAATGAACTTTGAAAGTTGCTTAATGTCACAACTTTATAGCTGTTTTAGACTTAATGAATGTTCGTTTTATTTATATTATGATTCATACGCCTATGGTAATAAATGAGTTGGTTGATTCAGTTTATACATTTTCGATAAAAAGTATTTAACTTTTGAGGTAAAGTGTGTTTAACTACAAAGGTACAGCGTGCAGGTGCGAATCCGCAAGTATGCGTCATGCGGATTCGCGTTGTGATATTTAAACAACAGTTTGTTTTTTGTTGAAACCACTGGTAAGTAAATAAGTTATAATAGTAGAAATAATTTTTTTTTTTATTCAAGTTGTTTGGTGTATTACTTAACATTGAAATAAAAAAAATAACGCGTGTATCAAGCGATCGTTTTTGTTGACTACCTACCTATTATTTAAAAAAATCAACTTTATGATAGCCATGAATATATGATGCGCGATTCACGTTGGAACAACTCTTTGTACTTGTTTTAAACAATTGTATGTGTTTTCTAGAGCCAAGATTCTAGAGCAAGAAAAGACGACCGTTGGGTCGATCCTTATTCGGGGCCTGTGAAAAAAATGGTAGCACTATACGATTATGATCCAATCGAACATTCCCCCAATGTTGACGGAGATGTTAGTATATTGTTATTTATACTTTATTATACAATACTTAATAGGCAGCATACAATGTATACAAACCCGATGCGAGTGCAGTAAAGTATTTACGGGTAAAATAACGTCGCCGGTTGTTTAAACATAATCGTTGCCCGACTAGAATGTATAGCTGTAGGCAGAGATGGGCATTTTTTATTTAAGTTAAAAGTTAACTCGATGACTAAACATTTTAGTCATATCATAAAGTTAACTTTTTAATCATGATTAATTTAATCATACAATAACAAAAAAAATTAGTCATGAATACAAATTTCAACTTTGAAGTACGATTAAATTAGTCATGATTGAAGTATTTAATCACGGGTAATAGTTAAATTAATCTTGATGATTGAAAATGTTAACCATGGGCTAAAGTAGAATAAATCATGATTAAAAAAATTAACTTTTTTGTAGGTACACACGAATAAAGTTATTAGAGATTTAAGAAGTATATTTTTTTTCAATTTAATATTATTATGTATAACGTAAAAAACAAATTATTAATTACGAATAACAATGATTAAAAATTTTAATCATGAATTAAAATATTAACGCGAATAATAGTTAAATTAGTCATGATTGAAAAAAATTAATCATGACCAATAGTTAAATTAGTCATGAGTAAATGAAATTAATCACGTATAATAGTTAATTTAATCGTTATTCGTGGTTATACGAATAATCAACTTTTATTAAAAAATTAACTAAATAATGCCCAACTCTGGCTGTAGGCGACTACCCTGCAATGTTAACGCCCAATTGAACTGTCGCGGTACTGCGGTAGGCGTCCCCGGTATTTAATTAATTAATTAACCGTTGTTCGTTTTGTATTGAGTGTCGTTTAAATAGATATACGATTTAACATGATTGCACGGGGGGTGGTGTGTGTGTGATGTTGCAGCAGGTGGAACTCCATTTTAAAATGAGTCAAATTATTTTCATTTACGGCGAGATGGACGACGACGGTTTCTACCGGGGCGAGTGCAACGGCGTCCGGGGCTTGGTTCCTTCCAACTTCCTGATGGAAGTGGGCGCCGATTATGGTCCCGAGGACGCGGTCGGTGCACAGCAGCAATCCAAAGGACATACAAGACAATCGCAGCAGCAGCAGCAGCAGCAACAGCAAACGCAGGACATGCGAGGTCACGGGCCGGGTGCCCGCGGGCCTCCGCCTCCCCCGCGTGGCATTGATCAGCCGCCCAAGCGAAAAGGTACGCAACCGTGCACTTAACTACTTTACTTCCCCCGGGAGAAGGCTCTACCGAAAAAAATTGCAATATAAATCCGCTCAAAAAGTACACATTTTATAAAAAAAACAGCTATAAACGTGATGAAAACAAAGAAAAATTGATCAGCAAAATGGTCGTATGTTATTACACTGATAAAACCGTGATGGTGGGTTATTTTGTTATCGTTGTCGCGGAGTTTATTTTTTTTATTAACATTATAATTTTTTTTTTTTTTTGAACGGCTCAGTTATAATTTTTTAATATTATAAACACCTCGAGATCTTTATGGGAAAACATGCATATACACTGTGATACACAAAACGACTTAATTAATCCCCCCCCCCCCACCTATACACATACAAATATATACATTCGGTACAAGTTTTTGGTTTTTGCCTGATCACACTTCATAGCTTGTTTTTTTTTTTTTTTTTTTATGTTATGATTTTAGTTATTTTACCAATCCTGGTTTTTTGTCACGGTTTTCCACCCGTTGTAATGCGCTTTGAGTTGTCTTTTTGTGACTTTATGTGATTTATTTGTGTGTACCAAATTCGAATATATTATTTTCTGTTTGGTACGTTTTTCTACAACTACAGCAACTGGGGTGCTATTTTAACGTGTAAATGGTGGATGCGTTTGCTCGTACTCAAACGGTAAAATTAAATTGCATTTTCTTTGACCTCGGTTTTTGACCATCAACGGGAACAATAGCAGCTAAAAGTATAAAACGTTACATAACAAAATAGGTGGAGCTAATAATGGTGTTAAAATACTTGCCACAAAATTATTAAAATTCATAACGCTTAATACAATAAACAAGTATTGTTTATACTCTAAATTGAATTTTGTAAAATGTATATTTTAATACGATGAAAACATACTTAATACATTATATGGTATTGTAATATCAACACTCATACACTGTAAATGGATATTAGTGGAAACATTAATATACAATTATAAAATACATTCACTCGATAAAGCTTTTAATCGGTACACTAAAGTTTGTTTATCATGATTAATAGTTTTTAATTATTTGATTTAAAATATTCCCCTCTCTAATAAAATTAACATCCACGTGAATTTAACTAATTTAAGAAATATCAAGTAAATTCGGTACAAATACTATTGTTTTAATTGAAATAAATTGATAGGATAACACCTATTATAATGATATATACTATACAATATAAATCAAATTTAGAGCAGGCAAAATTACGAATTATAAATTAGGTATAAAATGTTATCTAATCGAATTAAAATGTTACAACAATACCGAAAGCTAAATAAATATGCCTACATAAATAAGATTAATAATAATCTAATAAACTCTTTTGTTATTTTTTTTTTAAATCAATTGTTTATTTCGTGTCTACATAGTATTAAACCTATATATAGCTCCACCTATGAACAATGCAAACGGATATGAATAATTAAAATGCATGTTACAATATTGATCTCCATGTGTGCTTTTCAATGTTTTTATTTTTGTTACTGGTTTTGGTTTGGTAGGTATTTGTTTTTTTTATACATATAAAACATGAAATACTTATAATGGAATAAAGCCGTATGTTCAATTTTTTTTATACGCTAATTTTGATTGTCTCAAACGGATTTAAATTGTTATTATATATTATGTACGTTTTTTCAACGATATGACCCACCTTCAATGTGTTCCAAGCATGTGAAATGTTTTTTTACCCGTTTCCATTCATTTGCCACACTATAACGGAAACGTTGCCGTGCGATTTTGGGTTGCACGCACTGAACTGTATACATGGAAGGCGCTTAATGCAGATTTTTCATATAATAAAAGTAACGCGCCTCGGAGGCCGCCATTTTGAATCCGTTTTCTTATTTCACTTACCCTATCTAATTTCATTTAGTGATTTTCGACGATGGTTTCTGACTTCATATTGTTGATATAATTTTTTTTTAACCGGTTATAAAAGATAATACGATGTTATCAGATTTTTATCATGGAATAAATGGAATACTTTACACCGTTTTATCCATGACAGGACTCAAAATGGCGGAATCCGTGTGTCGCCAATTTATTTTCGCTATGCGCTTTCCGTGTATACAGTTCAGTGGTTCAGTGATTATTATTTTCGTGAGAATCTTGAAAACACAAAAATAATAATCAATTATAGACTTGAAAAAGAAAAAATTAAAAATGTTTAAATATCATCACATGATAAAACACGGATTTGAGAGCATGTTCTGTGTTTTGGTTTTTTCCTTTTTGTTGTTTTTATTTTACCGTGGTTACATTGTGTTATCGAAACCACATGCAAATATTATTATATATTTATGTTTTCTGTATGTTTTTTCTATCTTTTTGTTTTTTCTATCTTTGTTCTGTTCGCTATAGATGCCTGCCTTCCGCAGTATGATTATCACCAGGTGAGTGCGTGTGAGCTATTAATTTTTTTTAAACCAGCGTATATGCGTCTTCTTCGATGCATATCGTTTACATTAATATATTACACTTGTGTCACTTGTATACCTCTGCACACCGGTAACCATGATATTATATATACCACCAACATCAACAACAATACACCGCTATGTTATTATTATCATAATAACGTCAGCGACAACGACAAACGCCCCCGAGTTCGACAATACCACACATTAGGATAAGAGTGATAACAGTATTCAATAACAATACAGTACACGTACACGTCAAAATCAGTTTTATTTATCTTTACAATATACAACCCGCTGAGACATCATAATATAACATGAGTGTAAAATATATCATTATGTCTACCGTTAAAGGTGTTATAAATTTGTGTTATGAACAGTACATCATTATATTAAATATTATCATTATTAAAATAGTGATTTGACGTCGTACTAATTATTAACAGATTAACCCATAAAAAATCGCCATCTCGGCTTCTTTAAAATTCCATTCATATATTTTATTACAGCAGCAAAGTGTCGTCCTAACATCACCTATTTATTGCTTAAAAAATGTTTACTGAGGCGTCCTGTTTAATGTATTAAGAACTACATAGATACTACATTTAAATAATTGAATCTAACCTAACCTTGTACATATATAAAATTGTTACCGCAAAAGAAAACAAAAGTATTCGAACGTGTGTGGTAAAAAAAATGGCTTAGTTATTTATTACAATTCACCCTCTAACTCGTCTGCCACAGTAGATGTTTATACAGTTACCGATTGATTTTACCTATCATAAAGTGAGACGTCCTGCACGGCTATTATTTTATAAAGATTACCAAAATCCTATTGTTTTCTATTATACCTACCTACCCACTTACCTGCCTACTGGAGTGGGACTTTCAAAATTCGAAATTTCAAAAAAAAAAACGAAAGATGGTACTATTATTTTTAAGTATTGAATAATTATTGCAATATACTAATAACCAGATGTCTAAAGAGAAATATTGTACGAAAACAATAGTGAAAGACAAAATTAATGAAATGCAAATTATTCGAGGTTTTCTAATTTTATCGGTTTTTTCATTAAATTAATTTTTAATAACTTGGTTTTTATAGATTTTTAATTTAGAATACATATCTACATACAATTGAAATTACACAGGGTGTTCCAGCGTTAAAGGTAAGTAATAGGTGAATGGACATCTGGGGGACCCCCAAATAAAATCCCCGTTTTCATTTTCTCGATAAGTCAAAAATTGAAGATTTCGACAGTTAAGTAAAAAAATAATGACTTAAAAAAAAAAGTTATGACCTTTTATCCAGTGCAAAAAGCTCACCTTAAAAGAAGGGTCATATCATTTTCAGTCCATTTCGGCCTCTAACTCAAAAAATGATAAGAGAAAAATGGTTAGAGACCAGAAATAAATGATAAGTGATAAAAGATAAATACTAAGACATAATTGATAAGAAATTAGAGATAAATAATTAGAAACAAGAGATAAGAGATAAATGATTAGAGACTAGATGTAAGAAATAAATGATAAGATATGTGATAAGAGAAGAGTTAGGGGCTGAAAAAAACTGAAAATGATGCGACCCCTCTTTTAAGGTGAGCTTTTTGCATTGAATAACATGGAATATTTTTTTGTTTTTTTAAGTCATTAATTTTTTACTTAACTGTCGAAACCTTCAATTTTTGACTTATCGAAAAAATGAAAACGGGGAGCTTATTTGGGGGTCCCCCAGATGTCCATTCACCTATTACATACCTTTCATGCTGGAACACCCTGTATGCTTATAATAATATTTTTTTTATAAATTGGAGAAGAGTGAACTCTTTGAGTGAAGAGTGAGTAATAAGGCTTTCCTATGTCTAGAATAAAAAATGTTTGTAAAAATTTCGAATTATTGAGGTCCCAACCCACACTTGCCTACCTATAAGCTAAAAATATACTTACTATGAAGCATGAATGATAGAAAAAAATAATAAAAAAATTGTTTCTATGGTAAAAAAAAACAGTAGAAAAACTTTAATAAATGGTAAACCGCGTTACTCTTATAGATGTCGGCGGCGGCGGATGCGAGGGAGAGAGGCGACCCGTACGAGAGGAGAGATGGTAGAGACGGCGGGCTGATGACGGGCGGCTACGGGCAACCGCCGCAGCAGGCCGGCCAACAAAACAGCAGCACTTCCGGCAAGCTGTTCAAAGGGTTGGCGCACGTGGTTCCGGATTTTGGACTGGGCGGCGGTCGTTTGCATGACAATCAGCAGCAACACCAGCAGCACAACCAACAACAACAACAACAACAACAACAGCAGCAACACTCTGGCACGTCCAGTTTTATGCAAAAGCTCAACGACCTCACTCATCATCACAACGCGAACCAACCGGCAACGTCGGCTCAACAACAGCAACAACAGCCCGCCGACCACGGTGTAGACAATATCCTGGCCAAGGGCAAAGATCTAATTTTCATGAAGTTCGGCCTGGGCAAATGATATTCACTGACGGCTATTAACGCGGCCACCACCGCGCTTTTTACCATAACCATAACCGCATTTCGAATGTGTTGTTCCCGTTTGTTTCTCGTTGTCCGTTTTTTTTTTTTTTTTAATTTATCGTCGACTTTATTATATTATATTTTTGTCATCCATTGCTCACACACAGTACGACGAAAAGTAAAAAAAAAATAGTCTCCCATAAATTACACGCTCTAATCACTAAACTGTATACACGGAAAGCGCATAGTGGAAATAAAATGGCGACACACGGATTCCGCCATTTTGAATCCTGTCATGGATGAAACGGTGTAATATACCGTTTATTCCATGATAAAAATCTGATAACATCGTATTATCTTTTATAACCGGTTAAAAAAAAAATGATATCAACAATATGAAGTCAGAAACAATCGTCGAAAATCACTAAACGAAGTTAGATACGGCAAGTAAAATAATAAAACGGATTCAAAATGGCGGCCTCCGAGGCGGGTCATTTTTATTATATGGAAAATATGCATTATGCGCTTTCCATGTATACAGTTCAGTGGCTCTAATAATATGTAAAAGTATAGAAAATAATGTTATTATTATTAAAAGGTAGGTGTTTATTAGTTATTAAATTATAATTATTATTCGCCTGTAAACCGTCGTGTTAATAGTCGACAGTGATTATCGATTAGCGTTATATATATATATATATTATTATGATTATTAATAAAACTATTAATATTAGCGAAACTCTCCTCTGGGGTGCACACTGCCCTTTATCTTTTCTGTATTAAATTTTTTATAATTAACACTATTGTCGACTTCCATAATAAGATATCTACATATATAATTATCTTATATTATGTTAACGATATTATATCAAATCATTATACATATAAATACTAATTGTTTGTTTTTGTTTTCTTTATTATATTATCATTATCGCTGTTGTAAATAATCTAGCAATACTATATAGATAACTCTAATATTTAAATAATTATTATATTACATAAAAATGTACACTGTTATATGCACACACAAACACATAATCACAAATTATGCTCGAGGTATAATATTACTATTATTAATTGATTTATGTAATTATTATGAATAAATAAATTATTATAAATTACATATACGATACCTCCATAATAAATCTATATTATACTATTAACGTAATTAACACTTAAGATGGAAAAAGTCAAAGGCTGTGATATTAATTATATTTAAATACATGTAATACCTAGGTACAGACGCAAGTAGAAGATAATATTTCCTTTAGGTGTATAAACCATTTATTATCAAAAAAAAACCTAATACTTCTTAAAAAAAAAATTAATAAAACACATCACTGAAGTGCTGTTTAGAATTTATGAATTATGACTGTATTAGGTGTTAAGCATATAATATGTAAAACTTCATAAGACTTAGTGAGTTTAAGACGTTCTTAAAAAAAAAAACCAAAATACACCTTTATTAATAATAATAAAATATCTCAATATAAATATAAACTTTCCGCACAAACATTTCGATTGAATAATTATGGTGAAATCAGAATTGCTCAGAAAAATAGCTTTTAATGCCAGTATTTTTTGGCATCATTGATAAAAATACAAAACTAAACTATCAAAATTAAAATTAACGTCTAAAAAAGCTTAAAATATAGTATTTACATAATTTTAAACATTGTACTCGAAGTAGCACTTGTGTAGATTATTAGTAATTATTACTGTGAATTAAAATTGAAATCATTTAAAACCAACTCATTACACAGTTAAAACCACACATAACATCAGTTAAAAGGTTGGTTGTTGTGGTAATGTTACTTCTATCTTTTTTATACTTTTAAAATGCTACAAAATTTCTTTGGAAAGTCAACGCTGATTTTAAAACAAATTATTGTATAATAATTAATATAATATGTTTAAATTTTTAACGTGTAGTGAAAATCATTTAAAAATAAAAATATATATTTTTTTTTTTATGTACAGGTTAGGTATAATAAATATCAAAGAAACAAAAGAGAATAAAAACATACACTTGCATTGTTTACTTTAAGTACCCATTTATAAGTAGTGTCTATAATAATAAGTTAGATAAAATTTACAGTGATTATGTCTAAAATAAAGCTTAAATAATTTACTATTCCAATTATTACCGCACACATTAGCGATGTTGATGATAGCTTTGTGTAAATACAAATCAGCGTTTTAGTAATATTAGCATAATAAAAAAATTCTTAATAAATATCTTCCAAGACCCAAGTCCATTAAATCATGTTTAGAAAAATTGGTGTTTGTTATCATCCAATTAGACAGCGAATTAATTACTATAATTTACCTTCAAATAATATATATATATATTTATCTAAATAAGACTATTTAATATTTTTAGATCTCTATAATATATATATATATATATATATACCTATACCAGTATTTATTGTATCATTATAATCGAATAAGGAATTGTAATTTTAACAATAATTGTGTACTTATCATTATTACTAAATCATGTTCATAAATAAAATACAATTATCAAATATTTAAAACACTATTGTGATTGCGAATTCGTTTTACTTTACCTATAAGGTAAAATCAGTCAGTCCCGTTGTACTCCAAAATATCAACTTACCAAGTAGTAGTAACCAATCAATTGAATTTACTGTTAATTTAACAAAATATATACCCTCTCGTTTATCGCACCTACATGGATAGCTGTTGTGGACATAATATTATATTATCATGTTTTGCTATTGTATTTTTAAACGTTTCAACTAAGAGCACAACAGTGACGACGGCCAAGCTAATTATAGTTTTGGTATTCCACGGTGACACTAGTCTGTTGACCGAATGTATAGCGAATAATTGTCTACCGAGTTGTGGGAACCCAATTTAACACACATAATATACCAATCGACTGTCCAAAGTACACAATATTTTATAGGTAAATCTAACCACACTGCATATCGGTTTAGAACGTATACAACTTTGTAATAACTAATAAATTGTAATTGAAACTAATAAAAAACCTTTTTTGTTTAGTACATTTGAATCTGTTAGCATTGTTGTAATACCGACTAGCAAACGAACCAATACCTAACAGCTGTGATGAAACAAAACGATAGGTTATTATGGTGTTTTTTTTAAAGATACCTAATAACTTTTTTTTTTAATTTTAACAGGTTATATACAAATTTTAATTGAAATATATCTGACAATATTTATGATGCGGCGCATATTAATGTGGCGTGTAAATAATCACCATTAAATTATCTTTCACGATTTAGAGGCACACCTATTAGGCTTTTAAATATTAAAAAAAATATATATATATATAATTATAAAAATATAAATGCAAACATGCACAGATAATTGATTATGCCATTTTCGTGGGGCTGTTGTGTATACGAACTATATGCTTTTCAGTCCCCAAATTTTATTTGTGGACATACCTTTTTTTTATGATACTTTTTACTCATTATACTCGGTATAAATAATGTGAAAATTAATTTTTATAAAATCTGAATTAATTGCTCCTGAGAAATTAACTAACCACATTACAATGTGGTGTGGGCACTTGAAAGGTCAACAATTATTTTATGATAACCCCATTGAGGTGTGATTTTAGGCGTTAAAGGTACTAAAAAAAATAAAACAGTTTTTATACAAAATATATCATATTTTAGTTTATAACTGTATTTTAGTGAAAATGTTGGTTGTGTGCTTAACACGAATATTTATAATATTTAACGGTCAAATCGTGTTCACTCTTATCTATGATGAGTAAACATGGTGTGTAATGTTGGCGGTAAAACTATTTTTATAGTTAATTGATGTCCCAGAGGCCATTCTAATGTGGGGAACTAAATGACCCCTTATTGAGTTGTATATTACTTGTAGAAATAATTTTGAGGTTGTTTTATATTTCTTATCAAGTGAACATTGACAGAAAAAATTCACAGAATTTGATCATCTTAAATGGTTGAATAAAAATAATACTATCAGAAAAAAAAATTGAAATCAAACAATTTAGTGGACACCAAATATTTTTAATTTTAATTCAATATATTTCAAGTAAAAAAGGAATTTAACGAATCAGTGTTTTGAGTATCTTGAACAAAACAATATACTAAACAAACTGTCTATTATTTGACAATTTTATGTGCAATACTTAATTAATTACGTATACCTTCACCACATTGTAAAGGGGCCTGAAAGGGTTAAAAATACAAATCTAACGTACCCCTATAAAATGACACATGTAATGTACAAATACAATTACTGTTGAATTGCAATTTCTTAATTGGAGCTTATCAATGTTTTTGCAATATTATTATTATGATGGTTCTTAAAAGAACCATTTTACGATTATATCACATTAAACTATATAGTATTATATTATAACATATTATTATTATATTTTTCAGTTTTTCTTGGAAACTTGAGCTTTCTTGACCACCGGCGACTTTTTAGGCTTCGCTGCTTTTGCAACAGTTAGTTTTTTCGACGGCGACTTTTTAGCTTTTGGCGGTTTAGGATGATCCACTGCTGATTTTTTGGCTGTTTTCTTGGCCGCCGGATCATCAGATTTTGGCTTCTTTTTCGGTTTTTCGTCGACAGGTCCCGCCGCCGACGCCGCCTCCTTAGCGGTCGTCGCTTTTTTAACGGCCGGTTTTTTCTTGGCCGCCTTTTTCTTTTTGGCTTCAGCGGGCAACTTGAATGAACCGTTGGCGCCAGATCCTTTGGTCCGAACCAATCTGCCGTCTTCCGTGGCCGTTACTAAGAATTTTCTTATGTACGGAGCTATTTTAACGGAATCAACGCCGTAGTTGGCCGTCACGTATTTTTTTATGGCTATCAACGAACAGCCTTTCCGGTCTTTCAGCTCCGTCACGGCGGCCATGACCATTACGGCGGTGACCGGATGCGTGGCCGCCGCCGCCGATTTCACCGGCTTGGCCGCTGCTATAGTATTCTGCTTCTCTGGTGTTGCGGCGGGTGACGACGAGCCGTTTGATGATGTTTCAGCGCCGTCGGAGGACATGCTGTTGTTGTCCTCGACCATCGACGTTTCGGGTGTCTCGGACGACGACGAATCCGACGTTTCGGCGGCGGTATCTGCCATGACGTTGAAATAGGCGGAGAAACGTTGAGACAAAACGTTGTGAACCGCGACTACGGCCGTGTAATATACATGTGGTCATACCGACTAGTAAACATTTCACAACAAAATGATCGACAATGATGCTTTTTGCGTTTTTCCACTAGTAACACGGTGATGATCTACCAGAAATCATTGATCTTTTTTTAATCAAATATAATTTGCAAACCGGTTCGGTATGACTTTTTCGGTCTATTATTAGTAAAGCCACTTCGCCGACACTTAATACGCCGATAAATCTAAATGTAATTATTCAAATCCGGTTATCGGCCAGTTAAAATGTGTATTATATCTTTGCGCTTTAAAAATATCAATTAAATACAATATAGGTCACTACTGTTTGACTTTTAAAAGTTTCCCCTTTAAAATTACAATTTATAAAATGTTTTTAACTAATACCAAAAAAACAGTTTTTGTAAAACGTTTCAAAAATAATTTTAGCTCGTCCAGAAAAACCTGTGTACCGTTTGCCCTTATTGTTATTGGTGTTAGTGCTGAAACGGTCAATCTTAGATTTATGACTTGGTTTGCTGTTCACTGTAACTGGGTATATATACTTATAGTTATTACACTTTAATAATATAAATATATGTTGGGTTATTTATTACATTAAAATAATATTTTATAGTCTGTTTTACGAGATACCACTATTATAATATTCAGTACCTAATATCTATACATTGTACTATATAGGTAGCAATCATTTTTTTATTTTATAAATGGATGCGTGTGAATATGTATTAATAGTACACACAATTGCTAAAATTGTAATAAATATAGCGCAAATGCTGTGTGCTGTATTTAAAATATTTCTACGATTCCAATTTTCCACGAGGAATCATTAATAGCCATTGTAATGGCTATTAAATAAAATCATAAATCGTGTTTTTATCTATATATAAATATAAATTTGCAAGCCAAATTCAATCACAAAAAATAAGACATTTCATGTCAACACATAATACTGATTATTGATTTACATATATAAATATAAAATGTTATTTTTATGTACCTGTATATTTTATTTTATTTGATATATAAACATGTTTAATAAGTACTCTCGTTTACAATAGTATTTTGAATATTTTATTGAATTGTTTATTTAATATAATTGTTATAAATCACAAGCATATTCACATTGTCGTAAACTAGGTCAAGTAAAAATATTATTGTTTGGTCTGATGGTGGTATGCGTTTGATCAATAAACACTAAAGACCTTTTTGAACAGCACTACAAAGTCGTTGCATACTTGTAATAACGTTTAGGGTCTCTGTATAGATTACTGACAGTTGGACGATTGGTATGCAAAATTTATAGAATTTCATAAATTGGGTTATGCACAAGTTAAAGAAGAAAACGAAAAAAAAGAAAAAGAACGATGACAAAGATGCGGCGTTACAAGAAGTCGACCGGGCTATGTACAATGTTCAAATTGCTGATCTAACGGAAAAACTTACCAGGTAATTAATTTTAGTAACTAATTTTAATGGCGCTCTGTTAGTTTCAATTTGTATTAAAATTTAATGGGAAAAAAAGTGTGCTTAAATAGAATATTAATTGAGAAGTAGGAGACAGGGTCGAATTTCTTAAGTTCATATACAGGGTGTTCCAGTATGAAAGGTAAGTAATAGGCGATTGGACATCTGGGGAACCCCCAAATAAGCCCCCCGTTTTCATTTTTTCGATAAGTAAGAAATTGAAGATTTCAACAGTTAAGTAAAAAAATAATGACTTAAAAAAAAAAATTATTCCTTGTTATTCAGTGCAAAAAGCTCACCTCAAAAGAGGTGTCACATTATTTCAGTCCATTTCGACCTCTAACTCAAAGAATAATAAGAGACAAATTATTAGAGACCAGAAATAAATGATAAGTGATAAAAGATAAATGCTAAGCATATATGATAAGAGATAAATTATGAGAGATAAGAGATAAATAATTAGAAACAAGAGATAAGAAATAAATGATACGATATTAGCGATAAGAGATAAATGATTAGAGACTAGAAGTAAGAAATAAATGATAAGATATGTGATAAGAAAAGAGTTAGGGGCTGAAAAAGACTGAAAATGATGCGACCCCTCTTTTAAGGAGAGCTTTTTGCATTGAATAACTTGGAATATTTTTTTGTTTTTTTAAGTCATTATTTTTTTATTTAACTGTCGAAACCTTCAATTTTTTGTCTTATCGAAAAAACGAAATCGAGGGGCTTATTTGGGGGTCTCCCAGATGTCCAATCACCAATTACTTACCTTTCATGCTGGAACACTCTGTATGCTTATAATGTTTTTTTATAAATTGGAGTATTTTATTTATTAAAAGTTAATGTTTTTTTTTTTAACACAAATGCTCAAATATACTCGAATATACCTCCTACTAAAGCCTAAATTCATTTTTTCTCCATCTATAGAGTAACAAATAGGTGCACGGAGTTGGAACAAAACAGTGAATCGGATAGAGATAAAGCCAACGCGTTGAAAGAAAGCCAGTGTGATATTATTGCATATTTGTCCCGTCAGGTTGAAATGAAAAACAACGAAATTTTCGACATGGACAACACGATTTCCACATTGAAAACGGTAGTATTTTTGAAGTCACAATAATGTACCTAATAGGTACCTATATATATATTAGTATGAAATACCAAAAACATACTTTTATTTAGACTATTGAACATCAAAAAACTAACTACGAGGACATTATTGAGAAAAAAAACAGTCGGTTCGAAATTGTGTTCGGGCAGCTAACGGCTGAAATTGGCTTACTAAGTAAGTTTAATTGGTTATTATATTACAGTACAATTAGTGATGAAATGTTAATTTCATTCTATGGATACAAAAAAATTTAAGAGAATCGCATGTACTTTTATTATCGTTTACTTTTTAACAGAAAGCAAAGTGAATTCATTAAATGAATTCAAGAAACAAAGATCTCAACTTATGGAAAAGTTTTTGAGACAAGAACAAGAACTGTGCGAATTAAAAAAAGAAAAAGACAATTTGATATATGACACCGACAAGAAACTTATAATCGTTAAAGAGCAGTAAGTAAAAAATAAGTCATTTAAGTCAAGACCGAAAGCATAGAAAAGTTATGAAGTAATTTTGGGATTTTGAAATTTGAAATTTTTTCAAAAAGTCAATCTGTACTGCAAATAATAACAAAAAAGACATATTTTACTCTAACATGAATGGCAAATACTTATCGTATATTTTATAAAGATTGTATTTTTTATTTTAATAAAAACAAACTTTTACATAAAAGTGTTTAGAAAGGAAGGGTTTTTATTTTCTAACAATATCGTTGAATGGAACTTTTAATGTATAATTATTTCCTCCACATCTTTAGTTTTCTATTAATTACACTGACTGTGTTGACAGTATGAAACGTCAGAACGAAGCAAAACTGTCTGAACTCTCCACGAGCATTCAAAGTAATTTGCAAAAACTTATGACGTCAACGTTTGAAAGGACTTTAAAAGAAAACGCTGTTATCAACACCGAAGTAAAACGTTATCCATTCTGTAACGACAATTGTTTTTTTTTATTTACTATACGTTTGAATGATTGTCATACAGTTGACAGAATGCACTGAACGATGGTTAATGATAAACAGAAAATATGACTTGGTGAAATCGGAAAACTTTGATTTGAAAATGGAGAATAAAATATACATGAAAGAAAATAGTCGCCTCAACAATATCGTTATCGCTCAAAAACTGGTAATATGCGTATTAATTTATTAAATATTACATTGTAACTAATAGTAAGTTCTACTTTTCAATAACTACAATATACAGAGTGTTCCAGCATGAAAGGTAAGTATTAGGTGATTAGACATCTGGGGGACCCCCAAATAAACCCCCGTTTTCATTTTTTCGATAAGTAAAAAATTGAAAATTTGACAGTTGAGTAGAAAAATAATGACTTAAAAAAACAAAAAATTATTTTCTGTTATTCATTGCAAAAAGCTCACCTTAAAAGAGGGGTCACATTATTTTCAGTCCCTTTCGGCCCTTAAATTAAAAAAAATGATAAGGGAAAAATGATTAGAGACCAGAAATAAATGATAAGTGATAAAAGATAAATGCTAAGACATAAATGATAAGATATAAAAGAAAAGAGATAATTGGTAAGAGATAAATTATTAGAGATAGGTGCTAAATGATAAGAGTTAGAGATAAATAATTAGAAACAAGAGATAAGAAAAAAATGATAAGAGATATATAATTCGAGACTAGAGGTAAGAAATAAATGATAAGATATGTGATAAGAGAAGAGTTAGGGTCCGAAAAAGACTGAACAATGATGTGACCCCTCTTTTAATGTTAGCTTTTTGCACTGAATAACATGGAATAGTTTTATATTTTGGAATACCTTTCATGCTGGAACACCCTGTACAAGTAACTCTAATACCCCACTATACTATTGTTCAAAATAAATCTGCCAGGCAATAACAAATTTTGTCATTCAGCTCAAACTTTATAACAATTACTTAAAAAAAAATGTTAACTTTTTTGCTTTGTTTTATTCTCTTTATACTTTTAAACTGGTACAATAAATTAAACTACTGATTTCCGACTGTCAATTCAGACGATGGACACGTTAAAAGTTCACGAACTAGGACTTAACTGGAAATTGCAAAACTTGTGCGCGAGAAACCACTCGGACAGGAGAACTACAATCAAAGCTAAAATCGTCCGGTACATTGCAGCCATTAATAAAATGAAGAAAAAATTGACCGGCAAAAGTCGCAAAATACGCGATTTGATTAATAATTTAACTGCAATGAAATCAGAATTAAAAACGTTGAGTATGCATATTTATAAAATGGATTCCATGTTTGTCACAATCACTGCTTCTATCGAACGAAAATTAAAGGAAAATCAAGTAATAACAATAATTGCTCTAACTAACGCACAAACACAAACATTTAATAATTAAATTGCTTATGGTTTGTTTTTTTTAGTACAATAAAGAAGAAATCGATAAAAACGATGGAGTTTATTTCAAGTTTTTACAACATTTATTCGACCTTTTTGTTGCCACCAAGTTGAGAAAAGTGGAAATACAAGGATTCGATTCGTATGAAAAGACTTAAAACGTTATTCTTAAGTAATTCATTGTTTTTTTTTAAATTGGGTTTTGTAATTGGGTTTTCAGTGTGGATGCAGTTAAAGTGTCGTTATTGAACTTGAACAATTCTCCGAAAACACCGACTTATTGTGTTTCGACATTTCGAAAATTCAATCGAGGAATGAAGAAAAAAGTGTTGCCTTTAATTTAATCGTAGTGCTTAATGTATAACATAACTAATAATATGTCAATTGTATATTACAGTTGTAAAGGTTTACTTCTTTTATAAATTATTACGTTTATTAATTAATCCGTTTTCATACATTTTATTACTCGTTTTAGATAGATTATTTCAAGAAGCAGTAATTTTTTTTTTTTTGACAATAAAATAAACTAAGCCAAACAACACAACAGGGGGTTACACAATTTTGAATTGATCTAGTGATGTGAACTAGATCACCCACCAAAGGCAATATAATATATTGGTTAATAAAGTAGTTGTATAATAACATGTAACAAGAAAATTAACTATTTAACAACATGTTGTTATTACTCAATTTATTGCCGTCAAGTGGTTTTCAAGTGGAATAAATTAGAAAAACGAAATGCGATCATAACATGGAAATTCGATTTTGTACGCGTTTACTAGTCGGTACGGCAACGTGTAGCATATAGCTCACGTGATGGCCAAATGCTGTGCCAAGAAAAAGCCACTATTTGACAGCACAGCAAAAAAACCGCAATTGCCTTCTCTTAGACATGATAAAAGCCTTCGATTGTGTTTGACACAGAGGCCTACTTCGTAAACTACATGTACACCTATCCGGTACACCAACCTACCTTCTTACCCGACTAACTAATTAGGTCATCATTCCTACTAAACAGAACACGTTCCAAATAAAAACTGGGATAATAGAAATTGTGGTGGTCCTGAAAAGAATGCCGACTTGAGAGTGCGTCGCACCGCCCATTTTTAAGGAGTAAAGTATAGGCAATTTTTTTACAAAATTTTAATTTAAAAGTTAAACTGTGATGTGTAATTATTAGTTCAATAACCAAGCCTCTATTGTGGTAGTTAATTTATTTTTCGGACTATCACAGCATCCTTGAAAGCGATTCAGTGCCCTCCTTAAACATCCTCTAGAAGTCATGGATTTTGAGAAAAATAAATGTTCCACGCTAGAACATTGTAGTGCAAGTGTTTTGCAATGCGATCGAATTATGTTGGTCGTTTTTCATACCACAACATTATCATTTGAACTTCGAATGAATTGCAAGTTGTTTCTTGAAGATAACAATAATTATGGTTGTTTCACCTGACAAATAATCAACAAAATGTCAGTTATAATGTGTTAATGACTAATGTTTTAACTATACAAATATTGGCAGGTTAATATCTATTGTGATGATGAATTCATTAACAATGCCAATAATTATAATTAGTTTATAAATAATAATTGTAGTGTCACTAATTTACCACCTGTCACCGAATACAGATGTTTTTTTAGTATTATTACATTCAATTATCTATAGATTATTATTAGATACAACTTTACCTAATAAACAAATGTCGAAGAGTACAAATTTTACTCAATACTCAATAGTTAAATAATTTACATTAAAAAAAAAATAGTTAATATATTAGAGGGAAAATTAAGTAACGTACATTTTAAATTTTAACTTTTAAGCTAATAATATATTATTAGACTAATAATTATAATAAATATTGTGTTCACTATTAACGCACTTTTGATAATTATATGTATATTATTTGTATAATAAATACATATTATTAAATCATAGATAAATATGCTTAAAATCTTCCTTATAAGGAATACCGTCGCGTGGCGCATATACTTTAACATTTTTGTATGGTATGTTTATTAGGTATGTTCGAAGACACAAACTAAAAATGTTTAAAACTGTCAAGGACCAAAAAAAATGTTTTTCAAACGATTTGATAATATTAATTTTTTCTACTTTGCTGTCTTGGAATGTAATGAAAAGTAAAAAGTTAACTAAAAAAAAATTCAAATGTTTAATATTAATAAACAAACCAATGCAAGTACCATTCCTTATAACAAAAACCAGTCTTGCAACAAATAATACTAATAATATTTTGAAAATATATTATGTCCTACACCATATTAAAAACCCAATAATAATTAATGCTTTAGCATATCTCTCGGGCGATTGAACGTCTCTGACCGAGACAATATATATCTTACAGTTCTACTTATTATTATTTCTAACATAAAGTAACCTAAATTATACATTTATTTGCATTATACAAACTCACTATTCGAAAAAATGACATATTATGTAATGATTGTAAGTAAAATCCAATGTTTTTAATGTTGTTAGTAGAAACGAGTAAATATTAATTATCTTATGCTATTATAATTTGTACTGTAATTTGTAATAGAACTCTCTAAGCGTAATCTGTTTATGTAACGTAGTTTGTCTGACCTCTGCTCCTTGTTCTTATCAATACTGTATTATTTTGATTTTATTAACGCTGTGGTTTATTAATAGAGGAATTAAACAAATGTCTCATAAGACTTAAATAAAATAATATCATTACACATTGTACAAATTAAAACAATTATTATTATAGTTTTTCAAAAACTGTGCAAAAATATTATATTAAAATTGTTGGTACATATTTTATCTTTACAACTATATTTATATAGTTAAAAATAGGTAAATTTGTTGGATATTTTTCTCGATTCAATAGGGGAAAGATAGAATTTTTTTCATTTTTACCGATTTTAAAGAAATCGGTTGTTTTGGAACATGAGGTCTAAGACTACATCATAGTCAAATTAAAATGTTTACTTTTAAATATGATACGGTAAATCAAAACGAGAATAATTATATAAATGATATACCTACTCAATCATAGTTTTTAAAAGTATAAGTAATAAACGTGAACCAAATGGGGGTCGTCATAACACACGGGGTAAATATATAATAGTATAAAATGTAATTACTTTTATTAATTAGTTAATAATAATCTGTGCTCCACACTAGTTGTCGCCGAGGGGCCCAATTAATAATAGTAAAAATCGTCTATAATATTAATAGGTAAGTACAAAAACTTAAAAACTAAATTCACAAAACAATTATTGTACAAAGAACACGCGACCAAAAGACACAATCAAAATAATATTCATCAACTCGAGTCTTACAAAAAAAAACTCATTCTAGTTTTAATCCGTTTCTGGAAAAGTAATCGCACCTTAATGATTTTGTCATAGCCTCGCCGATTACAGTTCTCAGCCACACGGGAGGAAGTCGAATAAAAAAATGCTAAAATGTATAAAAAAAAAAAATCAATACATCAAGACGTAGGTGCGGTTTAGCAATTTAACATTGGTTTCTGTTTATACTAAAATAATTCAATATATGTATTTACTTGAATACCGTGAGCCCAGTAACCTGTGGAATGGTTGACTTTGCCTAAGGTGTTGACGGCGTTGGTGGCATATGTCTTGGCATCGGGCACGAACAAGCTAGTCTCTTGTAGACGATGACTGAATGCATTCATTTTGGTGTTAACGAACAACGGGAAAAGATGTTGAACTGTTATGTTGTCTTTTGCGTACTCCATACGTATGGCTTCTGTGAAGCTTTTGATGTACATCTTAACGACAAAAAGAGTTGTTTCAGTTCATAGAATAGTTAATAACAAAAAAAAAAAAACAAGTACAGTGGGACGAAGCATATTGAGGGACAAAGGCATGTCATAGCTTAGTGTTTTTTTTTAAATAATCAAAATATGTAGGTCCAAAAAGAAATTAAAAAATTGTTTTGACCTATAAAGAATGTATGATGAAAATTTCAAACATTTTTTAACTATAGTCGCACGAGACACACACATTAGGTGATATTTTCCAGATACCCGTTATGTCACTTTCAATTAGCAACATGGAAATATTTTGCTATGACCAAAGTGTAATTTTCCATTTTCTTTGGTTTTTTCTTAATGAAAAAAAATAAACGTTGACTATAGTTTTTTGAAATAATTGTATATTAATATTATATTCTCACCCTAGGTAAATACCTTCAGTCTAATAATTTATTCTAACACCTGAACAAGAGAAATAAAGAAAAAGCCACCCCTCCTTCTAGGGGAAAAGGTTTATTATATTTTTTTTTAGTTTGTTAACGTATATTGATAATTAGGAATATTCCATACAGGTTGGAAAATATGTAAATATTTTCGGTGCTTTTCTAAAGGATTTTAAAGGGAGTATGTGATTTTTTTAATTCTAAAGCCAACTTAGGCAGTTTAACAAGCGGGATAAAGGGTTGGCGGCTACCTTTGATGCTGCATAAACGGCTAGAAGTGGCATAGGCTGGAGCTCTGCGCTGGATGCCACGTTGACGATAGCGCCTCGTTTGCGTTTTTGCATTTGGGGCAATACAAGTTTTGTCATGTGAGATGTAGCTCCAACGTTTACGTTGACAAGGTCCCATACAGTGGATTCCGGTACTTCGTCCAAGTACATTGGATATGCGTATTGCATGCCCACATTGTTGACTGGAAATAAAAAACATATTTATTTTGCTTTTGCCAAGAATAAACCCACATTTGGTCAGTTATTGTGAACAAATATGTAGACACGATATTAATTGGAAGACCTTATTTATTAAGGTTATTATTCTACAGTAGAATATTACTTATAATTCTCACTGGTTTAGTGCTTACTTAGTATGCCGATTTCCATATCGTTTAGCTCTTTGGAAATGTGGTCAAACACCGTTTTCCCTTTGCTAAAATCTGCTTGTATAACTTTTGTTTCTACCGTGTATTCTCGTTCTAAACACCAAAACACAAGTGATTAAGTATATCATTATTTATTATAAATATATATATATATATGTATGAGTCAAAACGCCAAATGGGTCATTCTCAAATTTCGGTAACATTTCAGTCATAGAGTGATTTACAAAAATCGAATGGCTGAATAACATAGATTTTTTTTCTTTTGTTAGTCTACTCGTGAACAACATTTCCTACTCATTTTAAGGTACTCAGAATACATGGGTACCTAATTAACAAAAAACTAATGCTAATATTGTCACTCCCTAGCCCTGTCACAAAGCCAAGGTTCTGCCTTAACAAATTAAATAACAGCGGTTTCTTTCACTGCACTCTTAAAAATTGGGTACCATTATCCTTAGCAACCTTGCAAGTAATGGAAGCTGACCATGAGGGCAAAGGAGGGACAAATAGTTAGTTTTTATATAAAATATTTACTTTAAGATAGTCTTACATTTATTTGTAACTGCTGACAGAAGGAGTGTTAAGTGTGTTCAGGTTTAATCAGAGATGTAAAAATACGGTATTTTATTTTTCAGTTGTATAATTATTTAAAAAAAAAAAAACATTTTCTATTATTATTAATTTAGCACAGTAGTTGTATACAGAATATTATAGACCACAGCATAATCCATTTGTTAAATTGTATTTTTGAAATTATAAAACCACTTTAGTTATTTTTCCAATCCCCATTAATAAAATAAGTGATTTGTAAAAAGGTAAATTTGTTTTAATAATTTTAGTCAATTGTCTAAAAAGGAACTTACCTCTACCGTAACCCAGTAACCGGTTATGTTTACTTATCATCAAACAATAATAAATGATAAACATATAAATGGCGGCAAAATTAAATCAACCAATCAATACACATAGGTCGTGTTGCAATTTACGATACATTAATATGGTAACTTAACTTAGTTGCCCCTTTTTTTAAAAATGACCCCAATTTGTATGCATATATATTTTTGTTCGTGAAATAAAAGGAAATGTTATTCAGGAATGATAGCTTCTATTTCATTTTGTCACTCCCTAGTATATGTTTTTTTTTTAAATAGATACATTTCAAAAAATACGACTTTAAGTGTGTGCCTGCTTCACGAGGTTCAATGAATGTATTTTATGAAATTAATAACAATTAAAAAATTTTAATAAATCGACTTTAACTTTCGAAAAATTTTGATAACCAAATTTGGAGAATGACCCACATACGAACGAACGTTTGGTGCGACCCCCCTCGGATTTTTTCGAAAATTTCACAGCATGTATGTTACAATGAAAAGATCTGTACGGTGTACTCAAATGTTTTTGAATTTTTTTTTTTTATTATTTTGGTCATGGTTGTAAAAAGATTTCTAGTTTTTTCTTGACACGTATTTATTATTATTATTTTTTTTTGTAGTACCTTTGGCCTTCAAAAATCAGTTTTTATGTAAAATAATCTCAGCTTTCAGAAAAAAAAATTCGATTTATTTTTTTGAGATACAGGAAATCATTGCAATTAAGTTGATAATCTAAAAAGTTGTTTTTTCATTATGTCCAAAATTTGAAAATTGTCCTGATCTTTTTTTTTCAGAAAGCTGATATAATATTACATAAAATGTGTAAATTTCAAATTGAGTTTCCATAATAACGCTTAGAAAACAAAATAAGAGGTGAGATAAATAATATTTTAGAAAATCCAATTTCTAATGGCATGAACTACAAAACCGCGAAAAAATATATTATTATACAGTATTACAATATATTTAATTACTTACCAATTTCCGAAGCAGTTTTATTCAATTTGTCTATATTTCTGCTAATTAGCACAATATTTAAACCACGTTTTGCCAATGCTTTAGCGTATTCTTTTCCAATACCATCGGTAGACCCAGTTACCACTGTAACATAAAAAAATAATACATTAAATGTAATTTTTTTTAATTTAGGTCGACATTTCTCTAGATTCAGAAAACGTGTGGTTTATTAATAAGAATAAGAATAAGAATAATTATTTCAAACTTTTTAAGCGTGGGTCACAAAAAATAAAATAAGAATGAAAATAAAAATAAATATATATATAATATATGTACAAATACATGTACAATATATGTAAATACAAAAAATGTTAAACGATCTTTTTTTTATTTTGGAAAATATATATTGCATTACAATATTAAATGCATATTGAAAGGCTATCCATGGTTTTATCCCGTTAAAGCTAACATACAAATTTAATATAATATAACAGTAATTTATTCTTAATTTGTGTAGATATTACACTAAATCATGGGCAAAAAATATCAATGCATCAACTGATACAAGAACCATTAAGTCTAAATGTATTGGTTATCAAAATTGTTAATATACATATTTTTATTGTAAACGTAATTTATAAATAGGTAGGCACATCAAGTTATATCAAGATGCAACTGTATGTGTATACTATCTAAGGACATGATAATTTATAATTGTATTAAGATTTAAATATTGTGTCAATGTCCACTTAAGATGATCATATAGCATCATCATATTATATGAAATATAATTGAAAACATGATAAGCTCTTTTACTTTTCTATAATTTGTAAAATTAAGTGAACATGTTAATGCTACTGATTATTGGGACGGGAGGGGGGTGGTCAGAGTTCTACAGGAATTATTCAACTGAAAATAAAAAAAACTACTTTCAAATAAACACTTCAATGGGTATGTGTGTACAGTATATGATAGAAATGCAAAAATAAACATTAACCCGATTAAAAATTATTACCGATTTTTAATTTTGTAACTTGAGCTCACAGCGAAAATATAATAATTAGTAAGTATCTTAAATATTATACAATAACATGTATTCGTAATCATTATTATGACTAATAGAGCTGGTGTAATAAAATTCATCGATCATTTTGCAAACATATTTATAGTCATTTCCCACAATATATATATATATATATATATATATACACCTTAAACTGTATTTTAAAAAAGAATTATTTTTACTAACCCCCCCCCCCCCCTTCTATTTCAATCGATAGTAGCTAATTTAAATAATTAATCCCTAAGACTTAGCTTAATTCAAGTACTTTCTCGTTGGTTTTTTTCTTATTTAATTAACATGGGAAATTTAGTTTTTTTGTATAAAAAATTCTAGCTTGAGAACTAATAAAAAATTTTACAATTTCAAAAAATATTCTTAAAGCTGTTAAAGTTATTAAATCTTTCATAATATTTATTTACGAGTCCGGCTTTGAGTTGTAAATAATTAATCTTAAATTATTCATCTTTTGTATGTAATATTTCAAGTTTTATAGTTCTATTTAATATTAAGATTCTAGTAACTGTAGAAATAAATAATTATAAGCTAATATTTCAATTAAAAAAGAAAAACTCTATAAAATGATTAGTATTTTCTGAGAAAATGCGTGTCATCTTAAAACGTTGACCTAATTTTTGGAAAGAGAATACATTGTATCATTATATTTTGCATGACAATTGTTATTTATATTATATGTGAGTTGTGACAGTGGTCAACGACCGACCGTCTTCATGACAGTGCATTACATATTATATCATAGTGTTTAACGCTGACGCAATATGATTCTGTATACTTTCACTGCATGTGGCCATATACTTGTGAGTCGTGAATACTATTATAGTATTGAAAATCGAGAATACACTATTGTTGTATCGTGTAAAAAAACAATATATTTTCCATTTTACTATGAATTTATAAAAAAAAAAATAATAATATGGCATTCTTTACATACACTGTATAAAATTATTGTTTACGCTGTTGTTTAAAATGTAATATATTGACTATTATGGCGTGTTAGTCTGTCCTATACACTGACTACAGTGTACATAATATTTATATATTATACATAATATAATATCTATCATCGTATTGTACTTTGGTACACATAAATGATACGCCATGTGCATAAATGAATTTAAATAAATTAGAATAATAATAATTAAACGCGTTTGTTGTGTTAAACTCCAACACCACAGTTGTTGATTTTCATTAAAAATACATTTCCTCATTTTTCAATTCACGTTTAAAAAAAAAACAGCAAACAACATACTTTTACATTCAATTCCATTCCTACAGTTTTACTTTCAGCTGTTAACAGGTTCTTTTCCTGAACGCGCTACTTGCCAGGCCTGACTAATGTATATACTTCCTTCTCGGGTTCTAAACTCGTTTGGTTAGCGTTAGGTAAGCTGCAGCCCGCTGTAAAACTGATATTTAATTTAAAAAATCCGCCTGAAGATGTTTGGTAATATTATTAAGGAGCTATAGTATTCAATGGGGTACCTAAATTAGTATTAACTACTAGTACAATTATTTGTATGCACATTTTATAACTGCGGATCAAACACCACCGAGGAAGTCGTGTTGCCCTTGAAACCGTGTATAAACTTGTTTTATAAAAAACAACCAATATTTTCCCTACATAATGTGTTTACAACACTTTATTTTGTTAGTGTTCGTACATGCTGAATTACAATTGCGAAGACTCGTGTTTAATACACTTTGGTATTCATATAAATTATTCATGTCTCACTCGGTTATAACAATTTTTTAATTTAACTCGGTTTACGATTTTTTGTAAATTATTATTTATAGGTAGTCATTATTCTAACCTACTGCGCAATGATTTTTTATGACTGTTATTTAGATATTAAAATCGGTTAATTACAAATTTTCCTAATTATAACTCTGTCTTACAAACAGTTTTTATGATTTTTTTTTTAAATTATAAAAATGAATACCAGTACTATAATATTGCCGAGTAGGAAATGATAAGTAGGTTTATAAATTAATCAATACGGTTTTGTTCCTGTGTGTTCTCAGAGGTTTTTAGCCATAGAATATTATGTATGTTTACATATGTTGTAAAATTACTTCTTACTCGTTTTAACACTGAATTTGTGATATTTTCCTTTACTCTAAGTTGATAGGTTATGTCTCTAATTTGAACTCGGGTATTTACTAATGTTTAATATAAACGTTTGATCCATTTTAATTGTCCCACTCTTATATTTGAATAAGTTAATGAGTATACGAGTGTCGAGTACTGTGTCTATTATGATCTATGGTGTTGGTGTTGAACGTTCAGTTTATTATTGTCACTTTTGTCGTGTAAGCCAGTAAATGGTAATAATATTATCAAAACTGACGGTTAACTAATTTGTTAATACATTAAACATAATCGGTTTATAGTTTAAGACTAACTGAAAACAAAGTAAATTATATGACATTTTACAATTTTTATTTTTATTTCCAGTTTTAAAATTGCAAATTGGATTATTTTAATTATTATTGTAATTGTTTATTGTTCTTTATACAAAATCATTTACCAGTAATAAAAAAACATTAGCTATAAATAGCCAATTCTTATCCCCTGACTTTTTTCTCACATATTATGAAACAAATCAAATTACTGTATCTTAATTGCCTGACTCGTCTGAAATACAAACTATAAAAAGTTTTTAAAAAAATACAGTAATCAATTTAAAGAGCATTTTACTGTAAGTTTTTCTACACATGAAGAGGTGAGAACCAAAAAGGAATAAGTGATTTTTATAAAATTCCACAAGAGAACAATTTGAACATTCTATTTTCAATCTATTCAATATCTCTTTTAAAAATCGCAAAAACTAACACAAATAAAAAAATTATTTTTATTATTAAAACCACGACTGAATCAATTTCTTCAAGTAGCGAGTAGATAGATATTTTTAAATAGATAATTAATACAGTACTCTCGATAAAGTCAACAAACCCCAAAAAAATATCAGAAGAGGAAAACATAGAAGGGGTGAAAATTTTTTCTGTATTTGGCTTTTTAGATGTAGTTTTTAGGCTTAATGTTTAAAAATTAAACTAAAGTATATCTAGAGTAAAGCTATATCGTAGGCAATTATTTTTTAAGAAACTACCAAAAACCAAACAAAAAATTACAGGCAACGGCAATAGATTATTATAGACAGACGACCAACCAACCCTAATCCTCCCCAATACTCAAAATATAATGTGAAGCGCATCATAACTGATTTTACAATACTTTTAACGAATTTTGTATTTGCACCATCTACAAATTTGTACCGGAGCGTTTATTTGATGGTGGTTTTATCACTTTTAGTTGTAATAATCCTCCTGTAAACATTTCCTGTAGATTGTTTTCCATAATTTAATACATTTATATCTTTGGTCCCGGGTAGAGAGGGCTTAAGTCAATCTTACCAATTATTTTGCCAATTGAACCAAAAAAAATCAGCAAAAATCAAGCTTTAAATCTACGGGGAAAAAAAATGTGTGAAAAATGTAATTTAGCCCTTTCTGCCTGTGACCAAAGATATAATTTTTATATTCTATTGTGAAAGCTATGTGATGTGATGTCGACAAACCTGCCCATTTTCCGTATTTGACGTCCAAGCCGACTTGGTCGTGGAACAACAATGGCATCAAGTGTGCCGCGAATCCCTGGGCAATCTCGCGGAGGGCATCGCACAAGAGTATCAGCGTGACCACGAAACCGACAACGGCGAATCCGAGTACAATTGGCTCTGTCATCGCGATAGCCAAACGTTTTGGGTACGTTTGTTATACACTAATAATACTTACTTACTCGATACTTGAAAAATGTTACCATGTCGTGACACGTTTGTCTCGAATTTTCGAGTATTCGAAAAAACCAACGATACTGACCGGCTTTTTGTTACGAGTATAACTATATTATTATAAGTAATCGAAAAGCGCCGCTCGCACAGACTGCCGCCAAAGATTTAAACGTACGCCAAAACGGTCGATTCGAGCCGGCTTCTCGTTAGAGTGTACATATGGTGGAGGTGGTAACCGCATTAACGGTCGCCGTGTGTTATATCACAATATACGGCGGCTGTAACCGCTTTGGACCATAAAACAGCCACAACGGTTGTGAAATTATTTACAAGGAGAAAGTTCTGTGAAACGTATACGATTGCCTACCGGCTATCTAACATCGTCTGTCACTTGTGATTCTTTGGGAAACTGCTTTTAGTTCAGTCCAGGGGCGTAATTAAGGGGGGGGGGAATAGATCCCCCCAGAACTTATATTTATTAATTTAGTAATCTTTTATAAACAGTACGCAAAAAAAGAGCTATGTACATTAGGGTGGTTCAAAAAAAAAAAATGTATTCATTATTTTTTTGATCTTCTCTTGAGAATATATATTATTTGGATGAAAAGATAATTTTTGATATTTTTTTTTAGATTTTTAAACCCCTTCGTTAGAGTTAGCAATTTCGTAATTTTTTATCAAGTGAATATCAACATTTGTTTCTTTTTTTATGCCGATAATTTTCATATATAATTTTTTTTTTTGAAGAATTTTTTTATTGAACAAAAAAAAATAAACTTTTGATATAAAATTGACCCGAACCACGTCTAGGAATGGGTTTAAAAATCTAAAAAAAAATATCAAAATGTAGCATTTCATCCAAATAATATATTCTCAAGAGAAGAACATAAAATAATTTTAAAAAAATGTTTTGAACCACCCTAATGTACATTATAGTATACTACAAACAAAATAAATTCAATATTTTAATAATTATTATTTATTTAAAAAATAAAATTTAACTTTAATATATTCAATATTTACATTTTGAAGAATTTATTATAATATTGTACAATTACTAAATTTTGTAGAATTTTAAAGCAAAATTTAATAGTTTTGTGTACTTAGATATTAGTTTTAGGATTTTTGATAAAATAGTAATCCTAGCTACCACTTTACTTGAAAATTTGGTATTTTGTATTTTATATGTAAAAAAATGTCTATCCCCCCCTAAGACAAATTCCTAATTACGCCAATGATTCAGTTTAAATATGTACTCTGGCACTTTTTGGTAATTCTATCCGTAGAGGTCTGCGATTATAACGTTCGAATTGAAGTGAATTGAATTGTTGACTTCAATTCGAAATCTAATTACATACGTTATTAGATTTTTAAATACAATTAACAATATGAATAATACAGTTTTATTCATGAATAATTTTATTGTTCGTTCTATTAATAATGCGTTGTTCACGATTAATTAATTATTCACGGATCTACAAAAAATAAATAGAATAATTCGATATGAATTATCAAACTCTTTTTTTTGGAACCTATGAAAAATATTATTATTAAACTGTAATAAATTGATGGTAATACACATGATAACTCATGATGTTTTACCCGATTGATTAAATACATCTCATATTTGTTTTTATTCGTGTACTCTATTATTACTTAGACAGATTTAGTTTCTGCTATGCTTAGATTTTGCTATGTCATTAACTATATTAGTGCCAACACTGAGTAATTTACCTTATAACTGAATTTTTTATTTGTTTATGCTAAATAATATGTTGTTTACAATGTTGCGATACTATATGTAAATGAAACTATCCATAATTGTTATTTCAGAATAATTACTGAAGCAATAATACAAAATATAGTAAACGGTTTAAATCAGTAACAACTAAGCGTATTAAGCGAAGAGCTTGTTATTTATTTCTATATAAATAGTAAAAACTTAATAATACATCTACTCCATATAATAGTAAATCAGTGTATATATTTTTAGTTTAATTCAACTTTAATTATCCGTATTATTCATCTTTTTTTAAGAATTCCCCATGAATGGAATAAATGAATAATTCGGATTTTTTTTCTTTAAAAAAAATAGAAAATTAAAAATTAAATATGAAAAACATGGTGGGACAGAGATTAAGTGTTTGAATGAATAAATAAATACACCTATGAACAAAATAAAAAATCAGTGCTGTTACTACGATTTGTGACGAGTTATTTTAACGAGCTTTTAAGAATACATAATAATTTGTGTAAACAACAATATTTTAATTGTTTTTGGCATTAGAGAGCAATTTAAATTTATAAATACATATATATATATATATATATTAAAAAAAATAAAATGTTAATGCTCACGTTCTTAAAATCAGATTATGACAAATTACATTTGAATATGTTGTGTAGAGAGAATTGCTGCAGCCAAACGATTGTAGTAAGTATCTCAGATATAAATATTGAACTGCCCACATGCAAAAGCTGGCAAAAATAACCTAAACCCAAAAAACCCCAACGGGATCCAAAATTCATCTGCTAAACAGACAATTACCAGCGCCACCATATTATACTTTTAAATATCCCCCACATCCCAACTTACATAAATATCACCTCGTACTACCTTAAATTATAATTATAGTACTAAATGTAGCCTTTCTAAGACGTGCATTGAGGTCTAGTACTATCAAATTTTTGAGAACAAGAAAATTAAAAAAAACAACATTAATAAATATAATATAATAAATAATAATATTTAAAACATGGCCGCATTACAGAATTGCCCAACCGCGCAGGTCGTGACCCAAATTTTGGTCACAGTTTATACCAATAATACTATGTTTTAATTTTTATATTAAATTATCCAAAATAAGTTATAACCATCAAATTAACTACTACTAGTTATTAATTGTTATATACTTACTATTTATTGAGGAGAATAGGTAGTTTTATTTTTGTTACAGGGGAATATTTAAAAGGGGAACTAAAATAAGTAAAAACAAAATTAAAGAATATCATGATTGAAAAAAACAGTGTATTGTTGTTTTCTAACTATTGAACTTGAACGCGAATGATTTTAAATTATCCCTTCAAACATAGGAATAATGCTTATATTTCAATCAAGTATTAATTAATTTATATATTTTATACATAGTATTAAAATTTCAATATGGGAACATTGGCAGTTTAGTTCTTATTCGCCTTTACAACATATTATGTTATTAAATATAACAAATAATATTTATTATTTGCAGATCTTTTTGACATAACTCGTGTACACATTTATTTGTATATGGGTCATTTGGGCGTCCCGAGAGCTTGCATCCGGACAAAGCCGGTCAGCCTTTAAAAATACAAATTTATTTATGTTCAGAAAATATTTTTTATGTAAAGAAAAATGTACAAGTATTATTCCAATATTGTTACATATGTACAACCGGCGCGGCGCGTTGCTAACGAGACGTTTCGACTTGTTGACAAAAAGGCTTTTCGAAATTGATCCAACATACAATTATTTCTACCTACATCATATTTGTTTTGTTTCGCGTTTTACATTGTATGTATACAACTAGTCGTTGTGAATTTCAGTTAGCTTGACAAACCCATATTGTTTCGAAATGCCCGCCGAGTGCCAAGAGAATATTAAACGTCTGATACCCAGACCCAAGACGCCGGTGGTCAAACCGCCCATGTACCGTTCCGTGTACACCGACTCGATCAGGAGGGCGTTCAAGGCGAACAAAGATTGTCACCGGACGATGGGGTATGCCGAAGTGCAGTTGGATCCACCGACGCGGTTCCTGAAGAAGCACACGAGAAAAGTGGTCAGGCCATTCGTCGGTAATTACATACATTGACCAAAAAACTTAAATTTCATTGTTTTTTTTTTTTACAAGGTTTAAACACGTTTTTTAAAAAAAAATTGTTTACTAATTATTGTCCGTTTAACTAATTCATCATCAAGATTTGCATGGATAAATTATAATGATGTGTAAATTGTTTGATTACCTATTAATAATGTTATTATTTGTTATTAAAAAATTAAAAACTCAAAATATCGAGACACTAAGAAAAGACTGTAAAAGAAAGTCAAATTGTGTTTGATTATTATTATTGTTATTATTACATATTTGCTGGTCACTAGGGGTATGTGTTTTAATCTTTTAAATTTAATTTCAACTCACATTCAAAACGCTACAATTTAATACACAAACTTGTTATAACATAACAAAACTATAATTTTGATTTATAATGATTGCATCCTAATAGTGTATTAATGCGTATTAATGTAGCATTAGGTCGGTACTATATTATATTTACCCACAGTGAAAAAAAAATATTAGCGAATAATGAAAATGTTGACCACCCCGCCCTGCCATAGGTTGAAAGTTGTTTTATATTATTTAGGTGCTGCAAGAGTTAAAGTGATTTTTTTATAAATTCATTTAAATAGTATATTTTGTAAAAAAATTAATGTATAATATTAATTTTGTTCCCTTAAACTGTTATAATTGGGTGACCGCAGTGTGTACTATGTCACAAACGCCTACCTATATGGCATATGCGATTTTCAGAAAAGACCAAAGTGACACGACCGAAGAGCTCTTTGGAGGAAATGGCCGAGAAGAAAATAGCCGAGGGCTGTGAAAAGATACCCAGGAAACCGTTGCCAGACCCTAACGAAAATAAGATCCGGAAAAATATCAAACAGATCAACATGGTGGACGTTATTCGAAAAGTACCTCCTCTGACCAAACACCGAGTGCAAGACACTAGAAATGGCCATATAATCGTTTTAGACGAGGCTGGTCTAGAACCCACGTATGTTTCAAAAAAGGTAAAAACAGCTTTTCAATAATGGCCAGTTAAAATACTCTGCTGTTTGGTTGGGCTGGCCGAAAGGGTTGATAACTCAATGAACATCACGCATTAAGTACCTAATTGAAAGTATAATTGTGCCTTTTCACTACTTAAATTAATTTTTTTTGTTTATGTCATTATTTTACGAATAAATTCTATAAAACCCAAATTTTGTTAGTAAGAAAAAAAGCATTCCTATAAAGATTGACATAAAGTACACTCTATACACACTATAGTAAACATGCATACCTCAAGAAAAATGACCTTCTTTAGTGTATCAAGCTAAAACAATACTTTTTGCTCATATCAATTATTCGTTCATAAAACGATTGATTATACCTGCTTATGGTACATCTGATATAGTACAAATTATGATATTTTTTGTTTAAGAATTTCGGCAAGACTCCTGTTTACATTTTGAAAATGTACAAAGAAAAAGAGAAGGCCAGAATAATGGAAAACGAACGGATAAAAGCTATTAAGCCTCCATTGCGATACATACCCGAACATGAACGCAATAAATTATTAAACGTGAGTAGTGACATTTTTTTTTGTACTTAATATGTTAACAAAATTTATAATTAATTTTTTTTTTGTAACTTTTAATAGGTATATTTCTATAGTTGTTTGAAAACCATTAAAACCATTTTTTTCTTTATCCACCAAATCTTTTTTTTTTACATTACTTCCCACAAAAATAATTTTATATACTTACTACTTACCACTTGCCCAGGATGGCAACTTTTGTTTCTAATTTGAGCAAAAGTTGTCCAACTGACCTAACAGGTCGTAGACTTGTTAGGTAGGTTACTACTTACTATTACTTACTCGTTTAATTTCATCGTGTTCCAAAATTCATATGATTGACATTTTTATGTTTTATGATGCAAATCTATAACTGACCTATAAATATTATATTAGTATGATATAATGTCAGATATAGTTTTGCATCATAAAACATAAAACAAATATTGTCAGTTATATGAATTTTGGAACACGATGAACTTAAATAAGTAAGGAGTAGGTATAAATAATACATACGTAATAAAAAAACTACAATTATGTTTAAATAATTTTCCATAAGGCACAAACAAAAAAAATTAAATAATTAAAATATAGCACCTAATAACTGTGAACATGTTATTGACAGTGTTGCCAGAATTCAAAAATGAGATTAACGTACAATGTCTTCAAAATTACCGTAATTTACATTGAATTATCGTACACGAATACAGTATCAGGATCCATCAATTCATATTTTATGTACGGTAGTTACCGTACGTCTGGCAACACTGGACTTATTGACGAAAAATATTTTTAAATAATTTTCACAATATTTTTGAAGCATAATAGTTTTATTGTGTTGGTTATTACGTTACATTTTGAAAAAAATCCATTGAAAAACAGGGTCTGAAAATAAATTGGGCCGAACTTCAAAAAGAATTCCAACTGCTGCCTATGATAACAGATACGTTACCGAAGATGAAAAAAAAAACTATGTTAGAAAAACAGCTAAAAGATCTAGAAAAAGACATTGACCTATTGGAGAGAAGTCCAGCTCTTTACGTGTGCCGAGATGCCGACGACGGGGAAAGTGTTGAATGAGAAACAGAAAAAAAATATAATGATTCGCTGTTTTGGTAATTTACGTTTAAAAAAACAATATTGTAACTCGAATTTGATTAAAATTGTTACCAAAAAAAAACTGCGAGCTATTTATCATTTTTACCGTTTCGATATTTGTTAACTTTACAATATGTAATATTTATTTTAAAAGTGGTTTTTCATGTTTTAATAATAATTTATACCAATATAAATGATTAAAAAAATCATGTTATTACTGTAATATTACATGTTAGTTTACTATAATATGATAATTGTGCTATTATTATATGACTCGTGTTAAAACATGAGTAATATATAATTTATATTATGCAAACATCATTATCTATAAATTACATTAGGTGGTTGCTTTCGACCAAATTTTATAAACTCGCCTGAACTACTTATTAACATTTTCAGTTTTATCTATTACCTAAGTTCGACATTTAGAATTCACATTCTATATTGTATAGTGACCACCTAAGTATCCATTTGTTTTGTTAAAAAAAGGTTGCCTCACTAAACACTGCAACGTTACTTCAATCGTTGATTTTAAAATCGATAATATTTTAATATGCACATCGGGTACAACACATTTATTAACCAAACATTACTTACATTTATGTACACATAATTTATATTAAGCAGTATATTGTTTTGGTACTATTTAATAAGATCTAAGAATCCTCCCCTTTTCTATTATTATGTAACAGCATTACTATTAATTACATTGTACAAAAATACAATAGTGAATAAGATTAAAATAATTTCTAGACGGGTCAGGTCAGGGGTCTAGAGAAACGAGTGCCGGGGGCATCTTAAATAACCGACTTTCGTTAAGGTATTGCAAATTCATCAGTACCTAACAAAAAAAAACGTTTCATTCAAGAGATATATCATATAGTATAATATATATTATACAACATTCGTCTACCACATACATAACTTGTTTGGCAAACTTAAAATCCAACACCTAGTTATTTGCTACTAAAAACATTCCACTTACTCAATTTGCTATACATATTATGTTAATCACATGGTCGATTTGATGTAAAAACTAATGTTTTCAAAGATAAACTTTATTTTATTTTTTCAGAACTAGAATTTTTGCAATATTATTATAAAACACATAGCAACACAAAGCATAACAGTCAGGGTTTTTTTTACTATTTAAGGGTACATGCATTCATTGTTTTATTACTACTGCATGCAGTTAAAAATATATCAATATCACGTCTATATACTATAACAGTTACTTATTTTTCCAAAAATAATTATTGTATTATATAATAATAATAATACATGAATAATAAATAACGATAGTAATATTAACATATAATGATATTCTATTATTGATAAATAAACTTTTAAAACTGTTGTAGTTAGAATTGTCGTTATATGTGTGTATTAAAGAATCTTCATAATCTTCTCTCAAAACTTAGCTGATTGTCTCTGATGTTTTTACTTGTAAACAAACATAATAAGGAATTTACAACTAATTTATAGTTTGTTATTTTCTATTGAACTGTCTAATTTAAATTTATATAGCTGTTAATCTGTATAGCTGTTATACCTATACGACAATAAATGACAATGTGCATACTGGACGTTTTAAGAAAAACTATTTTATTACTGAAATCAAGAAAACCACAGCGATTTTATTATTTCGATTTTTAACAATAATTTTAAATAACCCATTCTACAACCTCTCGATATATTGATCGATAATGTGTTATAATCGTTTATGTGTGATTAATTACTAAATTTAGTCTTTTAGGCATAATTGAACAATTGATAGTGAATTATTAAAATATATAATTATGATTGAAAAAACCGTTCGGTAAAGTCCATATTAAAAATACATTGTGTAACAAATATTATTAGTATTTAAGTTGTATAATAGGCTTAATGTATGTAGACCTATGACCTCCCTCTTTCCAATTTGCTCCGACCCCAATTTACTAAGTGATTTTAAAAGTGAAAAAAGTGATTTTAACAAATTTCGATCGTGTCAATTAATTTACCGGTTAATTTGCATAAGCTTCGTAGTGTTCATTTTAATTTTAATTATTTTGTCTATGAGTAAAAACCATTTTAGTTAATATAACATACCTATTTTGTTCTATCGCACAGGCTGAACCAGTGCGAATCCGATAAGTAATCTGAAAACAGATTTGAATTCTTTATGAAGTGTACCTATGATCGGTTAGGGTACTTTTTTGATATTATCTTATTCCTACTATGTATCAAACGCCGCGTTTGAACATTATATAAAATTTCAAATTTTAAAATAAAATTTGGAAAGGGTTATTGTTAACAATTGAAAAAAGTACCCTGACCGATCACGAGTAAACTTCATGGCGAATTCAAATCTGCTTTTAGTTTACTTATCCGGATCACTGGTTCAGTCTGTGCAATGCAATAAAAATGATGTGTTTTGACTGAAAAAACCGACCGCATGCAGTTAATGTGTCAGTATTTCTGACGATACCCATTGCTAACATCATGAACGTGCCACATGATAACACCAGCAGCTGGCCAGCTTCTCGAACTTCACGTTTCTCAGCAGACGTTTAGTAACCACTATTGCCTCTATGCAGATTACAATGTACATAGTAAATCTTAAACATTTATTTTTTTTTTCGTTAACTAATTTTTTATGTTTAATAATTAAAAATAAATAATATATTATTAATTGCGACGTCTAGTCGTGTTGTGTTTTATTTAACCAAAAAAATGTTAGGGTGATCATCATATAGTCCGTCTTTTAAATTAAAGGTCATGTGCTCCTCGTATTAATAGTGTTAATTTTCAGATAAAACGTTTTTGTTTTGTCTCGACATAATAAATATAAATAATGGCTTCAGTTCTCAAAAAACAAATTCTAAAACAACTCTCCAGGTAAGACTATTAAATACATATATATATATTTATATATAAAGCAAACTGTGTATCACTGTACACTGTCAAATGTCGTTCCAATTGTTTTAATTATTATTTAAATGTATTTACAGGTTTACAAAAGGGTTAAAAGAAGAGGACATAAATTTAAGCACGTTTAAAGGCGAAGGCGAATTGAGCTACCTCGAACTCGACGAAAATGCACTTATGGACGTTCTAGACGTACCATATTGGATTAAAATCACTAGCGCAAAATGCGATAGAGTTTTTTTTCAAGTTCCTTTCATGGCCATCAAGAAAGTTCCTATGTCCTTGGTAGGTGTTATCACGTTACGTTACAATGAAACGAGTCGAGTTACATAACAGGAGATTTTGTTTTAATGGATTTTACTCGATAGTTGAAAATAATTATTTCTTCTGTAATATTTTTGTTTTTCGGTATTATAATATTTGGAGACTTGATGTGCTTAATATGTTTTTATCAAAACATACTTAATAATCATATTTTTGCCTTATAATAAATTATAATTATTTTATAGGTAACTAACTTGTCATTAAAGTTTTGTCCGCGTATTATCAAAAACCTAGTTTGCCATATTAAACAACAAAATTAATGGGTTGAATATAGTTTTTGAAAGTTAACGTATGTTGTGTACAGATTTTATTACTTTTCATGTATCCATTTTTATTACATTATCCCTATTACTCTAAATGTCTAAGTGTCTAATAGTTTTAAAAAACAGTTATTGAACAAAAGACAAATACCGATATCCTACATGTTTGTCTCCTTGCATGTCATTTGCGACAATAATCAGCTTTTTAAATATGGCTTTAACTATGTTACTTTAAAAGATGTAGTGTTGTTACGATTCAGTAAGCCTCGGTAAAAACCTTGCACTCGTTCAAATATCAAAAATATATAAACGTTATTATACGTTTTAATATATAATTAAAAAAATAAGCGAGTGTTAAAAAAAAAAAAAATTGTATAAAGGTGGAATTTCTGTTAAAATAATTTGGATTGTATTATCCACCAAACTGCGATTTGTTCTTGTTATGTAACTTTTGTTTTAATTTCAAAAAAATTAATTTAATTTTCTTTATATATTTATAGACTCTCGATAAAGTTTCTGTGGAAATCGAAACTTGTGAAAACGTAGAATCAATGGCAATGCGAGAAAACATACAAGCTTTTCAACCAGGAAAATATAAGTTTATTAATCAAATAATTGACGGAATGACAATTCAGATCAACGAAGTCAACATCACATTCAAAGCGCCTGTTTTTTATGCATCTGTTCAGGTTTTAAAATTAATTATGTCTTAGTTACATGTTTTCTCCGTTGAAATGTTTTGCATATAGCGTAAACAAGTACAATTCTTTTACAGGCAATAATTTGTTTGTTTAAAGAGTGTCAGATATGTATGCACTAGGTATATAAAATTTGATTTACGCTAATCATTTTGAAAAAAATGAATGCATTATAGTTAACTAGATAGAATTGCTTCTTAAAATATTTAATATAGAAATGAATGCGTAATATCAAGTATAATTAATACAACGGATAATATAAAACGTGATAAAATAATTAATACTGCTAATTAAAAATATAAATTGTATTAATCTCGATCGCAAGATTTTAAACTTATAGTGGTTCTATTTTATGATAAGAGACTTGTCTATATTTAAAATTTCTATAAAATTAGTTTAGGTTTAGGAGAGCGACTCGTATGTGATGTCAAAATTATTTAATAATTTGATTTTGTTAATTAAATAACAATAAAAAAAAAAAAAATACATATTTATAAAATGTATTGTACATTTTTCAGATATTAAAAATTTTAGTACAATCAAAGTCTCCCAATTGGGAGTCGACCAGTCTTAAGGCTACAAGACTAAAAAATGAGCAGAAAACTGAAATACTAATATTTAAAGAATTGACATGGCAAATGATACGTATCGAGTTGTATTCTACCAATGATCGATCGAAACCGCCTATTAAACTGTTCACAAACGATATAATTTGCCGTTTGACTATTAAAAAACGACTTTCTGGTAAATATTAATATTGTCAAATATATCTTGGCGTTATTTTTTTATTTTTTTGTAATTTTTATTTTTAGACTGTTTTATATTGGGCTGTAAGTTAGCGATTCTTATCGAAGAGCTGTTATGTGTTTTCACCGATTCTCAAATGAAAGCTGCGCTTCACTATATCGATTCAATAGCTGGAGTCGTACAGAAATCGATGGATCTTTCTCGTAAAAATAAAGCTATAAGAAAGCTAGAAGTAATTTTTTTGTATTTTTTTTTTTTTTTTTTTAATACAAAAGACATTTACTTGAGGAAAACATTTTTTTAAACCGTTCCTAGTGTTTGCCAGAGTATCAAGCTCAGTTAGATCAGCAAAAGAGAGGGAAATTCGTGTCGAGTTCCAAAAGCTCGTGTTTGTTTAGTTTTCACGATGTCATTGAAACGTCTTATCATTTTGTTGCTCAAAAAATAAACCTTCATCTTAGCGACGATCCTGGAAGTGAGTTGCATCTTATCGATGTCAGTTTTCTGTTCCAGCGATGTTTTATTTATAACCATTGGTTACCGCAAATAGGTCGCTCGTTGCATCCGGATCTACAAAAAGGAGGTTCCATTCAAATTGAAGTCAACTGCTTTCAAATCGATCTATATCCTTATCATTTAGCCGACAGCGACCGGTTACATTGGGGTCTTTATAAAAGAGCGAGTTCGTCGTTTTTTCAATGGTTAAAAGATTCACAGAATGACTTTTGGAATAAGCTTTATGGTCTGGTTCAAGGAAATGTTAATATGTCTGACGAGCCATCGCAAGTAAGTTTTTATTCTAAACCTCAATGTAAGAGTTTCTTTGTATATCGAAAGGTCCTATTTTTAAAAGTTCATACTCTACCCTTTTAATAATAATGTTACCTGTTGAATTATACAAACAGCAATCCCCCCCCCCCCCAATTGATTCAACCTGGAGTAATTTTGATTAAACCTACATTATAAATTAACAATAATTATTTTTTAAAAAATTGTAAAAATTGAGATAAATTTGGACAGTTTTTTAATGTCATAAATCTGTTTATTTGTGCTGAGTCTAGTTAAAAAAATTTTTTTTTTAGACAAGTCATATCGTAAGACGAATGAAAAATCAGTATTCAAAACTAATGACCAGTTGCACGGTTTTAAGAATAACTGACTTCATCGTGTTCAGAGTACAGTCGGGCAAAAAACAAGAGCAAATTGCTTTTATAAAAAGTAATTTTTTTTTCTTTTTTTTTTATTGAAAAATAACATTTTAATTTTTAAATGAACACATGTTAGAGATTGTATTGTTAAGGTTATTTTAAAAACAATACATTTCCTACTTTGTAAACGAGATGTAACCATTTCAATTTTAACAATTCATAAACGCTAAACGATATTTTGATTTTTACTATTTGTTTAGGCGATAAAGAACGGCACAAATTACCTCACGATTCTAAAGTGATTCATGCGGAATTCACTTACTACTATTATCCAGGAGGTGACGAATTTCCACGTAAGATAAAAGTTTTACTGATACTTATAGGGTGAAGTTTATTGAAAACTTAATCAAATATATTATATGTATACTTTTTTCATGTACAGTACCGCCTTCAAAATTTTACGTACAGTTAAATCCTGTGCAGTTGAACTTTGACGTTCTAACGGTTATATGGTTAAATACGTTTGCGTTGAATGTATATAAATCACTTATGGCAACTAACGTAGCAAACCAAGATAATTTAGCAACAATGATCTATATTGATATATTTATTGAAGCAATCATGCCAAGAGTAAGCTAAAATAATTTAATTATTTTTATATGCAAAATAAATAAGACGTAATAAGAAGATTTCAATTGTACCGCCCTTAAAAAATACACATATTATATATAATGTTAAAATATGACACTCCGAAGCCACTACTTTAATATTCATGATAAAAATTGTTTTTACCAAATTACAGCCCATTGTAACTAATAAAACTGTTAACTTGAAAACTTGCTAAAAAAAATTTAACACAAAATATCAAAATGATTTTCTAGTAACATATTTTAGCGTAAGAAATCTTTTTTCAAATTAAAAAAATGTTGATTAGTTTTCAAGTTAGTATTTGTTTAATGAAAAATAAAATATCTTACGACAATCAAATCACGATTAAGTGCTTGGAGTTAAGATTAAAAAGGAAAGTAAGCATAAGGAAAAACAACAAAAATTGCCAAAAAAACCATTTAATATTTATGGATAATACTATTATTATTAGCCATAGAATGTTCATGCAATAGTCTAAAACATATTTTAGTGTTTGTAGTAAAATAGTTGTGTTTAATTTGTATTAATAATTGTGTTTTAGTTTATCATAGAAGAATCAAAGCAGTGTTATTCGCAAAAAGACCGACCGAAATCGTTAAATTTACAAACCAGTCGAGCTACTATAAGTAATGTTCGCACAAACGAACACGGTATGTCCAGATCGGATTTAGCCAACTGTGTAAACAGCTTACAGTTTGGATCTCTCTTTTACTCGTCAGAGTATCCAGCCAAAAGCGGTGATTATTGTCCAGTAACAGAGAAGTTATTAAGTCACGCTAAAGGTAGATGACCTAATTATATATATTGTATTATGTTTCATTGTTATTGAAAAGTAAACATAATATATTAATAGGTAATGATAATGTGCGAGAAGATCCGCCTGAAATGTCCGTTACTTCAGTTGATGAATTTATGAAAAAGCTTAGTCAAGAACTTTTATGGATTGAAGCCAAAGATATTTGGTGAGTAAAAGTAGTCATAGAATTAAGTTTTCATAACATCAACTATTAAAAACAAACACTTTTATATAGCTAAATAGTTACTTTTCCTTGGTAAAACTAAATTAAATACTTGTTTTATATTTTAGAAATTTTTAAAATTATTTCAGGTGTATACGGTTAGATCCAGTATGGGGAGATTTTTGCGGTGCTAGAGCAGCCGGATCGGCCCCTGTTCCGTTTCTCGAAGCATTTCCTCTAACTTTATGGGTTCAACTACCCATGTCGACTCCGATAACTGATGTGTCTAAAAGTGACGTGAAATACGGTGACATGAACGTGTTGTGTTATGTAGCAAATTTGATTAGTGTTCAGATCAATCATTATCAATATCTTTTTCTCATGCGTGTGATGGATGTGGTCGAAGAAGTCAGTGTATATTTAATGTACTAATGTTTTTTTTTCTTCAAATCGTTTAAAATTATTTCACGTATATAATTTTGGACACGTGTGTTTTTAGCTGGCCACGTACGTCGTTGCTGATCAACACAATATTATCGGAGGGGAAAAAAACGGATCGTTCATATTCGCAGCGCTATTCACCCAAGTCGAAGTGACGTTTGTCACTAGTGCTTTGTTTAATAAAATCGGCGGCGCCGACGATATAAGCTCCAGTGTTGTTGCCGATTCGTCTAGTATGGTTACCCAAAGCGGTCATAGCATACATAGCAGTAACATTGTACAGCCCACATACGAGGTAGAGTGTTAACCGTTGATTTTATTATAGATTTTTTACGTATGTTGACAAATTTTTTACTACAAAATTACAGGACGTGGAGTATGTGGGCGACATGAGTCAAGCGTTCAGGATACCGATGGCCATTACAGCTGCGGTAGCTAGTGATAAACGTAAGGATTTCATGTCGCACAAATCGGCTTCTGTTGTGTACGATAACCTTAAAGAAATGTCTCAAATCAAAATGGCCGAACCCGTTACAACCGATATTAGTTTGCCTTCATTCAAAGGCATGAAAAAGAGGTGGTTTAATTTTGGCGCATCCATTGACGTTCCAATGAAATCGAATGAAGACTTTAGCGATAACGTTTCTGTGAGGTAATAATATCATTCTTATACAGTCTTATTTGTGGTTTTTATGTCTAAATTTTTTTTTAATCAAAGGTCAAAATGACTTAACAACCTGACAGTTTAAAAAATTTGTTGTAGTATTAAGTAAATACATTTATCTAGGTCGGATGTGAGTTCAGACAGTGAGAGTTTACTCGACATGAGCTTAGACACGGCTGATGGAGCTGATGTGATATTCAGATTTCCGTCTGCACAAAGACCGAAAATTGGCCACACTAAAAACATTGAAGTCGCTTCTGAAGCATTCAACGATATCGGAGGAGGAGGTGAATTAACACCTCCCACGACGTCGAGCGAACGCGATTCCATTGGTAGCGTTATTAAACGAAAAGATTTGGTAAATACATTTTTTAAAAAAACACTCGATACTTGATGTATAAATTATGGTGTGTGTATGTGTGTTACATTGAAAATAACAAATGTATTTATACCTACTTTTAGATCGCCATCACCACATTTAAATTTGGACGCGTAGAATTAGTACATCAGTCCGAAGGTTTGAGTTCGGTCGTTAAATTACAAGTTACCAATATCGGTACAGAGGAGTGTCCGTATATACCTTGGGACGAATTTCAGGTAACTTATTTCATTAGTGCAAGTATAATGTAAACAATTTGTTAACTTTCTTTGAGCATGTTGATTTACTGGATGTTTTCCAATTTATGTTGAGTGTATGATCAAAAATATTTTATTTAATTTTAAACGATGCAATATCAATGTGTTACACAGGCGGTCACAGTGCTGTTTTGACAAATTTACTGATAAAATAACTATGTCAAATAAGATTTGAGGGCAGTAGTATTCCAGTTTGTGGTTTTATTTATTCACCTTTCCTTTTTTGTATCCGTGTGCTTTATAATAATTTTTAATCGAGTCCCTATTTAGACTGATGCGAGGGCGCCCACAGGGAGGGACAGTGGGAGGACTTCTGCCCCCTAGCTTCTCTGCAAGCTAAAAAAAAATGTATGTCCCAAATTTGTAAAATCTATTACAAAATCATAGGCAGCCCCCCCCCTCTGAATTTTCACCTGCGGGCGCCCTTGGACTGATGTACCTGAATTTGTGATCAATCAGAAATCACATCTGGCTTATTTTTTGATAATTTTATGATCTCGACTCGAGATGGTACACAGATTACTTAACGGTTTCAGTATTTAACTGTTTTTTAAGTTTTTTCTAAATTAAGTAACCCGTATTGTCTTAATTGTATATACAGCTAAGTAATATTTTTGTTATTACTATGAAATGTTATCTCTCAATTTAATAGAACTTTAACCTTAATAATGTATTTATCACTTTAATTTTTTTTTAAATACTATTTCTTCGATGGCGAAAGTATTTTCAACTTTTTCAATAAATTCCAGGACCTTATTGACATGACTGGTCAATAATCAGTTCAGAATTTTTATTTTTAGAGATTACCTATAAGCATTTAAAGAAAATTATATTACTGTTTAAGTTTCTGTTAGATATTTATATTATATAATCGCTTGCATGTTTATACTGGTGTTTAATTATCGTTTGTTTTAATTTTATCATTTGCCTTTGGAATGCAATGGGTGTGTTAACGCAATAATTTCCCGTTCATTACACAGCCTAAAAAGGTACCGAGTATAACTTATTCTTGCATTTATTTTCGTTTTGTTGATTGATCATATTGTTTTGTTTCTTAAATAGACATTATTTTTCATTTGTATCAAAAAATTGTACGACTGTTTCGTTTTCAAATAAATATTGATGAACAATTAGATAAGATCAACAAAACAAACATAATACTTTTTTTTCTTCGATTTATAGTACTTAGTTTTTTATAATAAATTGTTTCAATTGAAACAATTGATTAGTATAGACTTGATGTATTTGGAAATAATATTTCTCATAGTGTGAAATTTATTTATTTACCAGGACAAATTTACATCGAGAACACGCGACTGGAACGAAGTCGAAGGATTAGCGGGGTTACCGCAGTTGCCGAGAGTGATGGCTCGTTTGGAACATAACATTTCTCCTAGTTGTGATAAACCTCCGCTGCACGTCAGCGAATGGAAGAGTGATGATCTCACCGCTAAGGTCAACTATGTGTTCTTGTCTTTGAATTCATCGTCGCTAACGAGTTTGGCAGACTTTTTCACCGATGAAGAACCGTCAAAGTCACTCCCGTTTGAGGTATTCCCATACAAACCTGAGCATTTGTTTAAATACAAATATAAAAATAAAACCTTTTATTAAAATAATAATTTCAAATACATTTGTATATTTTAATAAAATACGTAAATAGAGGCACCTCGATGAATATAATTTAAATAAACGTTAACTTATATACGTTAGTTTTTAATTAACAAAACATTACCAATCTAAAATTTGGCTACTTATCTGTAATTTTAGGCCACGATCGAAAACACGACAATAAAATTGTGCAACAACATTATGCAAAACGATGCTCCGCAAGAGCATCTATCTGCCTCCAAACCATCGGATACTGAAATACGTATAAGTAGGCTGAAAATTAAAAAAACTATCGACGGAATAGTTAGTATCGAGCCTCTTATAGAAAACTGTGATAGTCCCGAAGACAGTAATCAACTGTTGGAAGCCATAACTCAATTGAAAAAACTTTCTATTGAAAATGAATATCTTCACAGAAAGCTGACTGTTTTGGAACAATTAAAGGACGAGAATAACGAGTTGAAAAGGTTTCACGAAGAAAATAAAAATTTAAAGTAAGCAACTTAAAGGCGGCGAGCGTCCGCTAAGTCAACATAGCGGAGCGGGTGTTGTCGTGCTATGTTAGGTCCCCCTAAACTAGTGGACGCTCTGCTTGAAATACTTTGTATTTAAATTGAATAAATTTCCAATAAAAAAAACGAAAACGCTTTTTTATTGCAGGTCCTGGTTGAGTTCTGCACAAGACAATATAAGCAAGCTACTTGAAGAAAAACAAAACCTGATTGATCAGGTACGTATTTTAAGAGAGTCAAAGACAAATATGATAGTTACGTCAAAGAGATAGCGCAAGTGTTGGTGCTTCACATGCACGAACGATGGATCACCCGTATGACTGTGACAAAACCGGTTTACTTTTTTATATTGTTGTTTTGTATTGTTGTTATAATAACTTTTTTTTCTAATATAAGATAATCTTAATTTGGTTATAAGATTGAAAACGTTAAGACTTCTAATTTAAAAAAATGCTTAATACGACCTACAGGTGTAATGTTTTTTACAAATAACTTTAATGTTTTTTTACTTTTACTTTATTATTTCTTAGTACAGGGGAAAATACAAATTGTTACGATTGATATTTTGCTGTCTAATCATTTAAGAGAACAACACAATGTCTGAAACACTGGTGTCTAACGTAATATTATCATCTTAAACCGGGCTTATTGCAAAGTGGCCACTATGTTTTCAATCTTGTATACTAAGAAAAAGACTTGTACTGCGCTATGTGTAGGCTTAAAAGCATTAGGATAATAATATAAAAGGGTTTATTCGTTTAACATATGTTATGTAATATATCTTATTATCTTGCACAACTATCGTTTGTTTTTTCTCTGTATTTGCTGTGATTATAGTGATAAATTTTTGTTTTTGTTATATTTAAATTAAAAATTATGTACAATTAAGATACATTTTTAAAACTGACATTCATCGACTAACACCACTTATCGAGATTTTAGATAAATCCGAAAAATCGTTCAACAAAGTAACTGCAATTTTGTTATGAATTATAAAAAATTCCAAGAAATTATTTAATATTTATATGAGTAATGGTGTTACCAACAGTTTTGTTATCGTTATTACTGTATAAACTGATTCTAAAGAAAATATTATTTATTATCGTGTAACAAATTTTATAATTTTTTTTTTTTTCTATTTCTATTGACCAAAATAAATCCACATAAAATATCATTTATTAATATATTTATATATAAATGCCGTGTAAGAGACTTACATTTTTTTTAAGGTAACAAATAGCTTAAAAATATTATTTAAAATATAAATATTTTATTCTTGTTTTCAATTATTATTGTATTGTTCTTTTGATTTTTTTATTACTTCTCTACTGTATAAATGCTCTCGACTATAAATTAAATATTATCGTTGAAATTATCTATTCATTCTGTATTTAAATCTTAAACTTACATTTTGCACAGAATTACCGTACCGTTTTATAATTCTTTTATTTCTTGCTCAACCAAAATTACTATCGGCAATAACAATTGCACAACTTTTATAATTAAAATAAAGCCCAAAATAGTTATTTTCTTATTACATAACCTTAAAAAAACAAAATTTAAAAATATTTTACTTAACTTAAAAATGGAAATCTGATACTACAGTATTTCATCCTTTTTGAATTTTTGTGTGCATAAGTCTTTAAATTGTATTTTCAAATCAATCCTAATCGGCTAGTATTTTAATTACTGAATAAAAATGTTAATGTTGTGTCCTTTTTAAGTACTTATAGCTGATTGATTTTTTTGTAAAATGTATTTAACATTTAAAAAACAAACATTTATTTTTAATTTTTTAATTAAATTGGCAATTATTGCAATTTCTTATTTAAAGTAAAATCATAATAGACAAGTAATATAATATATAATATAAATATTTGTTATGAATTAACAAGCATGACATGTCAGATCTTTAAATGATTTCTTAATTTAACAAGGTTGTGGTATTTCATAAATATTTTAGTACTTAAGTTTATAGGTAAACTATCAACAAGATTTTTACTTCTCATTTGTTACTTTTTTAGTGTGTATATATATATATATAAACACACGTACATATTTATTATCAATCAATATTTATTTATACATCTTAATTGTTTTTTTAATCGCATCGCTGTTATCATGTTACGATGCATTCTTTTGTCTTATACTATTACTATGACTAACACTTATATATATATGTAATTTTTTTTTTAAAGATTGTTTTTTTATCATGCATTTTTATGTTATTTATATAAATACATATATACTCTAAAAAGTTATCATGCAATATTAAGTACCAACATATTATGAATTTTTATAACTGTTATATAGTATATAATACATACTATTATTTATTCAAAATATCACCATTATTATATTATTTTTTATGTTTGTTGTAATTTGTAATTGAAAATATATTTAAAAAAAATTATTTATTTTGTGTAACTTGAAATCTTGAGTCTTGCTGCTAAAATAGCGGTAAAAACTGAAGCCAACAAAATTACTTCACTCCCTACTAGAATTCTATCTTAGATTTTCGACAATCATTTTATAGATTTATTTGAAAATACTTAATGAAGGACATGCTGGCTTCACTGCAGTTTTTACTCCACAAGCTATTTCAATAAAAATAAAAAACGTCCCTCTTCAGTCTCTTCACACATTGTACTTATCACGATTTAAACCGTGTTAAGAACGATGATGCTTATCATAAAAATGTTATCACCGTGGCAGCCATTTTATGATTATGAGAACTCGCCAACACACCTATTTACTTAGTCACGGGTATCACAATTTAATATATTTATTATTTGATAACGATTATTTATTATTCGTGCATTATTTTTTTATAATGACGTGTTTTTCAGTGGTCTTGACGATTATAAAACGGTAAACACAATTTATTATAAAACATAATACGACTGAATACTGGTTCATACATTCAACAGCAATGTCGGATTCGGATGGGGAATTCGAGAGTGCGGACGAGGACATCAAAGGCAACCAAGGATGGGAAGTGGAAAGCGATTTGGATTTGTCAGACAACGAAACATCTGTAAAGAATGTAAATGTGGTAAAAAATATACCCGAACACGGTGATCCTTCAAACGAAAAACAACAAGAGAACTGTAGTGAAGAAAGTTCGATACAAACTGCGGAAAATATTCCACCCCGTTTAGAAAAATTTGACAGTTCTAATGAGAAGAGCAATCATGCAAAGTCTGAACAACCTAGTTCTCCTGCCCAAATAGAAAAACTCTCATCTCAAATTAATAAACTAACCGTGGACGAAAGTAGTAACTCATCTCAACAACCGCCTGACAACCAAAACCGAGATTCCGAAAATGAGCCAAAGGCCACCAGTGTCGGAAGTTCACAAAACTCTGTGAGTACTTGTGTTAAGCTAATTACTACAAGTTGGTTTTTTTTTAGAATTTTTATTTTATGTTTGTGTAATCTTTTTACCTGAATTATACACACATGTAGGGTGGTTGGGGAGGATGGTCGAGTAGTTGGAGTGTCAACTCCATCATATCAACTGCAAGCGCTCTGACTAATCAAGTGTCTCAAGGATTAACTAATGTGATCGATGCCAGCATTGGGGCACCGGCTCCTGAAGAATTAGCATCTGTCGATAGAGCGACAACAAAGACTGGTATTAATTCTAAAAGTGGTAAATTTATTGACAATTATCGTCTAATCGAATCTTGACTATATTAATGTTCAAACTAGATGAACACGTCGAAAATTCTTCAGAATCTATTTTGGGCGCAAATTACTTTTTGAATAATGTAAGTCAATTCACAAAAATTGTCGAGTCAACTGGTTCCAAAATCATTACTGGCGGTTTGGATACCTTGGAAACGGTCGGCAAAAAAACTCTGGAAGTACTTCAAGAAGGAGATCCAGGATTACGAAAGAAGCGAGCTCTGTTTTTCCAAAACAGCGAAAAAATCAATCTATCTCAGGTATTGCACTTTTTACAAGTGTAAATACAGTCGAGTCTCGATAACTCTTATGTTTTCTGGTCTTTGAAAAATCCTGTTTACATTCAGTTTGATATTGAGTGCAGTTGAATGGTAAAGAAATATTTTAAATACTTATATTGTAGATTTTGTTTGATAACAACCAGAAACTACGGTAAACTAGTACTATGTGAAAACCAGTAAAAATACACAATTAATTTACAATAATAATATTAAATCAATTTTAAACTCATAATTAATGTTGATAAAAGTTTATGGTACACTTATTTTTATTCCCGTTGGTTACGAGACCCAACTATAATGTTTTATATTAAAAAAGATCACCGTTGTAATAAAATAATTTAATTTAAACAACAAGGTTTTACAAGAAGCTAAAGAAAAAGCTGAAATTGAATCGAAACACAACAACCAAGAAAATGAAATAGTCAAGGGATACGCTTATATGTTTGATCAGTTTCAAGGTTAGAAAAATTCCATCGTATAATTTTTATTACAATTAGGAAACAATGCTTCCCCAACGTGTAAATAAATTATCGCCAAACACGCAAATTCTACGGATATCATCTTTTATGATTTATGTTATTGAATTAAATGTTTTTTTTTTTTTATATAGGTTTAATTCATTTGGAGAGCTTAGAATTGATATCCAAACAGTGTCAAATGAAATTGCAAACAGTTTTGTTGACTTACTCGGGTTCAAAGTTAACCGATATTCAAGACGAACTAGAACACATCAAAGAACTTTGTTACCTTGAATGCGACGACGACGAGAAACTAATGGACAGCAAAGAATTTCAAGACGCTTTATCGCGTTGTACCGGTCAATTTAATTTCGACATAAAAACAAACAAAATAATTAGGGTAATTTATTTTAATGTGGGTTTATCATTGGTTTTCACTTTAATTAAAACTATTTCAAATAGGTAAGTGAAAAAATAGAAGAAAAATCATGTACAAAAGATTCGGTGGATAGCGTTCACGACGACGCTATCGCCGCATTAGCTGAATTAACTGCAACGGCTATGGAAGTATTTTATAAATTGGGAGAAATGTTGATGATCGACACAGAAAAGCAACAAGTTTCGCAAAAGGCGGAAGCTCTCACTCTGTAAGTGGAATAACCGGCCATTATTAAAATAATGGCAAACAGTTTTTAAACATTTGTTGTTATTCATTTAGCCTCAACGAAGCCATTTGCTGTCGAATTCGTTCCGTCGCCTACAACTATGCGTGTTTGCTTACAAAACTCGACGCAGCCAGTACTTCCAACCAAATAAGCGATATTTACCTCGAAGTAACCATTATATACCACTTTTGCATTTTATTATCACGTATGTTTTGTTGAGGTTTATTTTTATAACTTTTTTTTTTAGTCTTCAAATAGCAGTTCTTACATTCAAGACGCTGCACAATTATTGACTCCGATTCTACAACTATACGTGATCTAATTCAACGCGGTCTTAAGTAAAATACAAAAAAAATGTATTTATTGTCCTATAAGAATGTGTGTTAAGCACATATTTTACCCTTTTTTAAATAGTTTGCTTCGACAATTTTTTTTATGTAAAATGTGTTTAATACAAAACTTCATACATAATAATATGTGTAGTTGTACTTTTACTTCCATTTCATTATTGTTTTTGTATCACTTTTATAATATACCAGTCATAAATAAGAAATGAACAGGAAGTTTTAAAATAAAATATACTCATTCGATAATATTTTGTAAAAACTGTTAATTTGTTTATTAAAAAAAAACATATAAAAACATTTGTATTAATGAACCTGAATAGCTTCAAAATCCTGGTCAGCACAAATCGCCTGAAATAATTTTAATAGCACACCATAAATGGGACAAATAGGAACGCAACCAGAAAAACATATTTGAATTATTCTAGCATTAAAAATGTAATCGTTTTGGTTCATCCGATAAATGGTAAATATAACAAAATAGTAGAAAAACACATATTGTTAAAATTAAAGCACATAAAAAAAAAAACAAAATATCTTTTTCTAGCTCGTTCCTATTTATCCCGTTTTTATTTATCCCATTTTACGATAATGATTGTTTTAATTTGTCCAAAGCATTTAAATTATATTCATCCCTTGATTAAATAATATACATGTGTTTATGTTCTTATTAGAGTATGTAAGGTTAAAAATGTTGTGTCAATATAGTTCTTGTAAAAAAAAATGTTAGTAATTCTTAATCTTGACAATGTAATAGTTACGTACTATTAAATTAATTTAAAAAATAAAAAAGACATGCACATTTATGAAACAAACAGTTGAGTTGCCTGTGAAATAGTTAAAACAAAAGTTTAGATTTTAATCGGTCTGTTGTATGCACTAATGATGGTAACATTGCTATAGAGTATTATTTTTGTGGTTAAGGATTTCTTTAAATGTAAAGACCACTATTTGATGGAACCGGAAATATAGGATGGGCATTTTCTTGAAATATTATACCTTACATTATCCAGCATTTGAAATCACATCATTGTACATACTATAAATAATGTTAATTTTTTTCTCAAGTATTTAAAATACTCCTGAAATATATTTTGGTAGTAATACGATAAATATTTTGAAAAATCATTTGATTAGTATTTTAACAGCAAATATTCAACAAATACATACTTATGTAGATGTATTTTTTACAACACTGCACCTATCGAACCAAAGTCACATATTATTATATATTATAATGAAAAATGTTTATTTTTTTTATGAAATATCCATATATTTACTCGTACGATAAATTTAAAATCCATAAACCAATAATATTTGTCATAACAGCTAAGTAATAAGTTAGTTTTTAGGTGAAATATATATTTGTATGCAATTTTCTGTTTTTGTCAATATAAAATACATAACAAACATATCAGCTAATAAATTGAATGAATGTTATTGTTTAAACATTATTAGCCTATTGATTATTATCTAGTTAAAAAATACTTATTAAATATAATAAATGTAAATAAGTATTTTTTTTTTATTAAAACAAAACTTTTAACTATTCCTTATTTTTGGTATGGACTTAAAATCATTAAACGAGCAAATATATATAATATAAATTTCAAATTTCATTATTATGCCGAGTTATTACATCATAATAAATATACATAAACTTTGGTGGTCATTTAAGTCCAATTTTGGCAATTAATAGATTTCAAAAATATATTGCTAAAATCAGACTAAACTCAGCTTATAATCATCCCCCTAAGATTTATATATATATATTTTTTTTTTACTAGTTTTTTTTTGTACAACGTCAAAGAAATAAAAAATTAACAAATACCACATGAACACGCAAAATATTTCCGTTAGAAAATAAATCACTTAACTTCTTTTTCACTAACCACGACACTATGAAAAGCAAAAAAAAACTAACTTTCTTTTAAAAAAAAATAACACTAGGCTACACCACCAACAGACACAATCACTGGTAAGCAGTCATATTTTTACTTTAGTTTTGAAACCATGTAAATTTAAATAAAACACAAATGATTAATTTTTAAATATTTGTATAATGTTTTAGTAAATTTTAAAAAAAATAATACAACATCTTAAAACATTAAAAAAACATGCTGATTGAAAAAAAAAATACATTTAAAACGCGAATTACACTATATTTCGATTTATTTGTGAGAACGCACATTTGTATTAAAATTTATTGATTAATTAAAACAACAGTTGTCAACACTAAAAAATGAGAAAAAAAATACTACCAAATCGCCACCAATTGGGTAATATTTTTACACTGTAATTTAGAAGTAGATAGTAGAAGTAATTGCATAGTTATAGAACTGTATAAATATAATCACTATTTAATTGAATCATTATCATACGTTTCACATAATAAAGAAAATAATTTAATCACTTTAATACACAAAAATAACTTATAGTATTATTATTACGAACTAGAAATGTTATCACTATAGAGAAAATCGTATGATTAATGTTATGCACTTCACACCTTTTTTTTTTTTTTTTTTTTTTATGAAACTTGTGTGTGAATTTGAAACATTAAAAAAATTTAATTATAATTTATTGAAAACAACAATTAAAGCACATTGCAAAAAATGAAAAACTTACACGTTGAAAATCGTAAACAAAGTTACTTTCGTTGAATTCATACTTTCAATTAAAAGCCGTAGCTATTTAATGAAACCGGCAATAAAATAAAAATAAAAACCCTCTAATTTACTAATATTGTTTGTCATTAACCATCTAACCTTAAACTAAATGTTTTCAAGTAACTTATATAATACCTAGTTTAAATAATTTCGTTATTTAAGTTTAAAAAAAAATAAAAATGACGGATAAATCCGAAGTATTAAGGCAGGTCATAAAAAATGATTATAGTTGGAAAAAGATTCGAGACTACTAGGAAACGCCTCCGCTAACAACAACGATAACTAAATGATCGTCTTTTAATGATTCGTTGCTCAAATGTTTAGCACTTTGTTTTAATAATTTTGCCGAATACTCGCAAGGGGGAAATGCGTATAGAACACCGGTTGGTTCTGGTTCCTTACCTATTAAAGATATAACACCAGCAGCCTCCTTCTGTTTCAAATAAGTCACCAAATTACGTAAAGGTCGTATTTGCACCAAAGCATCGTCGTTAGCAATCGTGCTAGTGGAACAAGGCATTGCCAAGAATATAGCATTAGTCTCGGCACTCATTATACGTTTGGTTACGTCTTCCAATTTCGGTTCGTCTAGCCGCAATCGTTGGGTAATACGTAACGTGGATTTTCCTTCTTCGTCTTTCATCATCGATTCTATTACACTGAGGTCGCCGGAAGTCAAATGACATTTGGCGGGGAATTGTGAACTCTTCAATACAAGGCTGCCCTGCCAGGTATCAGTACACTTACGAGCCAAATCATTTAATGTACGGACAGAACTCAAAGAGCCGGAAGGTTGTACGACGCCTTCTTCAGAATCCATATCGCTGTCAATCGATTGATGAAGTGGAGACCTTTCAGGCGAACGAGGCGAACCAATATCGGAAACAGAGTGTTTGAATGAACGGCCATTGTCATAGCTACTGAAGTCTCTGCCCTCCTCAGCATATTCAGAACGGCCTTTACGATAACTCCTCGAACTATAAGAAGGGTATTCGCCATCGGGCCAACCGTATGGATATTCATCACGTCTTGATAATTCACGTAAATCTCCGGCAGATGCAGCAACGTCATCATGAGACGACTTCGACTTTGATGAATAAGTTAACGTAGGGCTACCACAAACTCCTCCATCAGCAAAATCGGTTCTGAGTTTATGTTCTGGACCTCCTAGAGCCACACCTCTCATTTCCTTAACTGCGGCTGTTGCGGCATCGATACTTTCAAACTGAATATACGCACAAGTATCACCTTTAACATACTCGATTTTTTTAATAACTCCAAATCGATCAAATTCTCGTTCCAACTGTGCTAATGATGTCCACGGGCCTAAGCCGCCAACCCATATTCGTTGTGTAGGAGTAGATTTTCCGTAACCTATTTTGCATTGGAACTTTCCCAGATATTGGCCGGATAATTCAACTTTGGCTCTGTGTGCCATATCCAAATTTTGATATCTAACAAACGCATACGCATTTCCTGTACCAGGTAACGGTCGTTTAACATCAATATCTTCGACGACGCCATATCTACCAAATATACGACGTAATTCCTCATCGGATATCGATATTTCTAAATTTCCTGCAAATAACGTCCTCGTGGCTAATGGATCGTCTTCAGGAGGTATATGATGTAAATAATTGGGGAACTTATCTTTTTTGTCATGCAATAAATGAGGATGAGGATGTGGCCTGAACGGAGGCATAAAATGTCTAGGCGGTGGCCCATATAAAGGGTGGATTGGAGCTAAATGAGGATGGATAGGAGCCACATGATGCAATAACGGTCCTCTAGGGATCATCAACTCATGCGGATGTAGTGGCGGCAGACCAATTTCTCTGAAGTCTCTCGGAGGTAATATCGGAGGAAGACTACCATACGGAAGCCTATCGTAAAACCTATCAGCTGGATGAGGTCTATGAAGTTCTTGAGGAATGGGTGACCTATGATAATAACGGTCGTAATCTGGAGAGTAGCTTCGAGAACGAGAACGCCTAGCAGGCCTAGATTCATAATGATCTCTAGAACTTCGACTTTCATAAACAGGCGTGACTACGGCTATTTTATCAAATAAACTTATTCTAGGCTTACTGTGTTTAGCGTCTTTGGCATCTTCTGAACTTCTAAAACACACATAAGCCACTCTTTCCTCTAGCTCATGAGAGACTCTGACTGAAAATTCTCCAAACTTTCGATACTCTCTATATAGTGTTTCTTTAACTTGTTCATCGTTAGCTTTAGGATGTAAAGCACTGACACACAAAACTTTGTAGGTAGGATGAGATCGGTCTAATTCTCTGGAGCGACCAAACTCATCACGTTCCGAGTTATACCTGGACGGCCTAGGACTGGGTGGCGATCTGGCTCGACGACGCATACGTTCTGGCGATCCTCTTTCGTCCGAACTACCATCGTACCGATTAATGCTTCCGTGTCGTTTTTTCCGTGACATTGGCGGAGAATCGCGGCCATAACTTCTGCGTTTCATGTTTTCGATTTTAACAGTGATTGTTTTAGACTTAAAATCTCTAGGCAATCCAATCATTCACACCACTGCACATTAAAACCATAAAATTACCTAAAAATATCGATATTTATTTAATTAAAAACATAATATTAAACAGTGTCCACATATTGTGTTACTTTCAATATAACTAGGGGTACTAGGTAGTTTTCACATTTTAAAAAGTAACTACACGATTATATCAAAAAAACGGTAGCTGCCAAACTCACTTTAATAAATTGCAAAACACAAACAAGTCGTCTACACCGCAGCGGCGGAGGTCACTAACAGCCGTAAATAAAGTCAAATTGAAAAAAAAAAAACGAACCGAAACTTAATTGTCGAAAAAAATAATGCAACTGTAATGTCGTTAACGTTTTAAAAATGTGTCCGAAAAGTGATTAAATTATCAACGGCCGACACACGAAACAAAGGCGACGGCACAAAATTTTAGTCACGTCTACGGCGGACACTCTAAATGCCACACTATAAAAACAAAATGGCTCTCTGTTGTCGATTGTTTGACGGTGCACGCCGATAGTGAACATGTATATCGATTATTTGGTAAAATTGAAAATAATTATTCATTCGTTCGGTTTACGAGAGTTACAAATGACAAGTGCCGGAAATATCGTAATTTGACTATTAAACGTAAAAATGAATTTTACTTGGATCAAAAAACCGAATTAACGAACCATAAACATTTGTATTAGGTACTATCGATATGTTGAACATTTGAGGTTAAGAAATATACCTTTTGGCGGGAAAAGTTTTGTGCATTTAAAAAACGCTTGCCCGCCACCAAATATTAAATGTTTAAATCGAACAATCGTCCAAATCCTCAAGTATAAAATTATAAAGCGAAACAAATATTTTATATAATATTTTATAAAAATCGTTTTCGTTATTCCATGTGAAAAGTAGAGTGAACTTAAAAAGCAGTGAAAATAAAGTTGGCATCTAAATATAATAATTTATCAAGCTCTAAAAAAAAGAGAAAAATTTAATAAAAACTAAAATAATTCACAAGACCATATAATTATTTAAAAAAAAAAATACAATACGCGATTAATTATATTTTTAGTAATTGCATAAAAGTTATCCTAGGTACACATAACTGTATAACAAAAATTGATACAAAGAAAACGTTGTATACAAAATATCGGTAATATATTAAACAATACAATAGAAAAATATATTATAGATGAAAAAATCAAGTGCGTTCCTTAAAAGTATAGGTATTATATACGTATATGATGGGCAATATAAAATTTTGATTATTACAAGCATGAAAAGTTTACACGAGCATTCATTCTTGTAAGACAAGTTTGGCGAACTGTTCTTCGCTGATGTCTAATAAACTTATCAGTGCTTTCCATCCGTTGTTTTGGGTCGACAGCACGTACAGGTTGGTCAAATCTCTTAGGCTTGTTTTCTTTCCCAACACCAGACTCTGGCATATTCTGGCACACACGCTCGTCTATGTGTCAAAGTAAATGAAACTTTTTAGTTTTTATCGATACAAACTGTTTTTGGTGTATATAAAAATTGTACACACGTGTAACAGCGACAGTTCCAAACCGCTGAGGGATCTGTGCCGTTGGTAAGCTTTTATAAATGGCCGAATAGCCACGTTTGATAGGCTCGGGTTATCGTTTTTAAACTCTTGTATTATCAAATAACACAACGAAACGGCCAATTCGAAAAACGTGAGAGACCATACCACGTCGCCAAAATCGATGACTCCTCTTACTTTTTTGTCTTTAACGATAATGTTGTTGAAGCTAAGGTCACCGTGAATGATACCTAAAACGAAGCAACGGTAATGGACTATACACTCTCTCAGATATAGGCTATAGCTGTGTACTAATAATTATTATAATTAATATTTAGAAAAATTAGGGTTAACGACAAAATCGTCTATCTATGATTATTAATTGTAGCCGTTGTTGCCTATAATTATCATAGAGTAATAATATAAAGAGATAAACTAACATATACTAGCTTGTATGCAAGAGCGAAGTAAAAAGTAAGACTAAAACCAGTATGACCACATAAAGGAATAAAAAACTCTTTATTGTCCAACAAATAAAACAACTAGGCATTGTTGTTAATTATTACAAATAAATAGCTAAAACTTATATAACTTATATACAAATCAATAATAATAAATTTTATATATTTTATCGAATTTAAAAACAATATTTTTCAAAATACTGTTATCATTGATATCTTATCACCACGATATATTGAACGATAATTATTTTCTTCTATCTTGGCAGACTGACTTTAGTCCTACTTTTTGCAACACATTAAAACTACTGTAGCTACCGCCTGCCTATAATAGAGCAAAAATCGACAAAAAAAATGAAAATATTTTCAAATACCTGTTCACTCACACATGGCAATCTAGAAATTAACAAAAAAGTATGACTACATATTTTTAAAAAAAATCGTAGATGATAATCTCACTCTATATCTACCTTCAGTCTATATTTCCAGACCATATGTCCTAAAACTCTGCTCGGAAAATAAAAAATAAAAAAAATAGTCAACACCCCTTTAAACATCTTCTGAGGGCGTTTTATACAAAATGTACACATTTTTTATACTTTTTTCCAACAGGTCCTTTTGGGACAGCACTGAGCTTTGGAATTTATTTAGAACGTTTTTAATCATGTCTCTTTGGTTTTGTTCGTCGAAAACATCAATAAACTTGAGCACATTAGCTGCATTTTCCAGAGCCCAAATATGCTCCTGTCTGTGAAACCCTTCGTGGTCGAAAGTCTGCAAAAGTATAAAACATTTACACGGTTTTAGCAATACAATGAAATATAGGTGTATAGAATATTTATTTATACTCGAAATTTGTTCGTCAAATATCCAACGCACGATCCGAAATTGTCTGCCAAATCGTTGTCTAATTGAACGTTTTCTAATGTGATACCTTCGATATACTTACACATGCGAACAACGTGTGTTTTACCATCTTAAAACATATGATAAAAAATCGGTTACGGTTATTTTGTTTCAATTGTAACCCGTTTAATCCCGTTTTTTTTATAATAATTTCAACATTTAGCATTACTACAAAGCAAACATATAAAACGTGTTGTATATTATTAGCTTACTTATAACCAGACTTCGATAGCCTTGTCCATTTTTGTTTAACATTGGTGTAGGAAAATTAATTTCGGAGTCACCTGAGCATTAAATTATACAAAAAAAAAAAAAAAAATAGTAGTGTTAAGCAAATAAAAGTGTGTACTTAAATGTTGCATTAGTTTTGTCTGCGCTTCCATTAACGAAATATTGGCTGCGTCTACAGAATTGACAAACTTTATCACTACTCCTTCGGATGGAAATTTTATTCCTTCAGAACAACTTTTTGCGTTCTAGAGATTATATTAAATTAAAACAAGTTAAAAATAATTTCGACGACCATATTAGTTTTCATATTATATTGTTATTCATAAATTATGTTACAGTAAGTTTTAGTGGGCAAAGTTAGTCAAATATCAACCTATGTACCTATAAATATAAATATAACCTATGGTGTTCGATTTTTTTTTCAACCTAACGAATGAATATTATATTGAAAAATAGATAGGTCATAGTCTCTAATGTGTCGGCATTTTTCTATTTAATATTAACTATTTTTACTCTAAAAAAGTATCATAGGCAAGTAAACCGTATTCTACGTTCATATTTTAGATTAGAAAAATAGTAAAAAAACGTTGCCAATGGCGTTGTAATGATCTGATAAAATAATGTATATTACCAATGAATAATTATGACTGTACTAACCAATGTACAACATAATTGTTTTATCGGTATACCTAAATGAATACTTTGCAAGCAATTTTCTATACATAACTGAAGTGTTCAAGAGCTAAAGGGTAATGAGTTTAATAAAAAATAATAAAGAAATGAATACACATCGTTGCCAGAGAACCCGAGTCCTCATACATTGCCATTAAAAATAATATACTTGTACGTTTTCAACCTTAATGTTTAGTATTAAATTTAACAAAAGCAGTACCTATACAAAAGTTTGGGTTGAGAAAAATGTTTCGTATACAAACATCTTATAAAAAAATATAATATATATATATTTGTTTTTTTTTGAGAACAATAATTATATAAATAAATTCCAAATTTCGTTCCACGGATAGTGTTATCTAATATCAACAACAATCAGCCATTTTGTTACCTTGATGTCTATCTTTTTTGTTGTTGGTATTCATTCGAAAATAAAAAAATTCAGAGAAATTTAATTGTGCATAATATAATAGAAACAGCTTTTTTAAGCTAAATTTAAAATTCGGTTTACGGCATTGGCAAAAGTTTATTTTAGTGGTATCGATTAATTTCCATTACCTCCACAAAGCAAGAAAATCGACTATCAGTAGACTACAGTTATCTGTGTTATCAGTTGTGATGCTACTCGGTACTCACTGTAATATGAAAATTCTTGTCATCGTAACCATCCAATTTTCGAACTTGCCCATTAATAAAACCGTAATCGTTTTCCAAAATATCTTGGACAAACTTATCGTCTACAGCAGCGCACATATCTTCAGTAACGTCAGCCATTATATTATTATCTATGAATAGATTTATCGATGAAATAAAACAATAATTAAGATACAACGCTTAAAACGCAAAAAAAAAGAGTTAATTGTATGTTATTGACTGATAATTTAGTCTATAAAGGGGTATAAGTATATATTTACTATTTAGCTTTTCACGAAGTAATTACTTGACGCTTGTAGCAAATTTGAAAAAGCAGATGTATATTACTTACTTATAATTACTTTTTTTTTAAGTTTTACGATTTATTTGACAAAAATGTATTGATCACACTGAATAGGCAATATTATTATCCTAATCCTCTCTACAACATGAGTTTCTACTTCAGAGGCCCAAGAATTAAGTGCGTACATACTACAGTAACAACAGTCAATCAACAATGCTACAGTAAATAGTAAACCACGCCCAACGTTAATCTAATCTGTACCGACCCTAGCGGATGATCATAATTTCATTATATTATTTATACTAATAAAATTGTATTAGTGGGGCAAATAGGTAAAACGGTTCGAGCCTCAATTCTCAAAGGTCTCAAATGTCTATTTGTTTATATTTTTCATAATATCAGTTGTTTATTGTTATGTTACAACAGCTGATGAGTAACAACTAGTATGATAACATTTTTATTTCATGGTTCATTGAGCTACTTTGATAATATCACAGATTAAAATATTACAGTTTGTATCTCAATTTGCTTTTTTTCTTCCTCTTCGGTAGTCAATGTAACCTAGAGTGATTGTAAGCTATTTATGACACAGCCTGAAATATAGTAGCTATATAAATCATATTATTAATGAAACTGTATTTTTTATACAAGAATTCCTTATCTGGCAGCCATATCATTAGATATATTATCTATTAGATTTAATCTATTCTGTGGTCATACCGTCATAACACGAGTAGCTACGGTTATTCACATTTCACTTTTAAAGAAATTGGAAATTGAAAAATTGTGACACTTGTTTTAATCAAATCTGTATTAAATAAAATTTTATCTAATATTTGATATTTATATCAATGCGATAATGGCTTTAGGGTTTAGGCCTGCGTTTTAGTGACATGATCACTATGATTCTTTATCAAGTCATTATAGTTTATTCTTTATATTTAAATATACCATATTAAGCTATGAATTAGTTGTCTAGGTATATAATAGGTTCTGTATAAAAAAAAAAAAAGGATACAATGGCGTTTAACATTGAATGATTAAAAATTAATTGCCGAGACTGTTTATGACCGCTTTGATTGCTTATGGATTTTATATGACCTAACGTCCATTATTATTTTGCTTATTGACACAACAGCATGTATATTAATTTAGAAATAAATAATAACAAATGAACTTTTTCTTCGAGTCGTCCTAACTGTTAAAAACAAGATAAACCCTGTGATATTATGGTAGGGACTATAAAATTAAAAAAAAAAAAGTAGGTGTGATAAAATTGAGAAAAACTGACATCGACTTTCACCAGATAGTGGCACAAATAATAAAAACCATTAATAACTATTGTTTAATTTTTCGATGTTGTATTTATTAGGCGGTAATGAAGACCATAATTTTATTATATTATTTAGTAACCAAATAACATTGTGGCAACCGGGTAACGTGTACACTGAATCACAAAACACATTGATAAGTGATAACGTTTGATAAGCGAGTAGACGTGAACGGTGTACTGTACAATATTATTGCGGCTACCTATCAACTATCAAACTGCTGTCTGCAAGCGTCATTTTTTTACATTAGCAAATAGCAATATCTTTTTAATGGTTCTAATGTTCTGTATTGGTAAAAATGTATATGATGTTATAATTTGTTAAAACTTAAATACAAGTATTATTTATAATTAATCCATACTTAAAATTATAATTTTTTTCAAATAGACGTTTCAGTGAATATATTTGATTAAAATGCATAGTTCATTCTACCTAGTACAGCTTTTTATCATTTTAAGCGTATTCCAACAAGGTTTCTGTTATTTCCTGACGGTAGACGCACACGCTGAAGAATGTTTCTTCGACAAAGTCGAAATCGGAACCAAACTAGGTAAGAATAATATAACATCGATGCCAGATACAAATAATAGGTATTGTGTTTTGTTTGCTACACAAGCCAGTTTAATGTTTATCACTAGACAATAGTACATTTCCTCTTTTTTGCCCGAAATGTAATTATACCTACTTACATTTGTGTCAAAAATGAATATGTCTCGTTTTCTCTTGACAAAAGTATGTTCGGTTCAATATGGGTTAAAGTTTGTGAAAAATACTAGTTTTCTTGGAAAAGAATGAAACTCACACAACTTACGGTCGTGGCAAGCAAGACGTACTAGCATTTGCCATAAAAATGTGAATACACTATTTTATGTTGCAAAATACAAATACCATATTTCGTGAATGAAATCTTATATTACTTTTTGTAAAACAGGTTGACATTTTAAAAATAAATACCTAGAGTGCGTTATATGATATGTATTTTTTCTTTTAGGTTTAATGTACGAGATCTCTGAAGGTGGATTTTTGGATATTGATGTCAAAATATTAGATCCTGACGGTGAAATCATTTATGAAGGATTACGAGAATCAAGTGGCAAATTCGCTTTTGCTGCTGCCAAAAAAGGTGCTTACACATATTGTTTTAGTAATCAAATGTCTACAATGACTCCGAAAGTGGTATTATTCAATATGGAAATAACTGAACCACAACAAGCCAAACTTGAACATGAAGTTAAAGGTAATTAAAAAACCAATTATTATTTCTTGCTGTACCCCACTTTTTTTAACCCCAATGGTGTCATTTGGGAGTGAGCAACTTAACTATTTGATATTATACTCGAATGATTTAGTTTAACCACTTTATGTGAAAATAAAAATATGTGTATGAAATAAATAATATTTTGTCAAGTGATAAAGAGACACAATTTTGTAGTTGTAAAATTGTATAAGAAAAAAGCTACACAAAAAAATGTCCATCTCGATTTTATTATTTGTTATTATCCATTCGCTCAAATACTTTTCAAGTTGCTGGAGTTATTTTCGCGATTATTTTTGTACTATTTTGGTTTAAAACTATTAATAAAAAAAAAAAATATATTTATAAATATATAAACCAAATTATTTATTTTTTAACCTAAATTCCCATTTTTTATATTATATTTAATTTAAAAATTTCATTTATTATTATTTACACATTTAAACATAATAAATAAATATATAAACCATAGCATCCTAGTTATAATACTTTGAAGTAGCAATCTTATATCAGTAATTTTCAAATGCCAACTGTTTTCAATGAACTATTATTTTTTTTACAGGCGACGAACAAGAAGGTGAACATGAAAAGTTGGAATCAATGTTAAGAAATTTGGGATCCGCATTAACCAGTGTAAAACATGAACAAGAATACATGAACGTCAGAGATAGAAATCACCGGGCAATTAATGAGTCTACTAATAAACGTGTGGTAATGTGGTCATTTTTTGAGTCTTTCGTTTTACTGTCGATGACAATTGGCCAAGTATACTACTTAAAAAGATTTTTTGAAGTCAGAAGAGTTGTATAATTTTTTTTCATATATTTAATTGGATGTTCTTTTCTACATTGTTTTTTTTTTATTCGTAATTTTTCTTATTAAATAAACATAATTATAAATTTTAACTAAAACTGTTTTTATTTTTTCTACAATCCATTTCATGTTGCAGAACTAAAATATTATTAACTACGATACAGTTTTTATTTGTATTACGATATTTCTTAGGTTCTTTCCAATATTGTTAGTTGCGTTATTAGAACAAGACGTATCAATTGGTGGTAGTTATAATACTATAGAGCAGTACCGTTAAAATTATTATAAGTTAACAAATTATTTAAGAGTAATATAAGATTGTTGGAAAATAATTAATTGATTATTTTATAGATGTTAAAATTTTTTTTTTTTATTGATAAATGTGTTTAATTATATATTTCTTTTTTATATATTATGTAGTCAAAAACAGTGTTTGACATTGGTGCTTAGCTGAAAAGGATATAAATTATAGACCAATGCAATGAATGATTGTTTATGTAATCTGTTGTATGTTCCTGGCTTATTGTGGTCATTTACATTGTTTATGGTTTAATTATGGCTCTCGGGTATTGAAGACACTTTAAGAACAAGGGCCCAATTTAAACTTTCTCAGGACTGGAGACATAAAAAAATGATTTAATAAAAACCAATTATTTTCTTCACAGATTTAAAACTATTATCCTATTTAATGCTATAAAATTAATTAAAAATTAACTTCAATACAAGGTAAAACATTTTATTTGTAATATTGGGTCCTTTTTTTTAATTAAAGTATTCAAAATATAAGTTTATATTTATTTTACGAGAAAAAACTCATTTTTGTATGAAATATAATATTTTTTTCCGTTTAAATGACGTAATCTGTTGCACAGTATAATACTAATAGACTTAAAAAAAAAAATGATAACTAGAATACATTTTATTTTATGCATACAAAAACCCCGAGGGGAAACTATTGCTCATATGACTTGCCCTTAGGTATAAAATAACTAATTAACATTAACTAAATAATATTTTATTAATAAAACAACTTTTAATTTATTATGTATTACTTAACTTTTGTGTAATCATCACATTGTTATAGTACAGAAAATAACAGCACTTTGAGAAATAACAGAATATTTACTTTATAGGACGACTTTTTTAATTATGTACATTGTTCTGTTTAAATTACCTTTATTATATTTTAGAAAAATTTAGATTACTATTAACCTCCCATATGAGAGTTTGGACATTTTGATCGTTATTTAGTTTTTTTCTAGTCCTTTGAACGACTGATAAAACTTATTATTAGATTTTTATATTTTCAGTAACGTTTGCCACTTGGTAAGTGAGGTATGTTATTTAAATTTTTTTTGTTTTTTTATAGTTTAGAAACAAAAAACGGGCGGGCGATTGGGTGACGTGTCTGTTATGTGTACATTGTACATAGGCACCACACACATAATGCATGTATACATCTATTAACAAACAACCAAATGTGCTGTGGCAAATGGCAATAGAAATTTAAATAATACTAACTACACACACGAGATACTCAACTCTGAAACTAGTGTATAGCTATAGTACCTATTCGTTTTATTTATTTATTTTTTAAATTTAATTACAACAGCTTTATTCGTATAAAATTGTATAATGATCATACCGTTGTGTATAACAGAACTGATTATAATTTTGAGCGTTTTGACACAAGGACTCGGTTATTACTTAACGATTGATGCTCACACCGAAGAATGCTTTTTCGACAATGTCGAAGTTGGAACTATGATGAGTAAGATAAAAATATATTCACCACACGTCGAGATTTTGCCATTACATCAATGTACATTTTTGTTCGAATAAATTAATTTAAAAAAAAAATGGATTATCCCTTATGTGCATTGAAGAGGTCTTTTTTTTTCTGAACATTTCAGACCAAAAACAAAAAGGCTGGCAAAATGTTGTCTACTATAGCATGGTCCCATTTAAAATTTGTTAAGGGGATTGCATGCGGTTGGTTTTAAGGAGTTTTGTATAGGCAATATTTAAGAAAAAAGTGGTTTTAATAAATTTCGATCATGTCAATTAATTTAATGATTAATTTGTATAAGCATCATGGTATTATTTTGTCTATAAGTAAAAACCATTTTGGTTAATATAACATACATTTTTTGTTCCATCGCACAGGCAGAACCAGTAATCCGATAAGTAATCTGAAAACAAATTTGAATACGTCATGAAGTTTACTTACGATCCGTCAGTGTACTTTTTTGATATCTTATTCCAACTATATATAAAACACATTTGAACATTATATAAAAATTTCAATTTTAAAAATCAAATTTGGAAATGGATGAAATTAAAAATTGAAAAAAGTACTCTGACCGATCATAAGTAAACTTCATGGTTAGGTACGAGTCTTTGGCTACTTTACTAAGTTATGTTGGAAACAGTTTTTAATTTTTTTTTTATAATATAAAATAATTGCATATTCATGTTGAAAAACAAATTAAATTTAACAACACAGTATAAATAGGCCAACAATTGTTTTCTTTTTACAAAATTGAAATTTTTACCAGCGAGTTTCACAATTTTCCACACAGCACTATCATTTATTTAGCCACTAAAATGGCCTTTAGGTGGTTTTCATAGAAGAAATGTTAAAAGATAAAAATAATACCTTGAAACTTGTTGAAATTAACCTAAAAGTAAATTGACATGATCGAAACTAATAAAAAAAAACACGTATACTATGTAGACCTAACCTAACCGTGATATTTTTTGTATTTATTATTTACATCTAGGTTTTATGTACGAGGTATCAGAAGGGGGTTTTTTGGATATTGACGTTAATGTAATTGATCCGGACGGTGAAATCATTTACGAGGGGTATCGAGAATCGAGTGGCAAATTTCCTTTTGTCTCTGCTAAAAAAGGCAAGTACACGTATTGTTTCAGCAATGAAATGTCCACGATGACACCAAAAGTGGTACTGTTCGATATGAAAATAACTGATCTACAAAAAGACGAAGACAAACAAAAGTATGAAAGTAAGTACAATAATAATTATTCAGAAATAAACATAGAGTAATAAATAATAATATAAAGAGATAAACTAACATATACTAGCTTGTACGCAAGAGCAAAGTAAAAAGTAGGACTACAACCAGTATGTCCACATAAAGGAAAAAAAAATCTTTATTGTCCAGCAAATAAAACACCTAGGCATTGTTGTTAATTAATACAAATAAATAGCTAAAACTTATATACCTTATACACAAATTAAGTATATTATACATTTAGTATATTTTATCGAATTAAAAAACAATATTTTTTCAAAATACTGTTATCATTGATATCTTATCACCACGATATATTGAACGATAATTATTTTCTTCTATCTTGGCACACTGATTTTAGTCCTACTTTTTGCAACACATTAAAACTTCTATATAGCCACCCCCTGGAAATAAATTTTAAACTTGTAAAAGTTATGCAACATATATTTTATTGAACGTTTGAGAGAGATTGAAAATTGATTTTTTTTAGCTTCAGACGACAAAGAACAAGCACAGAGGGATTTGGAAGTTACGTTGAGAACCTTGGAAATCACTATGAGGAACGTACAATATGAACAGGAATACATGAACGTAAGGGATAGAAATCATATGAACATAAACGAGTCCACTAATAAGTGTGTAGTGATATGGGCGTTTCTCGAATGTTTTATTTTGCTGACATTGACGGTTGGCCAGGTATTTTATCTAAAACGATTTTTCGAAGTAAGAAGAGTTATATAATTATTTGATTTAGCTAATAACGTAGGTATAAACTGTAAGTTTTATGTCATATTAAGCATTATGGTATTAAATAGTTTTGACACTTTATGAGAGAATAAGAGTCCAATTTTTTAATTGGGACTCTTCCTATAAAAGTTTTGCTGTTATTTACTCGGTTTACGTTAGTTGTTTAAAAATGTATTAATTACTACATACCCATGCTATCACATGAGTCATGACTGTCATATTCTTACTTATATAATTATTATCTATAAATAATATAATATATTGCATGTTATTGAAGTTAATATTTAGTTAAAAATCTACAATAATAAAACATATTCAAAACAAAATGAATCGCCATTTTTTAAACAACACGTTGTAGTAATATGTTTAATGTTTATAATTTAGGTCATTCGTGTTTGTACATATTACATATAGGAACCTATTAATATTTATATAACTTTTAGAAAGAATAGTTATTATAAAACGTTTTAGTTTTTGACTTTTGTTTGTACAGTTCATTTAAGATATAAACCTACATTTTTAATATTTAACTCAGCTTTTAAGTATATCAGTACACGGTTTAGAAACAGCCAATGAAAAACATAATTAAATGCGTGTTAATTGAAAAAAGTAAATTCATATATTTTTGAATAATAAATACATAAATATATTATATTTTATAATAGGATAAATAATTTGCATTTAGATAAATAACTCTAAAATCACAATAGTTATACATTTGATTAACATTAAAATTTGCTTTTTTTAAATAATATTATATTATACGATTGTACATAGTAATAGGTAACATATACTATAAATAAATAATTAATCATATTAAATTTAATATTTAAAAATACAGTAGTAATAGTAATAATATTATGATTTGTGTTAAAGATTTTATTATCACTCCAAACATATATTTTATTATATAAATAAAATTATCTATGTATAAATACAATACGTTTAGAAGCAATTGTATTTTGCATTCAAATAAAGAAATAGATTTACATAAAGTTTGAAACAACAGAGTGCAAAAGTAATAATTTTTTATACTTAGGTAGGTCAATCATGAAGGTAGTTGGTTATACAGATTGTCAGGAATGCCAAATGAGTCAGATATTGTTTGAAATAAAAATTTTAATGTTTAACTATTAAAGATTATATATTTTTTTTAATAGACTTTTTGTAAAGTTGTACTTGAATTATAATTAATTATATAGGTAATAAATAAATGTAATTTCAATTTTTTCAATTGCACCTATTTACTTGTAACAGGTAAGTTTCACAAAAATAATTTGCAAATCCTTTAATATTATGAAAATATTTGTTAGTATACTATTTATATTTATTTTGTTAGCATACTAAAGAAAAGAAAATTATGATGAAAGGACGGATAAACTGATAGGTACAAACAATAGTTGTATTGATAATCGCTTGAAATTTGGTCGACTAAAATAATTTAATAATCGCCGTTTGTACAATTCCATAAGTATAACATTATAATAATTTTAAAGATAGTATTTTTTCTAAAAATTACATTTATTGTAATAAAAATGTAATATTTATTTGGATTAATAGAGTAAGTAATAAGTAAGTGAAAAGATATCTTTTAAAAGATAAATTTTTTTTCTGGCTATTTTTAAAAGTTAAATTCAAAATACGGTTACATTATCAATTATAATTAAACAGCCCAAATACATTGCGCGTAAAAACATATCACAATAATTATCCATACAATATAGGTAATATATATAATAAAGGTTTTCAATAATGTCTTACTCGAGTCAGAATATGTAGTGTTTTATATAATATGGCCGCTTGTTATTTTTTATAATATATTATGATTTTAACATTTCTGGCGTTTTTTATAGGTACATAATTACAACATTTATTAGTCATATACTACAATGTAGTACAATAAACGAATCAGTTGTATAATAATTTTATACATTTAACATTAAACTCGTCAGCTCATCCGCATAGTATACGTTTGATTTTGATTTATCTTATACAGGTTAAACTAAAACCAATATAATTTTTTTTTTTTAACTAAAAGAATAGTTCAATGTGAACAATAGTCAATAATAATACATTTCAGTATTATTTCTTTCTGTGAACGCGTTCGATGGGGTAATAAATTTCGATTTATTGCTAAACGATTCAGAGTAGTACTTTACATTTTAAAACGTCATCAAGAGACAGATGTCAGCCAATTGGACAAATTTAGCAGACGATCCATAAAAATCAACCGAAATTATTATTTATTTTCAATTAACGTTTGCAGTTGTAAGACTAAATCGCGCGCCAAAGACAATACCGTTTTAGCGTCATGATGTTCGGCCATTTCTGAAATAAAAATACACATTTTGGCTGTTTGATTGAATAACACAATATTTTCCAAGTAATTATATTGTTGGCATTTACCGTTAAAAAATTTAATGATATCCGTGAAATCCATATGGTTGGCTAATATGATATCTCTGTACGTTTCTACAAGAGCCAGTGCGATGAACAAAACGAAATGAGACGACGACATTTCTTTTGCAGCCCATATTGTTTCCCAAACGGTAAAAACATCATCGTATAATAATTCTGAAATCGAACACAATTCCAATTTGTTAAAAACCAACAAATAGTAGTTTGTTTATTACAAATTTGTTTATTCGCCATCAATAAATTGTATCTATGTTTAATATTTTTTTCTGTTAGATTTCCCCTTTCGCGTGTCTAGTTATATTTTGAATCGCTCCCAAAATTTGTAAAAATTCGGTTTTGTGTTTGCTTTTTTAGCTTGTACTATGATGAGGTGTAATCGTTTTCTAAAATGTATTTTTAAACAGTTTTTTCCAAATGTATGTTTCCTTTGCTAAATTTGGAAATTACTTTTTTACGTCCACTGCCTTAAAATCAATAATTTTTTAATTATTGAAGTGCTTATCATCGAATTCAAAACCAATCGACAATTGTGAGATTTCTTGCTCAATATAAGGGGTGTCCCATTTTAAAATACAAATCGATTTTTCTCTAAAAATACTAATCTAATCAAATAGCTGCTTATTAGAGACTTTTAGAGTACAAAGGGAGACGTTATAAAAATTAAAAAAATAGGGTCCAAAATTCAAAATGGCCGACCTACGGTCAAAAACATGTTTTTTTTTTTAAATGGAAACCATGTATTTTTTGTTAACCAAACAAACGTTTGTATCAAACTAAAAACTATTGTAGAATAATTTTTCGGTAAAACCCATAATTTGAAATTAAGTATCTTTAGCTATTTTTAGTTTTGTTATTTTATTTTGATGCATATGGTAACCGTGTCATGTGTGGTAACCTTGGTTTATGAGGTAACTATGGCTTGTGTGGTAACCATAGTATGTGTGGTAACTGTGGTATGTGTGATAACTTGGTAGGTGTTGTAACCTTGGTTTGTGTGATAACCATGATATGTGTTGTAACCGTGGTATGTGTGGTAACTATGGTATGTTTATAATTTCCTTACCATTACATTATCATTATCGTAAACGTTATCCTCTTTTCTGTGTATCACAAAGTCAAATAACATGGTTACCACACATACCAAGGTTACTACACATGACAATGTTACCATATGTATCAAAATAAAATAACAAAACTAAAAATAGCTAAAAGAGACCTAATTTACAAATTATGGGTTTTACCGAACAAGTTTTCCTACAAAAATTGTTAGTTTTAATAAGAACATTTGTTTGGTTAACAAAAATTACACGGTTTCCATTAAAAAAAACATGTTTTTGACCGTAAGTCGGCCATTTTGAATTTTAGACCATATTTTTTTATTTTTTCTAACGTCCCCTTTTGTATTCCAAAAGTATCTAATAAACAACTTTTTGACATAATTAGTATTTTTGGAGAAAAATCGATAAGTATTTTAAAATGGGGCACCTGTATATGTCCTCCAAGTATACAACCTCTAATACGATAAATTATACGAGCACAGATCAACGTTTTTTCACGTGTCATTCGGTTTTCGCATTTTTGTAAACGTGCTTATTATTGATAATATTTACATGCTATATAAATACACACGAGGACCTTAGTAGTAGACTGTTATTACCTCGCTTGAAATCCAACAAAAACCACCGGTAGCAAAAATAGAAATGAGTGAAATCACCGTTTTCGTGCATCAACTCGAACATTTCGGAATCCAATATTTGAACTAATGATCTAAAAAAAAAAAAAAATATACAGATCATATTCACACGTTGACGGACAGGCCAAATTAGGTTTTTTCTAAAAACCCATCCAAATGACATCACTTTTCATTACTGCCATTATTATTCATTTATACCTCATGTTGGCGAAATGACTGTCCATCGCCCCGCCGCTGTGTGGAAAGTTGGCCGACATTCTTTCCATCAACAGACAGAAACAAGAATAAGATAAAGTCTCATCGTCGAGGATCACCAACAGAGGAGCCACCAGGTCGCACATGCCCTGCATGTAACCCATCTCCAAATGATCCCAAACATATCTGTAAACAATATATTTGTATACACAAATAGACTAATACGTTATAATATTATGTGTACAGCGAGAATACATCCGGGATAGGCGTGGGGTGTGCCTGTCATTATTTTCGTCAAAGGATTGACCTTGATCGCATTGACAAACATGCCCAAAAGCATATCCTTGTTAAATTGTATAATTGTCGAGACATGTATTTTGTAAATTGTACTCACGTGCATATGATGTTTCTCAGTTTGTCTAGGTTTTCCAGTGTAAAATAAGGATAATTTCTGTCGCATCGCTGAACGTCTTTGTCTATTCTGTGCACGTTCAGACCGAAATTTTCCACCAATTCCGCCTGTCGTTTATAAATTGAAAACAAATTCAAGGAAAATCAAATAAATAGGTAAAATCGCGACGGCGAATAATGATTTACCGGATAAACTCCTCCTTGAGAACTCGCCGGCGATATACAAGCAGACCTTTGTTCGTGGTGGGTTCCTTCGTTGTCGTCGACGGTCAATTTAGAAGCCTTGTTTTCTTCTTCGTTTTCTAAAAAGAAAAAAATTATAATCTTTTCCTCGGTTGATTTTGGCACTTACCTTTAAGTACACCGTCTTCGTTATGGTTGTCTACCGTTTTTTCAACGCTAATATTTGACGTTACTATCACTGAAGTGGGACAAACCCGAGAAGTGTCTGTAATGAGAAACGACGCATTTTATTTGATTTTACCTAGATAAACGAACTTAAAATATTTTAAAGTTTAATTAGAACAACGAAAAAAAAAATAGAGAAAATTAAATATTAAAGAGGGCCAGAAACGTGTTGTAGGTAAATATAACAGTAGAGGAAGACTGGGGAAATTTGAACGGGATAAGGCGAAATAGAACAATGTGACTAACAGTTTTATTAGGTGTAGCGAACTCATTTGAAATATTACCTTTGAACTAATCATAGTTATTACTGTCTAGTAATTGTGTTATATGATAGTTATTATCAATTGCAATTATAAATCAATCACCGATCTCACAATCTGTTAACGTCATTTTTAATTACCTTCGGATATGTTTTGAAGTTTTTTTGTAAATGCACTTTGAAAACTTTCTTTTTCCGTGCCTTCGTCTTTTCCTAATCCCTCGTCTGACGACAAAGAACTCTAAAAGTACAATAAAAGTTAACAATTTAATCACTGTAAACATATTTTACAGTTACACAGCTCAAAAAGTCATTAATAATTGTGCTATGGCATACCTATAGCCTAAGAAGTAAAAATACAAAGACCATTAAATTAACAAATTGCCTTCTTAGTTTTTAATTTGTAAATTAAACACTTTTCTATCTATCTCTTATATTTTACAGAATTTAATCCATCCAGTATCATATTTGTCTACTGATAAAATAAAACTAATTTATCGTTACATACCTTGTCGCTGCTGTTTGTTTTTGGCTCTTCTTCGGTTTGTCCGGATTGCACGCTATCTATATTATCATCAAAATTAAATAATTGCCAATTAAACATTTTCCGCAAAGACACTGTTAGTAGGAAGTTAGTTTTTTATTAATACCATTTTTACACGGATTATTTATCTCGGGCTGAGATTCGTCGACGATCGGCGGGTTATCTTCATCAGAAGAAAAGTTAATGTTCTCTTCGAAAACCTATGAATTGAGGTTTCATAAGAACATCTTTTTAAAAAATTAAACGATTAAATGACTTACGAAAATAATAATAAGAAACACAAAAAACCCGTTCTTTTTTAGGATTTTAAGTTTTTTATTTTTATTGAAAAATCTAGAATCATGGATATGTTTTTCCTCCTTACGTTTCCCTCTCCGTACCCTCCCCTTTATTTCACAGCCCATATTCCCCTCCAGACACGAGAGGAGGGGAATGGGGGGGGGAAATAAGAGGAGGGCTGGACAGGGCAAGAGAGGATAGCAGAGATAATAGGGGGGGGGGGTACGATAACGCGAAAATGGAGGTGAAAAACAATAACTATTTGTATACAGCCCAAAAACATATCCGTGTGAAAAACAGGAAGACGCCTTGGATGCAGAGTTGATTGCATTATTTAGTTAATTTTTCGAGTAAAAGTTGATTATTCGTATAACCACGAATAATGATTAAATTAACTATTATTATCCGTGATTAATTTCATTTACTCATGACTAATTTAACTATTATTCGAGTTAAAATTTTCAATCATGATTAATTTAAATATTTCCTACGATTAAATATTTCAATCATGACTAATTTAACTATTATTTGCGTTAAATTTTTCAATCATGATTGAAATTTTTAATATTTTTAATCATTGTCATTCGTAATTAATAATTTGTTTTTTACGTAATACATAATAATATTAAATTTTAAAAAAATGTACTTCTTAAATCTCTAATAACTTTATTCGTGTGTACCTACAAAAGAGTTAATTTTTTTAATTATGACTAATTTAACAATTGGTCACGATTAATTTATTTTTAATCATGATTGATTCAACTTTAGCCCATGATTAACTCTTTCAATCATGACTAATTTAATCGTACTTCAAAGTTGAAATTTGTATTCATGACTGATTTTATTTGTTATTGTATGATTAAATTAATCATGATTGAAAAGTTAACTTTTTGCGATGACTAAAATGGTTAGTCATCGAGTTAACTTTTAACCTAAGTGAAAAATGTCCATCTCTGCTTGGGTGTAACTTAAAGAAATTTCGGTTTTATTATCGTTGTCGACGAGCTAGACTAGAAGTCGGACGAACAATATCTAGATGATGGAAATAAGCATATGCTTACATCGTTGCTGAGCTCTTGGCTGAGTACTTTGGAAGCGTTCGGCGTTGTCGGTGGCGGCGGCGCGTCTCCGCCCGACGTGCTCTCGCTGGATAGTTTTGCCAGATTGGCCGCCATGGTTTCGCGGTCTTTCTGTCTGATTATCGCCTCGACGGCCATCCACTCGGACACGGTGGTCTCGTACTCCTGTTTGCAGCGCAAATCCAACGCGGTCCGTTCTTCGGCCGTGCTTCCGAATTCGTAATGACCCAACAAAAATGGCCACACCTATATGCGAAACGCACGTGTACCACACCACAAATCGTTATTACATAAAAAAAAAAAACAATTGTGTAATCGAGCTATTGTTTTCATTATTGCGACATGCGCCCATACTTCTTTGCGGATTTCGTGTTGAACGCCGCCGAAATAGGTGAGACGGAAAATTTCAAACTTGACGTCGTCGCTGCCAAATTTCGAATCGTTTTTGAACAGCTGCCATTTCTCGCCGGTCAGTCCGGCCTGTGCAGCACCACTGGGTTCCACTATTGTGGTGTTCACCAGACCCGACAAGTGAGTGCGAACAGTGGTCAAGTGGCGACAGTACGCCAGCCAACCGTAGAACGCTCTGGATATGATCTGTTTCTTCATAGTCTCGCAGAGAATTTGTAACGAATCGCTGCAATAAACACGTCTACTTTATATTTACCCGAATTTCATTGTTATTTAGCTATTGTTCAATCATTTAAAAAAACAAAACGGCCAGGTCCCAGGCCTTATTATAGCCGAAAGTAATAAATCCATTATCAAATAAACGCTTCGAATCGAATCTGTAGACAGTAGAAATACCGTGATGAATAAAAGCATTGCGAAAACTTAAAGTTATAGTTTGAGATTTATACATTTTTCTTTTGGGGGAAGGGGACATATGGGAAATATGGCCTGTGTTCGGTACCAACAATGAATAAAAGTTACCCACCCAGTGTCTTTGTTTTGGTTACTGGTACTTATCAACAAAGGAGAAGCAACGGGGTCGAGACTGCTGGACGTAGATGATGATGAATTGGTCGACGACGATCCTAAATGACCTCTGACTCTGTTCAACATGCTGTGCGAGGCCGACGGCATCGACCAGATTTTAGAGTCCAAAATTTCTTCCCCTCTCGATACTAACGAGTATGTGAAACGTAAAACACAATTATTATATTCTACACAGAAAGCGCTAAAAAACTATACTGCGAAATAAACATCTAGTATAAATAAAACCCTTACGGAATTCTTCGTGTCTGGCTTTGTTGATTATTTGAAACACATAGTCGCGAGATTCTTCTGTAGAACTGGACAGATCGTTGGAGATATCCTGCATCTGTGCACGGCCTTTCCTTCTCAGTTTGGGGAAAACTTTTCCTACAATAACACATTACAATGAAAACCTACTAAAAAAAAACTGTTGTCGTACGATTCGAACCTTTGCCTCGTTGTGGCCACAACGGAGGATCTAGCTGTCCGTGGGGTAGAAGACCGTTTTCTAAACATGTGAGAAAAGCCAACAAGTGACCGCCTTGTGGAAAGTGTATTGGTGGTTGTTGCACGCCGTCCTGTGCCACTAACACAATAGTACCACCGTTGTCATTTCCTAATTATATCAGTACATAAAAATCACAAATATTAACTTCTGATGGGAATTTAGGTTTAAAAAAGGAAGGGTTTTCGAAAATTATGTTTTCCCCTGGATTTTCTACTCAATAAAAGTGCGCCGTCGCAAACATGAAACTAAAAGCAAAAATATACCATCGAAATATTTTATTCATTCGAAAAAATGTCTTCTCGTCGTTAATAAACCTTAGATTAGTTTTATGCAGCTCTCCACGTCTCCCTCTTGTACCTTAATTCTTTTAGAGCCTTGTATTTTTAATTTTGTTCAATTGCATTCCGTAGCTATTATTTATTTAATATTCTGTTTAAAAAGTATATTTTATAGATCTTTCTTTCTGCGTAAACCGTTTTCTCCTGCTATTCGAACTTCTTTTTGTGTTTTTATTCTCAGTTCTTTCATTGCCTCTTCAATATACAACTTGAACACAGTCAGAGACGCAAGAAAAAAAATGTCAACATAATATGCTTAAATACAAAATATCCCCGGGTTGAAACACCCATGGTTCATTCTTTTTGAACAAAAAACTATTTTATGTGTTTCCAAATTAATAAATTTAGGTAAATACACTTGTCGAAGGAGAAAAAATTAATATTAATTATTTTTCTTATTATTGTACTTTCGAATGCTTTATGTTCATTAGGTAATGTAATTTTCGGGTAGAATATTACCATTTACAATTCCTATCGCAGTTATCACTTCTATGTATCAAATTGCTGGTAAAAGTACTATCAGGTGATATTTATTTTCGGATAGTATATTTTTAACTTGTACAGCTTAAAAGTATAGGTAAAAATAATAATAATTGAATATATATATATATCAATACTATTATGAATTATCACTGTAAATTATTTTGTTAGTATAAAATACCTTGCTGATGGCAATGGACGTACACTATTTCATCTACATTGACATTCATAGCATAATCCCAAAACTGGCTGTAACAAAAAAAAAAAATATATATATATACATGTAATTAATATAATATAATATATTGTTTCAAGTAATTACTTTAAAGTTAATATTTTCTTCATTAAGTAGGTTAGTCTTAAACTACATTTGTATTTAGTATATATTATTAGTGCATAAGTACATTAAGTATATATTGAACAATATAGTATTACCTATACTATTATAATAGTTGAACAAGTAACTAAGTGGGTTATGAAAGTTTTGTGGTATTATAAACTGTGATAAAATATACCTAACTCAACTAATTGCCTATAACAAGAATTCATCGACCTTAATTATTTCTTAAATTTTAAAAACATCAATGAGGGCGGCCGGGGGATAATTTTCCCATCATTCTATTCTTGAACACGCCACTGAATTCTACCTATATATTTATTTTTATTTATTTATTAGTTTTACTTGGTAAAAAAAATCAGGCATATTCCAATACTTTTATGTACGGTCAAATGTTGTATATCGCGCCATACATTCACTGATTACCAATATTTGTATACATAATATAAATTTCGATTATATTATCATTAGTTACATCCGTATTGGAGAAACCAGAAAAAAATATTTTCATTTACTAATCATCCAAGAGATAATTGTTTTTTTTTAATCAAATATAAAACATAGTACAGTATTTTCTAATTAAAACAGAAGCAATTATAACATCATTTAGTTTAAATTTGAAATAAATTATTTAAATTGTCTTCACTATGTTACAAAAACACCATACAATAAAATATGTAAATAGTTTAGAAATTAAGAATTTAATATTAGTTAAATAATTGTATAATTTTGTTTATAGGCTTTATAACCTAGATGTTGAAGCCTGAATTCACTCGATAAAAAAAACACCATTACAATTGATTTTAAATTAATGTTTTAATTAATTGACATGCTACACATTTTTTTAATACTGAAAAATGTGTTTGAGGAACACTTAATCTAAATCAATATTTAATAATAACTATTTTTTTGGTGGATCCGATTTTGCGAAGTTGATTGCTAATAGGGGAAATGAGTCAACAATATAGTTATATGAATTTGTTTAAAGGTATACATTGTAGATATTTAATTAATAAAAATTGGAGTCCGAAATTAAATTCTAAAAGTAATTTAAAAAGCGATAGTGTGGATTATAGTATACGACGAGAATACGTGATGGATCATTGTGCAAAGGTACTGTAATGGTAATGTAGTGAGCTCTTTGCATAAGTAACAACAAACACAAATCTATATTAAACTGTAGATTTTGATTCCCGGCCCCTTTATGTAATATCGTCGATATGTCACAATAAAATAATATATCATAAAAGAGTAAAAAAATAAGCAAACCTTTTGTCACTATTGTCGATTTCAGGATTATCGTTTTGATTTGTGCCGGGAGAATGACAATTCATCAGTTGGTTAGGAGTCCATTTAATAATTAAAGAACTAGGAGTTTGGTGCAGTGATAAATATCCTGCCATGGGTTCCGGTACGTCTTTCTAAAATAATATACATTTAATTATTTCACTTCAAAAATTCGTATTATCATACAAGTGTAATATTCTGACTACTCTTTCGGGTGTGATTCGACTCAAAACTCGAAATGATTTGATTTGACTAGAATACAAATGCAATATTTTAATAATGATATATAAAATTGAGATTAATCTTTAAGCCCCAAAGTATTCCTAAGCAAAGAGTTACGATATAAATATTACAAGATTTTGGAACAAAAACTAAAATAAGTAAATTTAGTATATTTTCACTAAATTTTTGTTTACTGTTCGTCTAGTCATTTTTCAAATAGCCAATTGTAAAAATACTGTTTTGTGGTTTTTTTCAGCGTATCATGTACGTTTACAAATAATTTTCTAAAAGCAACATTGCTAAAATACACCCGACCTGTACACTACTCAGGAATGAAAACTTAACAGCTAAAGCTAGTATTCCAAGAACACATTACCGGTAGAACTAAAACGTTGTTTTTTCCATACAACAAAGTGACTCGGTTGTTTTGATGTAACGATTCCACGTAGTCTTTGGCGGAGATGGGCGTTTGTCTTTGACCGTCCTCGTTACTGGTAGCGTGTAAATTTCTTCGATACTGCAATATTATTATATTTAAAAAAACATATTTGCTTTTATTAACTTCCTTAATTCTTCAAAAAAAAAAAAAACATTCAAAAATGATTGAAACTTGAGTGGGGTATTATATTTACACATTTACATGACTTGAGGTTACTCCCACTTGGATGTCTTGACTAGTTTGCCAACGTTTCGGAACACTTGCACGTTTCATCTTCAGGGCTGTGGTTCGATGTTGCTCGTGCCGCGCTCTCTTGCAAACTGGCCGATTCGCTTCCGTGAGCGTAGGTTATATACCATACCCCCCACCGCATTCTCCGCTCCCTCTTGCCGCTGTCAGCTGTTTTCTACGGCCACGCCCCTTCGCCTTGGCCGGCTGCCGCATGACTGATTTCCGTTGCCAATAGTGTCTTGCTGCCAGCTGTCCTATCAGCTTGTATCTACCTAACTTGCCAGAAAATCAGTCATGCGGCAGCCGGCCAAGGCGAAGGGGCGTGGCCGTAGAAAACAGCTGGCAGCGGCAAGAGGAAGCGGAGAATGCGGTGGGGGGTATGGTATATAACTTACGCTCACGGAAGCGAATCGGTCAGTCTGCAGAAGAGCGCGGTACGAGCAACATCGAACCACAGCCCTGAAGATGGAACGTACAAGTGTTCCGAAACGCTGGCGAACTAGTCAAGACATCCAAGTGGGAGTAACCTCAAGTCATGTAAATAGTGTAAAAAAAAAAAAAAAAACATTAGTTATATAAACGTACGTTAATCGGAGTACGACACGGCGGAGACATATGGTACCCACTAGATATGCGATGCCTTTGTACGAGTTCGTCGGCCGGCGGATCTGTCCAAAATTGATCGTTTGACTTGGTGCGAGAATAATCTAAAGCGCACGGTCCAACTAAGACGAAAAACAAAAGGTGATAAGCACATTTTTTTCCATTACATCTACATAAACAAAGCATAGTATCAATTTTACCCAGGAGAGAACTTAAAATGCTTCCGTAATCCGGATCCGCTACCAGAGAATCTTTTTCGTAGTACTTGCTAAAATTGAAAAACAATCTTTCTTTACATTTTCTCAAGGTGAAAGGTTCGACGCCGAAAGGTGCAACAGCAGTCGAGTTAAAAAACCAAAGTTGGCTGACATTTAATTAATTAACGATTACGAACTAAAAACAAATCGAATAACGTATTACTTAAAATAAGAACATAATATATTATTCAAATTGACTAACGAACATTATGATTCATATAGTATTTATTTGAATAACATACAATTATATTTAACTTCGATGTGGCGTTGAGAAGGAATTGTTTTTACCATAATGTGTTTTTTTTTATTTTTTTTTTTTTTTGTGTCAGGACCGACGGTATCTTTTAAGCCGCCGAAACGAATTTCTTCATGTAGCAAGTCAATAGATAAAAAAATTATAGCCTCAAAGGTACCTTATAGGGCCAACAATTTAAAAAAAAATGTATTCCTTTTTATTAAATAACAACTTTGGTTAGATCAACCCAACTGTGGTCATAACTATAGAGTTTAATAATTCATTGTTGGATATATTTTGGTTGGTTGAACTGACCTGCAGTTTTGCACGAGATGATCTATGATAACGGCCAATAGTTTTTCAAACAATGCCAATCGGATCCACAAGTACTTGGGAAGTGCATTTGAAGACGGACCTAATCCACTGCCAGCTGAATTCTTCTTGGTCAGAGGAGGCGGATGGGCATTTGACATCGTTATACTGCCGGTTAAAGTGCTATTCACTGATGCTGCTCTTGTCGCACAACTGTCTCCGCTATATTATGTGAAAACGCGAATACATAAAATAAATAACAATTGAAATGCATCTTCGACCAAAGTTTAAGTACTATGTTTGCGTTGTGTTAATTGGTATGCATTTTTGTTTACATATCTTCGTCAAATGTTATCCAATCGGTACCTACCTACTGTAATACACATTGGTGATCGCAAAGTTTGAGTTTATTGAAGCAGCTAGCTAGCTATATAGTGTACATATGCTTTAAGCAAAACGAATTATAGTAAGTGTGAATAAAAAAAAAATTATAAAATGTACTAGTACTTATCAAAATATATAATTTTAAAATCTAATTAAAGTAAATGAAAAATTACTATTGAATACTTCCTAATAATATAAGAGATGAACAACAGAACCCATAACCTAACAAACTTTTACTATTTTTTTTTTTAAAAGACTGGTGCCAATATAACAATAGTTTCTGAGAATTATACGAAGCTTACTTTTCGCTGCCAAATAGTAACCAACTCAACGAGCGCCTTCTGGTTAACATACATGTACATTGTCGCGATTGACTTACAGAATTCCTTCTATCCCTAGGAGGAAGTTAAAGCAATTGAAAAAAAAATATATTTCGTATCAATGTAATAATACTCGAGAATCTTTTAAAAAAAGGTATGAAAGTCAAATTGTTCATTAAATGATGCAATAATATGTGCCTTACATTAATTTGACGAATAATGCTGTGACCCAAAACTAACCTTATACATAAATAATATTATTTTTTTTTATAAAAAATTAAAAATTAGGTATGCAATAATAGTATTTGAAAAAAAAATTATAAGATTTGGAAATTTGTATAAATATCAAAAAACGGCTCACAGCAATACTACCAAATTATTAAGAAATTAAATTTCATAGCTCGTAATTATTTATTATTTCATTTTTAAATCACAAATAGTTTATGAATAATCTCATTTCATATACAATGCGTAATTTGTTGGAAAATTAGCAGATTTAGTATGAGATATAACGCAAATATTTTAGGACTATTTGTTCAGTCATACGAGACTCCGACAGTTTAAATAATTTTTAATCTACAGAAAACTATACATGTTTAGCCAGACAATAAAGGTGGACCAACGCAGAAGACCGTGATAAAACATTTAAATTTAGCGTACATCATGAATATCCAACAGATTGAATTCCGGGTAAAATTGAATTCTCTAAAAAAACATTTTTTTTTTTTACTAAATTAAAGTATGTGATTCAGAATTGGAAAATCGTTTTACACGTTTTAAGAAATAAACATTTTTTTTAACTGAGTTTTATTTAGGTACAAATAGATTTTATTTGGTCCGATACTATTTTTTAGTTAAAGAATAAAATGCGAATTTACCCAGGATACTTGCATTTATAAATCCAGTTAAAAACTGCGAAAAAAAGTTAATAAACTTGAAATTACTTTCACAAGTTTTAGGGATGGTAGCTAAATTGTTATTTAAAAAAAAATGTTGTTTTCAGTAATTGCAAATTACATTTTCAGTCAAATACTAATTTAACCCCGTATATAATGGTATAGATTAATTAAAAAATTTTCTTTTTAAAATTTCGAGTTTTTACAACTATAAATGAAGCGTTGATATCATTTTAAAAAAACATACTATAATAGATGCATTACATCACAAACTAAATTTGGATCATTTTCAGTTTCAAATTAATTAACACACTGTATACTCGAAGCTTACTTTTCATTGCCAAATAATAACCAAGTTAATGAGTTTCTTCTGTTAAACATGCATGGACAGATTCGCTGTGGAGCTAGCGAATCCCTTCTTATTAATAACGACAATGGCCTGAAAAATATTGTCCATTCCAATAAATATCGTGTATCAAATGAATAACTGAACTCTTTGAGTACCAAGTGTAGTTATACATTTCAATCACACCAAAATTCAGAACAGTTCTATTTGAAACAATACAACTATTATTGTAATGTAAAAAATCGATGATGCTTCTTAGTTAAATATGATACAGAAGATTATTATTATTGTGGGAAGCACTTCATTTTTGTTCACTAATTTATTTCTATTATTTATATAAGTACTATATAAGTGAGAAGCATAAAGTAAACTTATTTTTTTTTAGTAAAATGAGCTCATAAAAACCTTCAACATAAAATAACATTGAAAAAATAATTTGGTTTTTTAAAACTATTATCATTTAAAAAGTGATAACATAACTCAATAGGTAGTTAAAAAACGGAAATCGTGTATATATCTGTCAGGTTATAGTTTATGGTTAAAAGGAATACAAAAACGAATTATTTGAACTAGACCAATAGTAATTTCCATTGATGAAACTTAATTATTTTAACAAAAATATCATCTTTTATAACTAAAAACAAAATTATTCAATATATGTTTTCTTGAATAAACTAAAAATAACATAATTCGATGGACAACAAAATCGAATTATTCAAATAATTTTCCTAATAAAAAGTCATTCGAAAAAATGATATTCGACAAATAATAAATACATTTATTCTTTTGAATAATGCTCAACTTTGTTTACACTACACATAGGCGTAGCATAATGCATTTCTGGGGGGGGGGGCATCTATTGCAGTATTGCACTTATACAATTTGTACATACAGACAGGAATACCCTCCCCCCACGTATGGACTTGAATCAAACCTACTCCCTTACCCTTTTTTTGTCTGTTTAAAAATATACAACCCTTTTGAGTGTAAGGTTCAAATTCACATTTAAATATCTAGAGTATTAATGTACCATATATGATATAGAATAATATACTTTATGTATGTGTAGTATAACAACGGTAATTATGTAATATTCTCGATGAGAGAATAAAAATACTGATAATATACATCTGGCATAACCTTGGCATGATGATATCATACGACTACACAATATAGATGGCAAATAGATAGTAGTCAAAAGCCGAATATAGAACCAAAAATGTGTATTAATAATACAGCAAACATATTGTTTAATGAACGTTATCTGTAATACGTGGTATTTTTTATTCCAACGGTAGAACACAACGGTATAGTTTTTCATTTGACACAGTATTTCAAATTTTGATTCCATGCTTGAATTTTGTCATTAAAAAAGTAAGTTAAACTTTATTTTTTAATTATAAAATGGAAGAAATAATTTTAAACTTTTTATTTATTTTGATAATATCTATACCCGGTATAATATACACTGAAAGAATATACTATCCAACTTTACCGTTTGTAAGTATATTTAGTTAACTAGAGAATAATATCTATTAATCTCACTCTAAAACAAATTAAAATTTATTGTTGGAACAAATTATTATAACCATTTTATATAACTATTTATAGATAATACAACTATAAAATTAATATAACCAAATAGTGGGAAACTGTTAAAGTAACAAAAATTGAAAAAATTGTACATACAAAAAAAACTTAATATCACATACCTAATTCTAAGACCAATAAATTTAGCAAGTACAAATAATCACAACTAATTTTATATTTTTACTTGCTTTATCTTTCACTCACTAATACGTGTCACACGCTAATATTGAACCAAATTTAAATTACAAAAAAACACAATATAAAACATTATCTGATAAATTTATTAGAGACTTTGTTGAATATGGCCCACGCTTTTCTTTTTAATGAACAATTAAAGATGTTTAACATTATTTAAAATTGTAATTCATTTTCGGTTGTTCTCAAAGTTTCATATTGTCATTTGAAAAAAAAATGTGCTACAATTGATTGGTAAACTGTTCTTGTAGTAGAATTATTTTTTACTTTTTAGTTCACGTTTTTACTATTTTTTTTAGAAAAGCATAGTTTTTAAAAAAGTTTTATTTTTATTTTGAAGTATACACATCATGTTGAAAAATGCATAAAATCGTGTTTCCATTAAAAGCGGTTTACAATAAAACTAGACGTGCTGCACAAAATCTGAAGTCAAATTCTATAAAATAGTTATATCAAAATTCTTGTTCAAAATCATACTGTATTTGTACCTTGTTATTATTATTGTACCTAATTAAAAGATATTATTGAACTGGCCATTCTGTATGAAATCAACACAAAAATGATTATAATTTATATGGTACATATTTTGAATGACTACAATTAGAAATAATATCTCCTAATAGAACAAAATTAATTGTTTTAGCACAACATTTTTTGTTTATAAATATCCAAAGGTAGTTTAAAAAATATTAAACGTGTTTAAAAGTAATTTTTTTAGATATTAAGAGCCCAGTTTTTAAAATTAAGACATCTAATTACAAGGAGTGCTGAATACGGGTTTCATAACAATGCTATTTATAGGGGTTTTATATTTTTTTTAGGGTGAGTACAAGGTAAAATTTAAAGCTGTGTTTCAATGCGACGACAAAATTGATTATTTAATAAAAACTAACGTTCATTTACACAGAGCTACAAAAACAAAAACAGAAATAAGAGGGAATATTACAATGGACGTACCTTTTGACGATTCTATAAAGGTGAGAATTTTTTCAAGAATACAGTAACAAGATAATTTGATTACCTAATTAATAATTTCAGCTTAAATTTAATATGGCCATACTGGATAGAATAGGAGGATGGAAAGATAATGCATATGTTTTCAACACGACAAACGGATGCACAACTTTGAAGACTTTTTTTAGAAAAGAATTTTGGACTTCTTATACCAATAATAATAACAATACCAGTGTATTAGAATGCCCAGTACCTTCAGTAATTTGTTTATTTTATCTTTTCACTATAAATCATAAATAATTGTTTTATTTATTGTGAACTAAAACTAGTTGGCAGTTATAATTATAAAGAAATCATATACTTTGCAGGGGTTTTATGAGATGGACGGATTGGATTTAACATTGGTACAAAAACTGAATATTCCTAAGAAATTTTTCTATGGTACATATAAATTGTATTTATACTATACGGATGAAAACGATACAACTATTGGATGTACCGTGTTTGTTTTTGAAATATTGAGACCGTGGGAAGTATTGGCGAAATAAATTATCTATATACTTTTTATGAAATGTAAAATTTGGACGTATAACTTTAAAATGGAATGAATAACAAATTAAAAATCAATAATAATAATTAAAAACCATATCTGTTTTAAATTTGTTTTTATAACAAAAGAAAATTCCATAATTTTCAAATATAATATACCGATAAGCGGTGCTGTGCAAAAATATGTAGACTGATGTATATGTGGGTCTCTCATCGTCAGTAAAGGGTTATCTGTCATTACAATTTAGATATAGGTAGAATGCGGATTCCACTACATCCACTCGGCTAAACTATGATGAGGTACCCCTTTATATTTTTGTGCAAAACCCGCTTGCCCGTATAATCGAAAATCAATGATTATACCCCTATGCGCATTTTGGATTTTATACTTGATGCTGAAAAACAGCATACTCATACTGGAAATAACTCTGTGGCCACTCACCCTCTGCTATCGTGTTTAAAAGCTACAAATGCAATATAAAAATTATACTTAATCTGTAAAAAAAAAAATCTAAGTATTAATAAAATGTTTTAAGACGATGGGGTGCAGCGCTAATTTTGTATATTTCTCATAACTCAGAAAGATCTTTTATTATATGTACTAGAGCCTAGAACATGAATATAACAATACTGTTATATTTATTCGAATCTTAATTTTTTTCAAATCAACTTTTTCTTGTTTTAATTATTTTAATAAAAAAATATTGAACCCTTACATAATAAAAAAGCTCCAGATGTACGCCTTGTAATATACATAGATATCAATAATTCAAAATTATAGCCAATAACAAATAACATTAAATTCATGATTAAATGGTCACTAAATAGCCTAAAATTGAACTAATAGAATCGATGAATATATTATACTACATATAACTACGCGCTATAGCCTGAAAATTATAATTATTAAAACAAATTACATCACTACTTACTTACTTATCGTAATTTATATTAAATATAGTCTATTTATCAGAATTTATTCCACCAGTAGTAAAAAACATTTCTTTTTTATTGATATAAAAGCTACAAACTAATAAATTAAATATATATAAATTCATTGTTAATTATGTAAACTCCGGTGTTAATAATTTGATATACTCGTACTACTCAATTTGTAAGATTTCTCATATTTAATTATGTATTTTATACTTTGTCAAAATTATTGAATACGGGTGAATTTTGTTTTATGGACATCCAGTTAGGACGAGCTTCGCCAAATGGACGATAGATAAAATCAGATTTAATGATAAATGTAAAGAATAAAAAATATTTTAGTAACATGTTGAACTTTATAAGTTATAGCAATCTCAAAAATTTGATGCAATGAGACTACAAAATTGTAAAATTCGCAAATATCAATAAAACTGAATTATTTAAATTTTTTTTGTTTCATCAATTTTTGTATATTTTTAGTCCTCGAAAATGAATATCATATCAAATGTATATGTATGAATTTATAACTTATTCAACTTAATAGCTCATTACATTGTGTAGTACGGTTTTTATTCTTAGGTGCTCAGTATCATCTTCTAATAGAATAAGTATACAAAGTATGCAGAATTGTTGTTTACTCGTTTAAACTTCGCTTATTAGACCAGGGAGAGATCATTGAATAATTGAAACGTGATAATGAAGTTCAAGAAGTTTCCCAAAAAAATCACCACAACTCATATGCTCAAAACTAAAGCCATTTTTTTAAATTCTTAGGTACACTTAATTATAAAAATGTATAATTCTGAATGCGTTTCATTAAGTTAAGTCCCAGCTTTAAGAAAATTTGCACACTAAAAAATAAAGTTTGGTTAATGTTTCTATCGGGATTTTGAAAACTTTTTAACGAGTAAAGACTTAACATTTATAAAGCACAAGAAGAATACACTTTGGGATAAGTTCGAAAAATGTATTAAACATAAAATTTTAAATCTTAGAGTAATACTTTTTTGTGAATAATTCGTTTTAAAATACATAAGATAACTTTAGGTAAAATTGCTACTTTGATTTTTAAAGCAAAGTTCAAACGAGTAAATAACGATTTTTTTCATATATTTTCTATTTTCTATGATATTATCATATTATAGAAAATTACACTTAGAACTCGGAACAAATCAAATAAATAATTTTTTTACTTGACGCAGCGTAAACGCTCTAACTTTAACCGAAGCTCATACAAATAAAACTTAATCTTAATATAAACCTGTTCGGGTCAGCATTTTCCATTTCTTGAACTTTGCGGCTGATAATTGTGGCCGGTTCAAAATTTTTTGCCATCTTATGCAATAATGCGGTTGTTGAACTTGTCTTAAACAAACCTAAAGCTCTTCGTCGTAATCCTTGAGATAAACAGGCTTCGACAGCAGCTAGAATAATAAAAAAATATAATATAGTATTAGGTTATACGATTTATTTGCATTTTTAAGCACAAGGGGACAGCGTGGCCAAGTTATAGAAAAGGCGGAAGTGTTGTCATGCACGGTCGAGCGTCGGTATAAATTCAACCTCGGTAAATTAAAAACCCCACCACAGCCCCAAGTCCATTTGGTCGCTACATGTATATTATCTAAATGCAAAAACCAATTTACATTTTAAGCACAAGTATGAAAGAATCATTTAAAATTTGATAACACATGTAATTTAAATGGTGTTCAACTACAAGCGAAGTTTATTTTTGGTCGAATTTATTTGCTATTGTGTAATCCATTTTCCATCAAATAATTCATCGCAAACGCATGTTTTATTGATAATTATCATCATATTAAACAATAGTAATCAGTAATTTTCACCTAAAAAAACTTAATCGATACACGCCTAGTTTCTGTTAGAGTTATACGCAGGGAAATACCCTTAACGTTTTTTTACAAACTTAGAAAGATTAACCCGCCTAATATTATATTGAAGGAAGTTGTATTCAAGCAAAAATTGTTTTTCATAATGTATTCAAAGCGTGAGAAGTAACCAAGCAATTCGCATAAAATTTGTATTTTTTGTGTCTTAGGTAAAAACCGTGTAAAATTTATTTATATTTTTTCAAATGGACAACTTTAAACCATTCATTGCATGAACAAGGATTGAATCGGAGCAAAACAATTTTTGGGAATTCTATTTTTGTTTTCATTATAAAATATAAAATATCATCAACACAATTACTGGACTGAGCTCAAAATTAATACTAGAAATAATATTATGTTATAATATACATACAACCATGCCTTGCAAACACATATTCATACCCGCATCTTTCAGAGGTCATTAGTCCCAAACAAAATACTTTGTTTTTTTTTTTTTGTTATTTCTCAACATATCCCAAATACTTTTAAATTACGGTATAAAAATAAACAGTAATAATATTATTAAGTTTACGATATAAGAGTTTACAGTAATTTATAAATTTATCGTTGGATTTATATCGGAGTTTATGATATTTAGCACAGCTTACTGGAATTTCATTAGAATTACTTAACTTCAACGAATACTAATTAAATGAGATCGATGTATACATTTTTATTAAAAATATTAATACTTTTCTTTTTCTTCTAAAAAAAAAATCATTCTTACATGAATGTAAAATTGCCATGACAGTAGCAAAATATGACCCGGCTAATTGACCTAATAATTCTACTGGGTACCTTGCATTTTCTGGATTTTATACCCACAATATCTGTTTTGGCACCCTGTCTTACATTTTTATCAATTCTATAAAAACCAAACTTTAGCTTCGATGTTTCTTTTTTGTCCCTATATTTTTTAATCTATTGCCTAGTATAAAATATTGGTTCGATTGTCTTCTTATTATAAGTCTAAATAATTTCTCCAATTTATACTCCTCTTACACTTTTCAGAAGTTGTATCTACTACTTTTCCACAAACTTTTATTATGTAGGCTGTAGCACATTCACTTTTACCTCTAAAATTTTACACATTTTTGTACCCCAGTAAAAAATGGCATAAGAACTGTCACAGCCACGAGGGTTTTGAGAACCAATGCAAACACAATAGGTCAGATAAGAAGAGATGGAAAAAAAACTTTAGTAAAGTAACTTAAAAGTTTACTTTTAAATATAATAATATGTATTTGGAAGGGTCCTAGCGCGATTTTTTAGTTACTAGAAAGGGGTGTAGTAATACAGATTATAGGCTTCCACCTTAAAAATGTATTTATTTTGCTTAAAATAAAATTATACTTATAAAAATTAATACTGTACCACAAAGTGATGTTATGGAACCGCTTTCTTCGTGCACGAATTTTCGAGTAACTGCTTCTTCCATTATTTGTTTAACCTAAAAAAATAATAAAAGTTACAAATACAACTACAAAATCATGACCAATGTGAACAATAAATGAAGATAATAATATGGTCTATAAAGTTTATGACACATTTTAAAATCAGCGGCAATATTGTGAAATATTTGAATACAATTTTTAAAGTATTTTATAGAACTTTATATACTTATGGTTTATGTTGATTTAATAAACTTTTTGAATTGTTATTTAATGTCTTAATTCACAATACCTTATAAACATTAAGTTTTAGATCTGCAAACATTCCAATGTTGGCAAAAGTATTAGTTACATAAACATTTCTTATGTAATTTTTTAGATAAATCATAAGCATTGTTGATTCTGTTATTTTTTAAATACACTAATAAAAATTTGTTGTTACAATTTATCTTGTCTTAGGACAAATAGTGCGCTATACAAATTTTAACAACCCTGTTTCTTATCGATAGAGTTTTCTTCATCAGTTATCGCTTTTACAACAGTATTTTTTTTCGAAAATTCTAAAAATATTCTAAAATAAAATAATCAATCCATTGTAAAATTTCACATAGAGTAAAGTTCAATAAATATATTTCTTAAAGTTTTAATGTCTATCAACGATCAAGATTAACTTCTGAAGAAACATCGCCCACACAAATTAAATTTGCCGTCACGAGACAAATGGTTATGAGCTCCGACGTAAAAGGTACTTTGAGGGATTTTAGATGAATTTAGGCGTTTTTAATTAAACTGACAAAGACATGGCTTAAATTGAAATAGTTGATAAGATCAAGGTTGTGGTGATGATGAAGTAAAGCGTAAAAGCGACTGTAGTAAGTAAGATAAACGTAATTTGTTTTATTACATTTAAAAAAAAAAAATATTATAAAAACGATCTGTAACTTAAACGCCTTAGACATAAGACTGTCTTAGATTTAAAATATTTTAACTTTTAAGTAATGACTATACATAATTTTTCCCGGAAACAATTGTATATTTTTACTCGTTTGGGTAAAAATTATGTGTTCATTTACATTGTAAAGATGCGATATAATCAGAATTTAAGTGTCGTAAATAATTTCAAAATTATGAATTACATTTTCTTAATACATCCGAAATGGGTAGTAATGTAATTATGAAAGTATTTTAAGTATGTTATATTGAGTATAAATTATAGGTACTTTCATGTTATCATCGCAGACTACCAAATAACAAGGTGGACAACCTATATAGATTATCTGTACCATAAAATAGCTTTCAAATAAACGCTTCTAAATGGGAGAAATATAAATATCGACAAAAGTAATGTTAATGAACAGGGAACAAAAACCCCACTGATAGACTTAAAATGTCACCCTGAGCATTAATCATATTGTCATGGACTGTACAGAGTACGCAACGGCCAGGATTCAACACAATATTCCAAGCACATACACTGGTTACTATTAGGGTTGATGGTCTGTCTATAATAATTTATTGTCACCGTTTCCCTTATTATATTGTAATTAACAATATAATGAAAATATTTTCGGATGCCTGTTGATTAACTCGCGTAGCAACTTAGAAATTTAGAATAACCAAAGTACAAATTTTCCTATTTTTTTTGGTTTTTCTTTTATAAAAAAACCATTAGACTACAGATTTTTAAAAAAAAGTTGGATATGCTACAGCCCCACTCTACGTCTACCTCCAGTCTAATTATCAGACCATAAGCCCTAAAACTACACCTAAAAAAAACAAAATAAAGAAAATGTTTCCAAAAATATTGGAACCTCGTAGTATTTTTTTACTAACAGCTGTAGTAGTTCGTATCGTTGATTATTATTTCGCATGTGTCAACCAAAATATGTGTTAACAAATAGTAGTTTCTCGAACTACGTTTCTATGATATAAGATATTACATTGGTACTAAAATTCTCAATAACATCGAATACTCAGTCCAATATGTGTTAACTTAATACCAATACCATTATCTTTTAACTATGTTTATGTACTTATTTTTGGAATTGGCCATCCTAGTCCTCAAATCCTAATAAGATGGCTTACAAGGCAAGGTAATATTATACATTTATAATGTATAAAAATATCAAGCAGTTTTATACAGGGTGACTAGGAAAACCCTTTAAATTTAAAAAAAGGCAAAACAATATATAATTTTCAAAAAAAAAAAATTATTTAACATGTGTAAAATGTTTGTGGGTGATGCCATTTATTTGCCTCATAAGACGGACATCACCTTCCTGACCTCATTTTAGCTACTTGAAGTAAATGACGTACACCCACAAACATATTACATAAGTTAAATACATTTTTTTCTCTCGAAAATTGCCGTAAAATAAATGGCATACCTACACCAACAAACATGTTACATAAGTTAAAAAAAAATTTGTTTTGAAAAATGAATATTATTTTGCCTTTTTTTAAATGTAAAGGGTTTTCGTGGTCACCCTGTAGCAGGTTTTAGCATACAATTCCAAAGAAGCTAAATAGCTTTAGCCCTACACCCTAAAATTAAAATAACATTAAGTACAAAAACGAAGTTGCAATTATAGGTAAATTATTAATAATCAGCTTTCAATTAATGTTGAAATATTTATTCACAGTACTGTACCTACACGTACTCAGAAACTAAAATATATAATAATATTATTATGTAGAGCAGTATGGATGTGACCTTTCTACCCTTTTATTAATTTTATTAACAGTTGTACAACGCGTGATTCAGTTGTTCAAATACAAATATACATTATATTATACAAATATGCCTAAAACTAAAAAAGTGTTCACGCGAAACGCTTTGTTTTATAAAGTACTAAATAAAATAATAATTAACAATAATTTCAAACCCAAAACTAAGTGAAAAAGTAAAAACTATAAAAAGTGTTCATAATTCAAAAGAGTTTAATATTTTTTTTTTGATACGTAAACTTTTAGCATTTTATAAAATGCTAATTTTTCTTCTTCTATATCTTCGCCTTAAACTCCCATCTACATGGGGTCGGCCACCCTAGTCCTATACCTCACGTGCAAAAACCATGTGTAAATGTGGAATTTCTACTGAAAGTAAACAAATAATCCAGATACTTCAATATGTAATACATACTTAAATGTTATAGTTTAGTCAAAATACAAACCTATGGTTTCTTTCACGAACAATTGTTTCTAAATTATAAATCGAATACTTAGTTTAATTGAAAAGTATGTTATACACTTGGAAATCAATTATTTGATGTGTGATAGGGATGGGACCGAAAAATGGTAGGTATAATGTTAGTCTTGTTAATACTCGTTTTAGATACAGTTTTTTGTAGATACGATCGAAATTAATAGTATTCGCTAAAAAAGTTATTGAAAAGTCATAATTAATAAGAAAAATCATAAAATTCAAAAGCGTCTAATAATAAACATTATTTCGAATTTCTTCAATCGGATTTCATCTTGTACAATATTATTTTTAAACACTTTTTTTTTTTTTTGATATCGTATTTTAGCTTCGATGAGGAGCTGAGAAGGTATTGTTTTTACAATGATGTGTTTTTATTTATTTTTATTTTTTATTTTTGTGTCCGGACCCACGATATCAGAAATCATACCTGGAAAGTACTTAACAGGCCAAAAATGAAAAAAAATCACCCCTTCCCCACCAAAATCGAGAAAAACACCAACAAATTTTACAAATTTTTCAACTTAAAACTACGATGCTCTATAACTTTTTAAAAAATAGTCGAAAATGTTCCAAATTTATATGAATTGTTTTTCAAACATAGCACTATCGATAAACATTAACAAACCAAAAAATTTATCATAAACCCTTTCTCTTAGAAGGGATAGAATTTTTTTCTTTATTTCACTGTTTCAAGCAAAGTTTTAGAGATTTACATCTGAAAATTAGACCAAAGGAAGATCTAAAATGGAACTATAACATATACAATTTTATCAAAAATCTGTAGTCAAATTTTTTTTTATCAAGGAAAAACCCCAAAAATAGGGTTAATTTACACTTAGGCCGTAGTCAGTTTCTAGTTTGCTATGTGTGTGTGAATCAACAGTCAACAGGTAATGAAAATATTTTCATTATATTGTTAATTACGATACATGGGTAACTATGACAGTACATTTTTATAGACAGTCGATCACCCTTATCGTATCCACCCTGCACAAGACTAAATATTGAATTTTAAGTACATTATTGCTGGTCCCGCGATATCTTCTAAACCACTATAACTAGTTTGAACATACTATCCACATATTGGCACCGAAGCGTTTATTTAAAAGTGATTTTATCACTTTCAGTTATAATAAAATCTGTAGACCTGTGACCTCTCCGTTCCCACGATGCCCCGACCCCACTGTACTGGCTTTTTTTTTGTTAATATTGCATTTTTTCATAGGCTTAAAAATAGTTTCTTATATCTATAGATTTTTTTTCCATATCTGTTCTTTGAAAGTCCCAACCCATTATATATAGATATGTAGGTTTCGAGTAATGAGAAAACGTTCAACGTAATTTATTGATTAAAACGTTTCGCGTCACGTTATTTGGAATTTCCGCGAAAATTGATTAACGGGATGAGACTAGAGACAAGATGTGAAGAGGGTTAAGACGTGACCTTCACCCAAAAATATCACACGTTTAAGTATAACCCGCATTTATCAAGTTACGCACTATACAACCCTCGTGGTATAAACTATTACAATAATGACATGAAAATTGAGTATATTTATATTACAGAGGGTTCACTCTCATCATTTCCAATTGAAAAGGTTTACGACATTTTGTTTTGTTGGCATTAATTTAAAAAAAAGTTCAGATGGTTAGAATGAAAGCGTTTGTAACAATTATTGGCAATATAGTTTCAATAAATATATATATTTTGAAAAATAGAATTAAGCTTAGCAATTTGTAACTTGATATTGTATTGTGCTATTGAAGATAAGAATTTAAATTGTTATATATAAAACAATTTAAATCTATTTTTCAAAATTTTAGGTATTTTTTTACATCCCAGTAGGACGTTTATAATAACTATAGATTAACAATTCGTTAATTCGTTTGCTTCTCGAGACACTACTTCATACATTCACCTCGAACTTTGGCTCTGGTTATTCCATATTCAGCGCATTTATTTTGTGCAACTGTTTTCGCAGCTTTGTAACAATTGGTAATTTATCAGTAGGAGGAGGTATACGTGTTTATTTTTTAGCCGACATCTTTAATAATCGCTAAGTTGTAATATTTATTTGAAAAAAAAATATAGAATTTTACTCAGGATTGTCTAGTGCCCTTTAATTTCACCCGCCCTGGACATCATGGGACGATTATACAGACCCAATATTTATTATGAAACACCACACCGTTTAAGTAAATACCCTTATCGGTGTAAGTGTGGGACCTTAACGTAAGAGCATTCCGTCATTCAAGAAGCTTTTTAAGTGGTTATAGCCACAACTTAACCCTAAACTACCCACTGTTTTTTTTCTCTCTCTAAATATCGCGTTGATTATACGGTCGTTAAAATTATACTAAAACGTTGGCTTACCTCTTTTTTCACGTTTTTGATGAGTTGTTCTTTGAATTTTTTACCTGAAAAACAGTCAAAACCGTTCCCATATGTTAGTAATAGTGTGCGGAAGTTCGGAAGTAAATAGTAACCCAAAATAATTTTACATACTCGTGTTCGTGTCCATCGTGATGTAGTGCATAGTATTCAGCGTTTGCGTGAGTTTCTATGTTCAACCAGCAACCCAATGCGAAGACTACGGGCCGTTCATCGCGTTACCGTCAAAGAATATCGACACGTCCGCCGCCGACGAGCGTCGTAAATAACAGGGGAAATTGCCACACCACACATTACAAACAGCGGTGTGCAAGATTTGTGTACGCACAGTAGTTAAATGGGCTATCTGCAAACCATGGTCGAGTCGTTCGGGCAATCAGCAATGGTTTTTTTTCCCGACGTTGAAGAGAAACGAAATAATATTCGTATCGATTTTCATCGAACGCCGATCTCGCGGGCCAACCACAAGGCGCGCGACAAGACCAACACCGCCGACGTATTTACACTACTGAATTTATAATGTCTACCGAACGCTACCGCGGCGCTGCTCGTACCATAATTTATGTCCTACGGCCCGCTGATAACCCACGACAGACATGAAAACCGCGGCTCGCCCGCCCGCCCGCCTCTTTATCGCGCGTTATCATTCTACACGTACCGCCGCGGCGGGTAGGAGGGGTAAGTTGCGAGAATCATGGAAGAAAAAAAATTATCATATAATAAATTAGATTGCTAACTAGCGATAAGAATTGAAGCCGACGGTCCGCCATCCTGGTGGGATTTATGTGTGTCATCAATGCATATAATATCTATCTGTATATATTATTCTATCAATATTATATATATATATATGTGATTGTTATAAACATATATTATTCTCACGTGATAAGGTTCTAATTCCCACCGAAATGGCGGAAAGCGGCTGCTTCAATCTTCTCTATTGGTGGCATGTACAGTTAGCGATCTAGTTTATTATATATATCTATGTCTATGGGTTTCTTTATAGGTCTATGTATAACACCGAACAGCTGCTCCGGCGGCATTCACCCAATAAGAATAATTCGAATATTCGTATTGGGGGGGGGGGGCGGGTCTATGCGTAGAAAAGATATTAAATATTATTATTGGGTCTGTGGACTATGACTTATGAGCCGCGATTTTCGACATCGGAGTCCATACTGGTCTTAGATTCAGCTGCCAATTAATGTCAGGGAAATATACCTATACGATAACAATAACTCTGGCTTCGCACTATCCGTAAATTATGTACCTATTTTTTATTCAGGGGCGGGTTTTATCACTCACCAAGGGGAGGCCTAATTGAGGTTCAAGAATTTACCTAGCTGTATTTTAAATCCAACAATAAAAAAATAGCTTGAAACCTAAATATTCAAATATCCATAAATATTAAATAACCATATTCTTCAATGATGATATTTTATAATAATTATTATTGATATATCATAATACTTGCCTTCGAAAATAAATAGATTAGTCCCAAGCCCCCCCTTGGAGGGCTACTGCCCCCTTAGCCACCCCCTTAAACCCGACACTGTTTTTATTGCTGTACAATAGTTTATGAAAATTCAAAATTATCATTCGGGTTTTCTTAAAAATAATTTATACAAGTGGTGATAAGAATATAAGACGAGTTAATCATAATATTGTTGTGGTGTTCAAAAATGATATTGTACTATGATCAAATATAACCGTGAAACCATAATAAAAGTACTTTTATGGCCAACGATAAAATGAATTCCAGAGAGGTATATATATTTTATTGCAAAATCAAACACCTAAAGCATCATTGAACTTTTTTTTAAAATTGACTACTGAACAAGTTTTTCTAGTTCAAGTTTTTTTTTTTAGTCATTTTTGACGAGTATTTTTCATAACAGCTTGGAAAACATAAAAACCGAAAGCATTTACAACTGCAAAAATGTAAGACTATCGTTTTTGAAATACTCTTATATTTTAATACTTTTATCTTATTATTTGTTTTAAATCTATCATTACAAAATTTTTAAAAAATGTGTATCGCATTTGTGATATTTTTTAATAAAAAAAAATTGGTTTTTACATAGTACGTATACGGTATAACCAATATAATTATAATACCGATAATAAATATTATACGACTCGAAACTGTATAGAAATTTCCTTTTTTTATATTGAGACACATCTGGTTACCCTATGCTATATCAGATATCTATGATTTTAATCAAACTGTCTGAGTCTAAACTCTATGTCGTCTCTGCTCACTTATATCAGTCAATACACAATAACATTGTTGTTTCCAAATCAAATCCGGACTCCGGTCTCCGATAAATATATATTATCATGTTATTTCAGATTTCTTGTAATAGTGGCGTTATTTTATAATCACGGCCCAAGATGATTTTCTATAGGGTTGTGTTTATAATAATCGCCTATCAGCTGGTACGATACTTTCTGCTCAAAGCTCTCGCTCTTCGGTTACTAACCGCCGTTTAAAATATTGAAAATTTGGACTTTTAGTATTTATGAAAATACGGTCGATTTTATATTATGTACACACGATATCCAATGGATATCAGCTATAACATCTGTTAAACCGTCCGCGGTTTTGCAATATTATTCTGCAAATCAACAATAATATTGTGTTATCATAATATTAAACTGTTAATACGGCAACACTGTCAATGTTGTTCTCCTTCGAAAGTGCCGTAACCCATTTTTTTGAGGTTGGTTTTATATGTTTCAATATTATGTTTTTCAATTTTTTTTTTTGTTATTATTGTTTGAATAATACTTGGTCGCCTTAGCGTTTATTTACTAGATAATAGAACATTATAATGAATACACGTACCGATGATTTGTACGAATTTCAAACATTTATGAATATTATTAATTAGTTTTAAAACAATTTCAAGTATATTTGCACTATATCTATATTCGAATGTAAATTATTCCCTTATTAATGCTGCCATTTTGCCGCTATTATTGCCGATTCACATTATATTTTTTTTACAAATATGCTTGAATAATAATTACAAACGCTCAAACCTCTGTCGGGTACGTTTAACACTTACAAAGGTGAGTTGGAATAAACGTGCTGTTAACATTATTGTTGATAAAACTGTTCTTCATTTAGGGATTTTACAAAACGACCAATTTTTTCGACGTAAGATGACGTCGTCTGAAGATGTACTTCTCCAAGTAGGACCGGTACGTCACAAGAAAGGAGATGGAACATTATATGTAATGAGCCAGCATGTTGCGTTTATTCTAAACTCCAGTGATACAGTTGCTATCAGCCACCATTACAGAGATATTAAAATGCAAAAAATATCTTCAGAATTCAAGAACAAAGTTCAATTACAATTAGTATTTCACGATGAGACTATATCGTTATTTCAATTTACAAATCCTGAAAGGTACCTACATTTTAAATTATCTATCATATACTTTCTACCCAGATTTTTTATTTTATTTTTGGCAAAACTGAAACTATTCATCAATTATAAAATTTGATAGAAAAATAATAGTAATTCACCCATATTAAATACAATATACAATTATTGTTTAAAATATGTATAACAGTTATAACTATACTGAATACTCTTCTATAAGTTTGTAATCATATTTTTCTTCTTGTTTTAAAATTTACGTTTTAACATTTATTAGTTGTTTCAGCCTATATCTTTGCCTTAATTTTTGTTGCTATTTAATTTTTCAAAGGTTTTTTTTAACAAATTTGCAATTTAATTTTTCCATACTTTATATTGTATAATTGTATAATTTAATCTAATACTTCTACACCCTATTAATTATCTGTAAATAGTAAACATTTCTTTTTCATTATTAGTAGATTTTTTCTCACAGAAAATACCTTTTCTGTCCCAACTATATTTAATATAGTTATGTATTCTCATATTTTAGATAAAAATAAAATCTGTGTTCATCTATGTAGAGTTAAAACATATATTTACAACGACACCAATTAATCAAATTTGATTTTACATTTTTATTTTAATAGGAGTGAAGCGATGAGAGACCGAAATCGAGTTAAAGATTTAATCCTTAAGCTGCTGCCGAAATATCAAAAACAAGCTAATAAAGAATTTGGAGAAAAAAACAGAATTCTTAGCGATAATCGTATGCTATACCAATTGTATCAAGATCTAGTCATCACACATGTTATAACGTCTGAAGAATTTTGGTCACATCATGTTCCTTACCATTTAGCTACACAATCTAAAGCTATAACTCAAAAAACGGGTGTACCAAACAATTTTCTTACTAATGTCACTGTAAAAAGTGACGGCACGAAAAAATTCAATTTATCAAATGATACAATCCAATGTATTTTTAAAACTTATCCAGCCGTGCGTCAAAAGCATATTGAACACGTTCCACACCAGCTAACCGAGTCTGAATTTTGGCAAAAGTTCCTAGAGTCACATTATTTTCATAAAGATCGCATTACTTCGGGGACGACTAAAGATTTATTCAACGATTGTGCCAAGTTGGACGACAACTTATTCAAAAATGAAATCAAAGATTTATCACAAAACGGTGTCGACTGTTATGTAGGGTTAATCGAAGATGATGGATCTGAAGAAAATGTTAATTCTGTGTCGGAAGAAAAACCTTCTTCCATGGCCAACCTTGTTCATGACAATATCATTAAACGATTTAACCAACACTCTATGATGGTCCTCAAGACTTGCGAAAAATCGAATTCTAGTTCAATATCGAATTCGAATGATTTAAAAGTCTCCCAAAATTCTTCACATGTAAATGGTGTGCCGGAAAATTCTTTGAAGAGATTGAAAATTAAAGATAAAATATGTTTTGACGATTTAAACCCAGAAGTAAATACAGACGATGTTAATCAAAAAAGATTGAAATTGTCTCGGGTGGAAAGCTATGTAAACTGTTTAACTAGAGAACAAAAAAATGATAATGTCACTGCCAAACTCTCAAAAGCAAGAGACGTGCAAAAGAATATAATATATGACGTCTACGAATGGAGTAAAACCATTACGAACCAAGTAATAGAACCGAGTGCTGCTGTTAATACACTCGGCTTGCTCACGCCCGGTGGAAGTCTAATGAAAGGGATTAGCGACGAGTCTGCATCGTTAGCACAATTAGTTCCGGCCACGGTAGAGAAAGATTTACGCCAACTGTATATATCTCTCGGGGAACTTTTACGACATTTTTGGTCGTGCTTTCCAGTAACTACTCCTGCGTTAGAAGAGAAGTTAGTGAAAACTCACGAATCTTTACATAAATTTCAAAATGCTAAAATTAAGCCGTTTGAAGATCAAATCATTATCAATCACGGGCAACTTAACCAGCTGACCAACCATTTGAATTTAATGCTGCACACTGCCTATAATAAATTTTCCATGTGGCATTCGAGACGGAAAATTCCTAATATTTTTTGACGTGTAGTTTTAACATTTTTATATTTATAATTTTAGTGTGTGGGTCAAGAGAGATTATACAAATGTTAATATGGCAAAATTGTTGTAAAATTTTCAACCTTGAAAACTATAAACACAACCTGTCATAACTCTCCTTTAGCTGGCACCCTAGTTTTATGGGGTGGTGGTCTAAAAATAGGGTATTTAAAATATCGGTTTATATTGTGCATCAACTTTATAAATAATAATTTGAAAAACAGAACCTGTCACTTTTTATTCACTCTAAATGTCTATATTACTTTATGTAAAATATAAATTGTTAATTTATCGACTAAGTTTGAAATTTAGTGCTACCATTTGTTCTACCAATAAATTATATCTATATACTTTATATACTTTACATAGCTTTTGATTTTTTGAAAGTAGCGATGTGATCTTACTAGTTAAATCCACTTGTTGATTGGTATAATAACTTACTGTCTCGATAATATCATGTTATAAATGTTAACTAGTAGTATACATTTTGACTATGAATACCTTGAATAAAAAATCTTTGGAATAAATATTGTTTATGTGCTGCTATTTTTACAGACATGCACTACATAACTAATAAAGCGTAAACTATGTATGATGTAAAAAATGTTTTGTCATTTTAGAGGGACAACGGTAATTTTTCAGCACATAATTTATTTTATCGGTGTTTTATTAATAAGAAAGAAAATGCTAAAATGAAAAATTCGTTAAAAATAATCGAAGCCTCATGGAAAGAGGATTGGATTTTTTTTTTGGGAAAGTATTTCATACTTTTTGAACTTTATGGAGTAGCGGGGTTCACTGATAATATACTCTTATCATAAAATATATTTTTTCAAATTTTAGTGTGTGATAATAATATTTTTGTTCTTGATTGTGTAGAAGATTATAAGACCTTAAGTCATTGTGTATCAATAATTATTGTTATAGTAATTTTGTTTACTCTTCGGTGTTTTGTGCTATCTCTACCATAGTCTCCTACAGAAAATATTAACGAAAAATCACGGTCAAAACGTACACCAGTAAAGTCACTTGTTCAACGAAAAAACTCCAGTAAAGAAGCAAGAATTATTCTAGACAGCAATCTTCATTCAAGCTGCCTTCAGTGAAAATGTTTATTATGAAACCGTCCAACAAACCAACATCAGTTTCAATGAGTAATTTTGTCGATCAATTTTATGCTACAGAAAAACGGTTAGGATCTCCCGTAACTCTGCCTAAGAGCAGAGAAATGCTTTATGAATCAAGTTCTTATGCACAACTTGCTCAATGTATTGAATCTTTAAAGCAACAATTACAAACAAGTTGTTTGATGACAGTATAAAAAGTGCTTTTTGTGGAACTATGAACTTGGATTATAACTTCTCAGACTAAATTTCCCTCTGCCGTCTCTTCGAGTATTACGTAGAATACATGAAAATATTATACGACAAATATGATAACACATAAGAACTGTTTTCTGCAAATGACTATCTCATTCGAATTCAGCAAAATATTGTAGTGAACAAGCATGGATGGACGTTAATTAATTCTACGACTTTTAGATAACCATGAGTATGTGTAATTATTTTGGTACGTATGTACAATATATTTAAATCGATGGTTAATTTTATATTTGTAACCCAATTCATACAACACAAAAATAATATAAGTATTTATTAAATATAATAAAAATGTTGATCGATTTTTTTTACCTATTGTACATATATGGTTGTGACATTAACGACAAATAACATTTAAATCATCCGACTATTATAATTATTATTGGCTTGATAAAATCTGAAATATATATCACAAAAATGTTAGTTTGTATTTAGTTTTTTTGTATCTTTAATATTATTTTGGTTAACTGGATAGAACAAAGTTAAATACATTTACTTTTATGCCCTTGAAAACTATAAAAAATGTCCCTTATGCTAACAGCCAAATAGACTTTTAACCGCCGAATTATGTATTCAAAGTTCATTACTTATAAATGTATTTACTTTTGAATTTTTTCAGTTACTAACACCAAGGGATTGATACAACAACAACAAGCTTACTACTCAAAATTATTAAAATAGTTTTCATAAATATAATTGAGTTTTAGACTCGCAAGATACATTTGATAACATGAGGTGAATGTATAAGTGTTATTTTTAAATAAAATATATTAAACACTACATACTTTTTATTGTTAATTACATTTTGTATTTACAGATCGATGTTTATGTTTTTTTAACAAAAGACAAGCTTTGCTCAGAAAAACTACTTGATACAGTCGAGAGATATGCGTACGACAAGCCTGACCGAGATGTTAATTTTTATTTTTTTGTTAGTTATTTAGATTGAAATGACTAAAATTATGTAATATATACATAACATAATAATATCAATGGCATAGTGCACAAGTGTGTTGAATGATTTTTTTTTTGTTATAATTTTAAACATTATTATGTATTTAATGAAGAACTTATGGATGGTTCTCTAGCAGCAGTAATTTTTAGTCAGGCTATTATAAGTAATATATATATACAAATAATAATGTTTAATTAGTATTTTAAAATGATTTTTCTTCTAAAACAATTATTTTTTGCTATGATATATTTGACAAGTATTTTTTAAGTAGATAATTTTATACTTATTATGATTATAATTTAAAACTAGTATATATTTTGTGTGGAAAATTTAATATTTAATTACACGTGTTGATTTAAATTGTTTTTTACTGTTACAATATTATTACATGTGAATTTCTCAATCAAAGTTGTTGTTTTCTTTATCTTAACTAAATATAAAAAGTATCAGTTATAAAAAATAGTTAAAACAAAACAAATGTTCAATTATAGTTTATATTAATTTAAAATTGGTAGATATTTTGTCCGACTGTTGCAACAGTATGCAGGTTTCGTTTACTCGCACCCGTATCATGTATGTTGTTATCAGTAATAGTGCTATAAGCTTTTGGGAAAAATGATGTATCTATATAATATTATTATGCCTATAAATGTTCATAATTAATTTAAAAAAAATGATCAATAAGACAATAAGCATGTATATTATATATGTTATTTTTTCAGTTTTACACTAGCACACAATTATTTTAAAGACTAGTTTTGGTTCCTACCGTTATTAAGAAAATCCAACTACTTTATATAATATGTAAAAATAATGTAAAATCTTTAAATTCCACTTCCTCTATAGAAAGACCAAAATTCTATTCACCAAGTCTATGCAACTTTTTTTCTTCTTTGTTGCTATTTTATTTAGACGATCAACAACTTTATACAAATATATTTTAATTCTATGAAAAACCAATATTTTCAAAAAATTATTATTTTACTATTTTTGTGACCGTTACGATGGTGTTAAACAAAATATATTAAGTCATAATAGAAATGTACAAAGAACTTCTATATATTTTAACTGCCAATGGTTATGTACAGAATAATAACCAAATACATATGTATACATATATTTTTTTAACAGTTAAATAATAATTATTCATAATTTTATAGGCCATAATTCACGGTTTGTTGTTGATCGAAAACTTGTGTTCTGTCTCTTTAATATTAGGCTGCTGCTACTTGATGGCAAACGTTTTGAAAATAAACCGTAGCCATTATTTTAAATTTGGTTACTATAGCAAACAGAATTTAAATGATTATAGATTTTAACTTGTCCAAAATACTAGAGGTTTTTGTATTTTCCATAACAATTTTGATTTTGAATTTAAAAATACTATTAGATAAAAACTTTGGAATTTGACTATCTTAAAATACAATAGAGGATTTTGACGATTGCAAAAAAATTTTTGATTTTGAATTATCTAAAATACAAAAAAAATAGTAATATTGAATTTTTATGATAATTTTGGTTTTACCGGAAAATTTTTAATAATTCAAAAATAGTTTTGGATTTTGAGTTTTTTTAAATACTAGAGGTTTGAGTTTTTTTGAATTTGCATTATTAATTTTGATTTTGAGTTTTCCAAAACGCTATAAGATGAATTTTAACGGCCAAAATAATTTTGAAATTTGAATTTCCCAAAAAACCTACTGTAAGATTTTGACTTTTGCAAAATAATTTTGGATTTTGAATTTTCCCAAATTTTGAAAATAAATATTGTATCACTGCAAGCATAACAGTAGTGCTATCTAACGGATGTATAGTAAAGCAGTAGAGAAGGAGGCTATACACAAATGCGCGGACCGCATTGCCTGCGGCTGCCGGTAGATACCGCTGACGCTGAATTTTTTTTGAGTTTGTGGAATTTTGGCAGGTTTTTTTCAAAAGTTCGATCCAAAATCTTTACGAAATCTTTTTGAAACATATTATTTAAATTGTAATTGACATTTACAAGAAATTAGAGCAACTTTTAGCACGTTTTCGTGCATATTTCGAGCGTTTTTGACAATTTTTTCGAGTTTTCCAAAATTATCGTTCTGCGTTTTGTTTGTGCGTTTGTTTTTTGATAAATAGAATGTAGTTTGCCTGCGAAAGTATCGCTGCTCGGCCTATCGTCTCACGGGCACCGACATGAGTGAGACCAGATAGGTGTAACGAGGCGCATTTCGCGGCATGCACTTTCAGTGCAATCCGGCCCAGCTGTTCAAATGTTAAACTAATTTTTTCAAATTGGTGGAGAATTTGGGGCTTGCTCCTACTCCACTGCGGGTTGACCCGGTATTGTAGTACCACCGGGAACGGCCCAAATAAACGTCTAGAAAAAGCTTTTAAATATACAATATTCATTTGTCCAAACATTTGAAAAACCAAAATTATTTAGGAAAAATCTAAATTTGGTTGAAAAAATACCAAATGATTTTGGAATTCTCAAAATTATTATGGAAAAGTCAAAATTCCTATCGGGAAAAACCCAAAATTTTTTTGACTTGTTCAAAATCACGGTGGACGACTCAAAATTATTATGAAAAGTCAAAATTCATTATATTTTTCGAAATTCCATGTGTACAATACAATCATAGGGTTTGAAAAATCTAAATTTATTCAATTTCGAAAATATTTGTGGACTTGTTTAATATTATGTTCAAATTGCAATGGTTTTTAAAATTATCGCCACCTGCTTAAGCCGCAGTAGCCAGAAATTAAACAATTAAAGACCAGTTTTTTGAAAAATGTCAAATTCCAAACATTATACACCATGGCCACCAAAATACAAAATATATATATATTATTAAGTATTTATTTAAAAACAGATCATTAGTAGACATTTATTATCACTAAATTCAATAAAAAAAAAAAAATTGTCTGTACCTTGTCAAAAATGCCGCCAAGGTAACGAAACATTTTAAATTCCAAAATTCAGTTTTAAAAATGTCCTTTATTCATTTATCGCGTGGTTGTACGATGTAACTTAGTATTTGGTTAATTATTAAAAATTACACACTTTGCCAGGGCTCTTAATAACCAAAATGCAAAATTCACTCATCGATACATTGATCGACAATCAACATATTATCAGTCTGCCCATTTATCGTCAAGTAATGTACAAAACATATTTTAAACGTGCACAATAATAAAATAATGTGATTTAGTTTGTATTTAATTTTTTGTGCTGTGAAAATAAATTTTATGCAGTGTGTTACATCATATTATATTATTAAAAAAAAAAATAATAGTTGTAGTATTGTGTTTAAATAAGTGATATAAACTCACCTCCTTCGCCAACGACCAATAATGAAACACATTATTTATAAAATATAAACATTTGGATAAACATTATGTTAAATAATAATAGTTGTCAAATTCCAAATATTATATACCATGGTCAACAAAATATAAAATATACATATGAAGTATTTATTAAAAAACAAATACTTAGCAACCGACATTTATTATTACTAAATTCAATCAATTTTTATAAAATATTGTCATTACTTCATATTGCTACACTTGGTCAAAAATGCTAAATACTCCTTAGGGAACCAAACATTTTAAATTTCAAAATTCAGTTTTTAAAATTTCCTTTATTCATTTATCGCGTGGTTGTATGATATAACTTGGTATTTGCTAAAAAATTGAATCTTATAAACATTGCCATGGCTCTTAATAACCAAAATTCCATTCATTATTACATTGTTCAACAATTAACATATTATCAGTCTGTCCATTTATCGTCAAGTACCTAATGTACAAACATATTTTAAATGTGCACAATATTTAAATAAAGTAATTTAGTTTGAATTTAACTACATTTTATGCAGTGTAATATCATATTATATTATTAAAAAAAAGAATAATGTGTTTAAATAAGTAAAATAAACGTATCGTAACGCTAGCATTGATTATTACTTATATGATATGATGTGTTGTACATACAACGAGGAAATGTGTGCTTATTATCTATTAAAAATATATAACATACATCTAAGTTAGAAATGGCTAGGCTTGAATAGTCGTTATAATGGTTTATTAAATTTAAAAAAAATCAAATCGTTGTGAACGTGTGATTAGAAGAAAAACATTTGAAATATTTTTAAAATTGACTTAGTAGACAAAAAATAATTAACGAAATATGTTTCATTTCACGTAATACTTTTATATGTATGTTATAAAAAAAAATATTATTG